CCCCCTCTCTTGCTGCGCACCACAGCTCTGACCTGGGTGGAATACCGCGCGGTTACCCAGTGCCCTTCCACCGCAAACGGATTCGGATTCTGTCGCCACAACGGTCAGGGATCGACCACGGCTGATTGCTACGACGTCTCGCGATACGCCTAGTCGGGCCCTTCCGAAAGGCCATCGACTGGATGCTGTAGGCGGTCTTGTTCCCAGACGCTCGCATGGTCTTGCGCTGGAGAGAGGAGTATAGGTGAAGGCTCGGCGGGAGTATAGATGAAGGCTCGGTGGGCTTATCTGTTTGGCCAAGTAGGGCTTCAGTTCCGTGCATCACGTCGACCGACATTGTTTGCGTCCGCTCTCCTTATTCATCTGTTGCTGCTCCATGAGCGTGTCCTGGGCCAGGCTGGCTACGCTGCAAATGGGAGCCTGTTGGTCCCTATTTCCAACGTTTCAAAGACCAGCGGACATGGTCCTGATATGTTGAAATGAATGTGCCATGCACGCATGCTTTAAAGAGCGGCGAGGCGAGCCTTGGGGTCTATCATCGTTGATTGCTGCAAACGGGGGCCCGTAGATGTCCGTCTCCAGTGCTACACAAACCAACGGACATGGCCGTGATGTACTTGTCCAGGGCCACACCACGGGGGCTCGTCGCGAGAAACAAGCAATCCATCCAACGTCGTCACATCCGGAGACGAGTGAAAGACCGCGGAGCGCTGCCTCTTCCCCCGCCGGCGCCGACCTCCGCCCGGAACCCGCGAGCGGCCCGGACAATCGGGGCGGGACGCGGAAAGCACGCGATGGGCACAGACTTACACGCACCATTATTGCAGCCCGCGTGTGGACCATGTTCGGCAAAAAGAAAACAGGCAGCGAGACAATGGTACGTAGCCAAGAGCAGCACATGGATGGAGCAGAAAGCTGCGGTGGGGAGTTGCCGGAAAGAGTGTGCGCGGTCCGGCAACTAAGGCAGGGCGACAGGGGGCTCAGGGCGCGCTTTTTTGCCGGCCGGCAACTTGGCCCCTCCCCACGGGTTGGGCGTCTCGGCCGGGCCCTGCGTATTAAAACGGGCAGCCAGCCAGTTCGTCGACGAACAGTCACTCGCACTCTTTGCCTGCTCCTCGCTTCGTCCAGGTTGTGGTTTACTCGTTTCTCATTGAAATGCTACCCAAGGTACGGCTCGGACCCAGGCCCGTGGCCCGGTGGATGATTGTCCTGCCGCCCTGACGACTCGAGTCCCGCCTTGGCCTGGCCCACTGCCAGCCGTGGCTCCCTTTCGTTTTTACATGTTGAATGGCCCTCTCTGCCCGATTTACACGACTCTCTCCAGATGCCATGGGACAAAAACGCCAGATTCCGACAAAGGACATAGAGGGGTAGTTGTGTGTCCGACTCGTGTGGGAGGCGGCCAGTCTCGACGACAGGCGACCGAACCAGCTGCCATCACCAACACCCGCTTCCCGCCAAACGACATTACCATCCACGGCCGGCGAGCTTCTCCTCGGGCTTCATGCTGTCGCAGTTGATGCCGACCATGGCCTCGCCGAGGCCGGTGCTGCACTCGGCCAGCACCTTGGGGTCCTTGAAGTGGGTGGTGGCCTGGACGATGGCCTTGGCGCGCTTGGCCGGGTCGCCCGACTTGAAGATGCCGCTGCCGACGAAGACGCCGTCGCAGCCGAGCTGCATCATGAGGGCGGCGTCGGCCGGGGTGGCGACACCGCCGGCGGCAAAGTTGACGACGGGCAGGCGGCCCAGCTCGGCCGTCTGGCGCAGCAGCTCGGCATCGACCTCGAGCTCGCGGGCAAGCTCGCGGATGCGGATGATGCCACCCTCGGCGAGGGCCGCCTTGGCCTGGGCAATCTGCTTGTTGACCGTCTTCATGTGGCGGACGGCCTCGACGACGTCACCAGTGCCGGCCTCGCCCTTTGTGCGGATCATGGCAGCGCCCTCGGCGATGCGGCGCAGGGCCTCGCCGAGGTTGCGGCAGCCGCAGACAAAGGGGGCGTTGAAGTGGCTCTTCTCGACGTGGCTCTCGTCGTCGGCGGGCGTCAGGACCTCGCTCTCGTCGATGTAGTCGACGCCGAGGGCCTCAAGGATCTGGCACTCGACAAAGTGGCCGATGCGGGCCTTGGCCATGACGGGGATGGTGACGGCGGCCTGGATCTCCTTGATGACCGAGGGGTCCGACATGCGGGCGACGCCGCCGTCCTTGCGGATGTCGGCGGGGACGCGCTCGAGGGCCATGACGGCGCAGGCGCCGGCCTCCTCGGCGATGCGGGCCTGCTCGGCCGTCGTCACGTCCATGATGACGCCGCCCTTGAGCATCTGGGCGAGGCCGGCCTTGACGGCGAAGGAGGACTTGGCCTCGCCGCCGTTGGAAGAGTCGTTGGCCATTTTGTGAATTGGGGGGGTGGGGGGGATGTGAAGAAAGAGGAAGAGAGGGAACGTTGACGACGACGAATTGCAGGTGGTCGGGCGGTCGGTGTCGGTCTGCGGATGGCTCGTCCGATTGATCTTATACGACGATGGAGAGAGTGTCGCACCGGGTTGTCGCTTCGTCAACTGGATGAGTCAAGACACGGGGGATGGCGGGAGTGGAGGAGGGGAGCGGCGAGCGGGTTGCGAGAACGGAGGGGAGATTTTTTTTTCTCTCTCGCTCTCGCTCGCTGCGGTGCGGTGCGGTGCTTCCCTGGCTGCTGCCGCTGACCTACTGCTCCTGCTGCTGCTGCTGCTGCTGCCGCCGCTTGTGGTGGTAGTGGAGGTCCCCCTCCCCCTCCCCCTCCATCCTCCCATCCCTCACCCCTCACCCCTCCTTTGGCTGGTGCCCGCCCAGGTGGGCTCCAGGCGCCGCCGCGGGGCTCGACTCGACTGGGCTGCGCTGGCCGCCAGCTAACCCGCAGCAGGGCCATTGGAAAAGCGTCGAACCCTTCTGGCCCGGGCTAGTTCGGCCCCTCGCCAATCTCATGACAAACGCGAACCCGCCCACGGCGAAATCCAGCGGCCACGCACGCACCAACCAGGCGACGCACGTCAGCGATAGGATTCCCAATCGAACGGGCGGGCTCCACGGGCAGCCGAAAGCGACCGACAACGACCTACAGCCGACCTGGGCTGTTCCGCGGCAGCGCACCGGGTGGCGTGATTGATTTGGCGGGCGGGTGTGGGCGGTCCTGCGGCGGCAAGCGTCGGGCCTAGCTGCTGCAGGACGGCGGCAATGCAGGCGGCGGCGCCAGCGGCCATCACCAGCACCCGGTCTCGCTTGATGAGGCGGGTTCAGTTGGTGGTGGTCGCACACAACCAGGAACGCTGCAGAGGGCAATTGCGAGCGAGCACACACACACAAAGATGCACGCACGGCCGACCACGCGATGCGAGACCGAGGCGGCGCGGTTCCTAGAAGGCGCGCTTGCGCCCTGAGGTGAACTCGGGAGTCGCATCACTGGAGTCAGTGCTGTGCGACCTGCTGCTGCAGGTGGTGGATACTCGTCCCTACGCCCTGCAGCGGTGAAGCTGCCAGCGACCCGCCGTCTCGCCATGGCAATTACCTACAGGCTTGTGCGGCACTGTGATACAGTATGCGCCTGGCTCACATCAGCCCGTCGGTCCGCCCACGTCCGGCACATGGGATTTTGGTGTGACGAGACAGGATGCGCATGGTCATGAAGAGCATGCGTTCCCTATCGAATCAATCCTGCGGGAATCCACGGATGGTGATGGCACGGGGCGGGAGGAACCAACACAACAACGCACAACACAGCACCGCGCTGCATCTGCCGTCGCCAAGTCATGTCAAGCGCAGGGCGTCGCGACACCATCGTGTCACCGTCACCAACGCATACCTCTCTATCTCGATGTACGTCCGAAGGGCGCGCGCCCGCCGCCTCTGGCCAATGTCCCGAAGAGGCAAGAGAGAAGGCCGGTCCGAAAGGGGAAGCGAGCGCCACACTGCCGGTGTGCGCTGCACAGCATGAGCATGAGCGTGAGCTCTGCTTCCTCGACGACGTCCGTGCCATCGTCCAACAGGCCAAAACAAAAAATGTCCCGGGAAGGGCGACGATGATGCGCATGGCAGCGGCACGCAATTGATTGTGTTGCGTCCGCCGCTGTTGGGCGCGTCATCGGTGCGCAGTGCGCAGCCCTGGAATCCAATCCCCGGCACAGACAGAGGAGGTACCTTGAAAGTTCAAGGACCTCAGCGATCCAGCGTCTCCCGCGAGGTGCGTCTTGCCACTGAACCCACTACCTAATACCGAAGCTGCAGATTTGACGGGCACTCGTCATGCGCGCGTCCGATGGACAAGCGTCCACGGAGCCGCAAATGGCCCCCGCCGCGATGCTGCACCAAACGGCCTCCTTTCGTAGATCTGCAGTACCGCATCGGCTGGCTCAGTTGCATCCATCTCGCGGTGGGCCTTGGCGGTGGTCTGTTGGCCGTCCTCGGGTCTTGGTGCCACGCGAGGCGCCTGCATGATGAGCGAGGGGCGCAAAAGCAGACATTCCGCTGCCAAGTGCAGGCGGCGCTGCAGACCGACGGCGGACGCCCTGCAGGGCACCGGACAGTGGAGTGGAGCACACCTCAGTGGAGTGGAGGGCGCTCCCCGAGTGCGAGCCCGCGTGAGATCCATGGGCTCCATGGGCTCCACCATGCTCCTGGCGGCGCCAGACCCGACAGCCCAGACGGGCAGTCGAGGTGTCGGGTGACTCTCTGTCGTCGCTGGCTGGGCGCAGACAAGCCTCCGAGCGCCGGAGCCGCCGCCGCCGCATACCGATGCTCGCCGGCGGCGGTTGGCGGCGCTCTCTTTTTTTTTCTGGAATCCACGGTTTTTGCCCCGCGACGCCGACTCGAGGACCCTTATCTCGCACCCCCGCGACTCTGCACCTACAACCGCGTCGCCGTCTCGTCAGCTTCACCCTCAAACAGCCTCCGAACAGGCATCGCAGCTCTTCTACCCTACGATCGAAACCCCCCTTGTCGAAGATCCGCCGAGCGAACGACCACCACAACATGACGGCCCAGTCGCGCCTCGCCGCCACCCCCGGGGCCCTCACCATCGGCGTCCTCGCCCTCCAGGGCGGCTTCATCGAGCACATCAACCTCGTCCGCGCCGCCGCCGAGCGCCTCGCCGCCGCGGCCGCCTCGGGCGCCGTCATCCACGCCATCGAGGTGCGCACGCCCGCCGAGCTGGCGCGCTGCGACGGGCTCATCATCCCCGGCGGCGAGAGCACCACCATATCCTTTGTCGCTGCGCAGTCGGGCCTGCTCGAGCCCCTGCGCGAGTTTGTCAAGTACGTTTGCCAAAACCGCCGTGGAGCGCGCGCGAGCCAGCGAACTCGGGGCTGCCTGCATGGAATAGATGGCGCGCCCTCGTAGTTCACTGATGATGCACCCCCGCGTGTTGTTGCTGATTTGCTGACGCGTGCGACCTGTGTGTGTCCAGGGTCCTCAAGAAGCCCGTCTGGGGCACCTGCGCGGGCCTCATCCTCCTCTCCGAGCAGGCCAACGCCGCGAAGAAGGGCGGCCAGGAGCTCATCGGCGGGTTGGCCGTGCGCGTCCACCGCAACCACTTTGGCCGGCAGATTGAGAGCTTCGAGGCGGGGCTGACGCTGCCGTTCCTCGGCGAGGGCGCAGCTCCCTTCCCGGGTGTCTTTATCCGCGCGCCCGTCGTCGAGGAGGTGCTGCAGCCCGCCGGAGGAGACGGCCAGAAGAACAACGGCGTGAGCGTGCTGGCCACGCTGCCGGGCCGCGTCGACCGCATGAAGGCCGGCGTGTCGCAGGCGAACCCCACGGACGGGTCCGGCGACATCATCGCCGTGCGGCAGGGGAACGTGCTGGGCACGAGCTTCCACCCGGAGCTGACGCCCGATCCGCGCATCCACGTGTGGTGGCTGCAGGAGATTCTGCGGCAGCGCGCCGAGGTGCCGCTGCGGTAGAGAGCCTGGTGGACGCTGCCCAGATTGTGAGATCATTGGCAGTTCATGCACTTTTTGAACTGCGTTTGCGGCGTTGGCTGGCGTTGAACGGTGTTGGATGATGATGAATTTACGTTGATGGCATCACACACAGAGAGCACGCGCATGCATAGCAGCATTTCTATAGATGAGATCGAAGGATCAAGCATACTTCCTATAGTCCTAGAAATACATACACACAGCAGGAGTATCTTGATACACACACACGTATCGCCTTGTACGATCACGATTCCTGCGACATAACTACGCAGATACCAAGTATAGATAGTTGCTCACTCATACACGAGCCCTTAGTATCACACAACTTTATATACACACAGCACGGGTATCTTTGTCGTCCGTATCGCCCCCCATCTACGACTTCTCTGCCGCCGGACTATAACTCGGCGGCGGCGACTCCGGCCGCCCGGCATGCAACGTTCGCGACGCGCTCCCTCCCCCAAGGCCCAGCATCTCCATCACCTCGGGCCGGTTCAGCGCCCGCGCCATGTCGGCCACGGCCGTCGACCCGCGGGCTTTCGGATCAGCACCCTTTTCCCTGAGCAGGCGGACCAAGTCCCAGTCCTGGCGCACGAGGGCCTGCATCAGCGGCGTGTGGCCCTGCGCGTCCGCCGCGTCCGGGTCCGCGCCATGGTCCAGCAGCGCCCGCGCCGCCTCCGCGTTTCCCCTGTCCACCGCCCACAGCAGCATCGGCTCGCCGCCGCGCAACTTATGCTTCGTCTTGGCGCCGTGCTCCAGCAGCGCGGCCAGTACGCCCGGCAGGCCCGCCTCGAGCGCGTGGCACGGCGCCGCCACGTCCCACGTCATGTCCTTGGCGTTGGCGCTGGCCCCGTTGACGAGCAGCCGCCGGCATAGGTCCTCCTTGTCGCCGACGGACAGGCGCGCGTCCTTGATGACGCAGATGACGAGCGGCTGGCCGTAGATGTCCGACTTGTTGCCCTTGGCGCCGCGGTCGAGCAGCAGCCGCGCCACGTCGAGACGGCCGCGCGAGAGGGCGTCGGCGAGCACCGTAGTGCCGTAGATGGTTTTGGAGTCGGGCTTGGCCCCGGCGTCGAGGAGCAGGCTTGCCATGGTCGTGTCCTTGGCCTCGACGGCGATGGCCAGCACAGACGCGCCGGTGATGTCGCTGCAGGTTGCTTTGGCGCCGTGACGGAGCAACAGACGCGCGAGGTCGACGTTGCCGCGCTTCACGGCCTGCACGAGGACGGGCCGCCCGGAGATGCTCTCCCAGGTGGCTTTGGCGCCGTTCCGCAGCAGGAGCTCCACACCGGCGAGGTGCTTCTCGCAGTCCTTGCCGGCGTCTGAGGGGCCGGCGGCCGCGGCGGAGCACACGTCGACAAAGTAGCGCTGGCCGGAGGCGCTCTGCGCGGAGACGCTGGCGCCGCGGCCGAGTAGCGCCTCGGCGACGGCGAGGGCGCCCGCGCTCGCGGCCTGGAAGAGCGGCGGCAGGTCGGCATTGATCCAGCCGGGGCCGGGCTTGTCGAGGGGCACGCCGGCGGCGAGGAGCAGGAGCGCGGCGTCGGGGCTGTCGGCCTCGACGGCGCACTGCATGGGCGTGCGGCCGGCCTCGTCGCGGCCCGTGATGCTGGCGCCCTGGGCGATGAGGCCGCTGGCCTGCGGGACGTCGCGGCGCAGGATGGCCTGGCACAGCGCCGAGACGAAGGGGTCGGGCTTGGAGGAGATGAGGCCGGATGCGAGGGCCTTGATGGACTTGGCGAAGCCGCCGAAGGCGTTGCCGGGGGCGCCGGCGGATGAGGGCCCGGCCGCGGCGGAGGAGGATGAGAAGTAGGGGCCTGCTTGAGGAGCCGAGGAGGACGCCGTCGACGAGGAGGTTGGGTCCTCTGCGGCGTAGGGGGGAGGCGCCTCGGCGGGCTCGAAGGGGACCCTGGAGCGGATGGGGAGGTTGCTGGGCGGCGGGATTGAGCTCACGGCGCCTTCATCGAGGATGATGCTGGTGGCCTGCGAGGCAGGACCAAAGGCCCTCGACACCTGGTCGAGCACGCCCTGGCCCTCTGAGGAGCGAAGATGCGCATCCTGCTCGTCTCTCGTGCTCCTGCGATATGCGGTCAGCCAACTCAGACACTCGCCCACTTGACAACCACGGGGTTGCCCATCAAGACACAATCATGCCAACAGCAATGAAGAGGAGCTCACTTACAGCCGAAGCAGCCTATCCAGGTATCCCATGGCCACCGCCAGCGACCCCAGAAAGTCCACAAGCACGAGCAGATACGCCTCGTCCACGGCCTCCACATTCTCCGCCTGCACCCTCATCGCCTGCTTGTGCAGCGTGCCCGTCGCCTCGTCACCACGCGCCAGCACGTCGCCCAGGGCGCTCCGCAGCGTCTCCGACATGACAGCACCAGCACCGGACGGTCCCACGCCGTCGCCGCCGCCGCTCAGCGTGCGCTCCAGCGCGGCGGCTCGCTCGTGTGCCCGCCCGGACGCCTGCTGGAGCGCCTGGAGACGGCCTACGGTCAAACTGCGGCACAGGTCTGGGCGATACGGTGCCTGCGGCGGCTGTGGCGGGGGGTGGTGGGCATCCGGCGCTTCTGTGCCCCTGTCGATGCGCTTGATGGCGAGGTCGAGCTCGCTGGCGGCGTGGCCGGTGCGCGCGGCGATGGACGCGCAGCGCGTGGTGAGGGACGTGACGGAGAAGCCGTCCATGGCGGCGGTTGCGGTGGTCCGTGAGCGCGGGCTCGTTCCCGTGGGTGCCCGTGTTTGTGTGCTTATTGCAGTGCGTAACTGACTCGTCGTCGGGACTGAGACCTGCTGCTGCTGCTGCTCGTACGACTTCGCGTTGGGAATCGCGAGCTGCAGGATGGGTGCAGCATTGACGAGCAATCAAGTCATGAATCAGTCGTGCGTATTTTCTCGATTGCCAGCGCGGCGCTTCGTTATAAATGCATTGTGAGGCGTCATCGAGGCGTCCGCGGGGATGGCTGACGTGCGAACGATGGCGATGGAAGGATGGACGGATGTCGTGGCGGCTGACGCGGTCCCTGGGCTAGCGGCCCTTGGGTTGCGTAACTGGCGTGCCCGGCGCCAGGGCTGAAGCTGATGGTGGATGCTGATGCTGTACCCGACGGGCCGTGGTGGGCGACGGATGCTGACTGGCGGGGTTGCGGCTGGTGAAGACGGGCAGACGTCATGTCCCTCCAAGAGTCCAATCTGTTGTACAAAATAGGCAAGTATAGGGTACGGAGGAGATTGGGACCATAATCAGATGTCGAGATGGAACCGGCGCCTTGGGCCCCTAGGCTTCTACCGCGAGCTGCGCGGATAAGATTTTATTATCATCCCACTTCTTCAATTCCATGCGTGCTCTGGACTCGTATGGGTTTCTTCTTCCAATGTCGTGCCTTGCGTCGTCGAGCTTGAGGAAGCGTAGGTGGAGTGATGGAAGCGCGCTGTAGCAGCACCTGCTTGGTTAATGTCACAGTCTCCCCAAACAACTTGACCGTACCATTCAAGGAGCAACGTCCGCCGTGGTTTCTGTACATCGACATGATCGGCAACGCCGAGGCGATACCCTTTCTGCACTGAATCGCGCGCGGCAGGTGGTGTCTGGTGGTCATGCGACATGCTCTGGCTGCGCAAAGCTGGCCCCCCGCCGCATAAACCGTCAATCTCGAACCGACACCAGCGGATGCACATGTCCCATCAGTGACTTGCTGCTTCACGGAGACAGAGTCTCTATATAAAACACAATCCAGACTGCTCCACGGATGCCATCATAGAGTCTCGTTCGCCAAGAAGCCACTACTTCGTACAACATACTAGCACTAAGCGAATCGCCATCTAAACACATACCTGGTACACATATCATGAAGGCCTCACTCGTCGCCGTCGCCTTTGCATTGCCGGCGGCCCTTGCCGGCAGCAAGCGACCCACCATTACCAGGCAGCGAGACCCCTTCGAGGTAAAGAAACTCTCGGCCGAGGACGTGGCACCCGAGAAAGTTCTGCCAAAGGCATGTCGCTACGAAGATAAAGCCGAGTATCTGCCGGTGTGCCTGGACGTATACGAATATTGCAAGAAGGCGTTCATGCCCGGGAATTTCGACGAGTGGAAGGGCGTCCTGTTCCTGAGGTGTGTCAGGGAGGAGCTGCAGGCGGAAGGGTTCAAGGCAGAGCTGCCGGCGGAAGGGGACAGCAAGGACAAGGCTAAAACGGTGGGAGGGAGCATAAGGAACATGGCCAAAACTGTAGCCAAGTTTGCTGGGGGGATCTTTTGACACCCAACGTCATGTGCAAGGAATGCGTCTCTGGATTCATGTTTACAAACTGCTCCAGCTACTTGCCCCGTCCCTGGTCTATGTGACGCAGTCTCGTCCCTTGGGTGGGAAAAGCCATCCTGCAACCCAGCCTTGGCCAGTGGCCCGGCGAGATGCTGTTGGAGGCATTCAAGTCACTGTTGCAAAGTGTTAGTTTACAAAGTGCAGAATTGTGTTCTGTGCTCTTGGGCGAGCTGCGCCGATGTCTGGTTGAGCGCTAGCAAACAAACCGTCGAGAGCGCCCGGGCGGCTAGGACCTTGTATTAGTCTTATTCTGCCTTGGGCGCCTGCAATCGGCAGCGGCGGCTGCTCCCGTTGGCGCACAGAAGCGAGCGCACTGGGCCAACGGGGCGGATGGCAGCCCGTGGCAGGGCTGTCGGGGACTACTATTATGTATGGGTGCCTCCACTGTCGCTGCAGCCTGAGCCGCAGCCCACCAACAGAAGTGACAGGGCAATTCCGCCTCCCGCTTCCACCTCCTCCAGCTCAGGCACACTCTTCGGCTCCCTCCAGCTGCACGTTCGGGTCCCATGACCCTCCCTGTCTCCTGTCCCAGCCGCTGCGACCGCCACCGTCGAGGCGCGTACGGTTGTTGATTGCGGCATACCTATCGGTGACGCATCGAGCCAGCGCGGAATCATGGCGCTCTCGGGTGCTCGGGCCCGTGAGGCTCACACCGCAGCCTCACCACTGTACAGTGCACACAACGAACCGCAACAATCTTTGATCTTTGGTATCGCGACATCGCGCCGGAGTGCCAGTCGGACAAGAGCCATGATGGCCGTCGACTGAAGGCAGCAGCACCTCCGCTCCAGCTCTATCCAGCTCCATAACCGGCCTCCGGGATGAAGTCGCTCCTCTCCTTTGCCCTCCCGGGCTCCAAGATCAGCAGCTCGTCTTCGTCGAGCGGCAGCCATGTCACCGACGCGCCGCCCATACCCCGAACCTTCATCGGCCCGGCCGCCGAGCATCTCGAGTCGCAGATGCTCCAACTGTACTGGGCCGGCGTGCAAAAGGAGCTTCCGCATCTCATACTTACCCTGCGAAAGTGGCAGCTGCAAGCCAAATTTGCCGACGCTACGCTGCGCGACGAGCGGGAGCTACTCATCTACGGCTACGACACCTTCTTGGACCAGGTCAGCCACAGCTCGCGACGCTTCGGCCAGCGCCACACGAAGCTGCGGGAGCGGCAAGGCGCGACTAACACGCCCGCGACCAGCGAGCTGCCCACCTACGAAGAGGCCCTGAAGAATCGCGGCTGGGACATGTTTGCCGAGATGAAGAGCAACAGGATACGGGAGGAAGTGCGCGAGCGGCTTGAGAATCGGCCCATCGACGACTTCATCCAGCGCCGGGCTCGCATGCTCCTCCAGGCAGCGCAGTTTCTCGACATCGACAAGGTCATCGAGTACCGCGAGCCCGAGAAGCTGCTGACGTTCTGGAAGCGACCCGCACCGCCGCAGGTTGCCGTCTCGTCCATTGACGACACCAAAATGCCCGTGTTTCGTCCTCTTCGGTGCACGAGCTGCCACGGCGCCATCCGAGGGTCACTGTTCAGAAGCGTCCACGACGAGAACATCGCCGTCTGCGAAAAGTGCTATCGACGGGATCACTATGGGCGCGGAGACTTCACAAAGGAGTACAAGACGTGCTGTCTTCCCAAGGCCATGACCCGCGACGTGACCCGGCACGTGTGCCACTGCAGTGCTGTACCGCGCAGAGACGGCACCGGAAAGCTGGCCGAGCTGTGGCCGCTCAAGGACGAGTCGGGTGCGCCGCATGTAAAGGGCGGGATTGGCAAGCTCAATTGCGGCCTGTTTGAGCTTGCTGACATGGTGGCCGAGGCCAAGTACGCCGCCACGCGCATCAAAGCTGAGCGCGACACGACGCTGGAGGAAGCCAGGAGAGAAGACTCGGTGTTGATGCGCGAGGTCATGGAGCTGAAGGGCCCAGAGAAGCTGAAAAACATCAACACGTCTTCCGCCCCCGAGTTTGGATCATCGTACGGCGTCACAACGAACACTCCCGAGGATGTCCCCTTTTACGTGCGCTCCATTGCGGAGCGGTATCCATACGGGAACGTACACATGGGCCTGCGCTTCGGCCCCTTGATCATTGAGAATGGCGTTGAAAAGTATGCAAGCTCAGTCTCCTCTCTCGAACTCGTGTTGACTTCTTCACAGCACCTACGGCGGCGTGCTCATCACGACCCGCAGCCCGCCCCAGCTCCAAGTTCTTCGCGACCCAGCGTCCGAAGAAGACTACAGCTTGCTCATTACGGGACGCGCGGAGCGGAAGCTATACTTCCAACACCGTCCACGCACCACAAAGCGCTACAAGGCCGTCATGAAGCAAATTGCGGGTGGCGCGTTTTCCACTTTGCTCGATGAAGCTGCCGAAAACGACATCATCGAGGCACTAATACAGGAGAGCCGTGACCTCGTTGACGAAGGCATCAGCGTCAGCGAAAAAGCAATCTTGCTGGCCGAGAGCGTCGAGCGCCTTTTGCAACAGCTCAAGTCGTACCTGGAACCGAGGGTGACTGCGTACATCTCCTCCATCATATCGCGGCTGCTCGACCCCAAGGTGGACTTGAGATGGAACTTCCAGACCAACAACTGTCAAGCCTTTTGCGACAACATGATCGATAGAGACGTGTTTGGCTCTCTGTTTGCTCCGCACGAGGTCACAGGGGAAGAAGACGACCAAGCGACGACGCCATTGTACCTCATGAGCTTCGTCTGCCGGCCAGGGGCATACGTCCAGCACAAGGCCAAGTCCAAGTTTGACGTTCCCAACGGACTCACAGAAGAGTATCTTCTCAAGTTTCGCTATGGAAGACACGACGAGTCCGACCTCATCGACACGCTGGCCGAGTATTGGTACGACTGGGGCAATTTCGAAGGGCCCATGTACCGCTACCAGGATGTCTTCCCGTGGGACTGCACCGAGGCGTACTGCCGGTTTCCCGTCAAGTGCGGCGAGTGCAACATCTCCAAACACGTGCTGGCTTTCCCGTTTGACTCGTGGTCCATTATCTCACTCCACCTATTCCGTGGAAGGGAGTTGTATCCGCGGGATCCCCAAGGGCCGAACATGGTCAGTGACGCGGCGCTCGAACCGGAGGCACAGACAGTCAACCATCTGGCTCCCGGCCACATGTCCGACATGGCATGGTTCCAAAACCGCATGACGGTGCTTCTCGCCCAGGATACGCTGCTCACGACGGCCGCCGCGATGGCGCGCTGTGGCGCCTTCCGCGAGTCGACGCTCTGGCTACACAGTCAGGACGACGAGACACAGGACCGGCTCAAGCTTGGCGGCATCCACCGCGCGCAGCCGTTCAGCCACCACTTCGAGCGCGGCGTGTACCACCAGTACTTTGTGGCTGAGTGGACGTCTCTCGCGCGGCCTTTGCGCCTGCGTGCCTACGAGACGCTGCGCGACTGGCGCGCGACGAGAGCAGACGTTGGGGCCAGGGACGCCGGCGACGACTCGAGCGGCGGGTGCGGCGGGTGCGGCTGGTTTGCCTGCGGGGCGTATGCGCATGGCTGCGCGGCGGGATGTCAAGCGACCGGGCAGGACTCGTGCGGTTCAGGATGCGTGAGTAGTTGCAGTGGCTGCGGAGGTTGCGGCGGAGGTTGTGGAGGTTGCGGAGGGTGAAGACGAACGGCGGCGTACCTGTTGTTGAAGTAGACTTGATGACTCTGTTTATTATGTACAAGCAATCATCTACCAAGAGCACATGAGCCGAGAAAGTTCAGTACGCTTCATGCCCTGCCCAGTGGCACTCATGATACTCGATGCCACAAACCCACCACCTCCGCCGCCCCTTGGGCAACGCCCTCTCACACCTCAAGCACCGCACCCTCCTCCCCAACGCCATCCTCATGCTCGCCACATCCCGCTCCTCCCTCACGCGCACCACCTCTTCGACCGTGAGCTTCGCACACGACGGACACACAAACACGGGCCCCACCAGCGGCGTCTTGGCCTTGAGGATGAGCCTCTTGCACGCGATGCCGTGCTGCGCTGCCAGGTCGTCTGGGTTCCACGAGCCGAGGAACGGGGCGGGGCGGGCGCCGGGCCGGCGGATGTAGCAGCGTGTGCAGAGAGCGTGGCATTTTGTTAGGTGGGCGGTTGTGCGCGGTTCGGTGAGGTGTGTGCGTTGCGAGTGGCAGCCCTGGTTTTTATATATATGTTACCAAGTGGCTCGGGGGGACGGTTGCGCTCACCATGCCCGGAGTTGGAGCAAAGACTAGACGTACCTCGCATATGACCTTGGCGCAAGCCCAGCACTCGCTCTTCAACGATCCGCCGCCGCTGTCACTGCACGTCGCCTCGCAGAGCATATCGAGACGCGCCACAGCCGCAGCATCACGGCCGCGGCGGCAGCTGTCGTCGTCGTCGGCGGCGTTGGCCACAGAAGGCGCGAAGACGGCGCGGCTCATGGCCTTGGACGTGCGGGAGACGTTGGCCACGTCGTCAAAGTGCATGTACCTGGCGAGCGACGTGGCGATGGCGTCGTGTCGAAACGCCGTCTCCAGCGATGCCCTTTCGGGGAGAAGCAGGGGTGCCTTTTCGGAGACGTCGTCGTGTTGCCATGCGTGTGATGGGGGAGGATGATGTGTAGCCGCGGGGCGACGGAGGCGGAGGAAGCGGTAGAAGTAGAATAGGGGGGCGCGGAGGGTGCTGGGGAGGGAGGCGACGGGGATGATGAGGGTGAATTGGGCGCCGAGAACGAGCCTGCAAGCAAAGTCAGTCCCAGTTACTATCGTCACGCAGTCGGGCATGGGGATGCACCCGGGGGGGATCATGCGGCTTACAAGACCAGGACGGCCATGATCTGAGACGTCAACATCTGGCGGCAGTCATCGTTCCCGCCGTCTCTCTGGATCGGCCATGAATCGTAAACGCGGTATTCGTCGCAGCGGCTATAGTTCCATGGCGTGAAGCGGGAGCCAAAGACGACGGCGGTGATGATGCAGGCGGCGTAGCAGGCGTCCAGGAATGCGAGGTAAAAGTTGGCGCTCCATTGCATGCGCTCGTCCCAGTCCCACGCCGATTTGTACACCACCCACCTTCTCAACCTTCTGACGACGTAGAAGCCGATGAAAGCCCACGGTATGAGGAATATGCCCTGTAAACTTCTGTCAGTTCCTCTCATCCACGCAACGACGCTTTCTCACACTGGCATTCCACGTCCAGGATGCATGTGCCCTGGGGCATTGGCATACCACAAGTCCATGAATGCCCTGGCTCACCCAAACGGGCCCAAGCCGAGACGTCGCCCCGTCGGGGCCATACCTCTGCTTAAACGACATTTGTATCGAGAACCCGCCGTAGATGCCAAACGGGATGACGGCGTAGAAGCGCAGGTAGCCGGCCGCGCGGGAGGACTGCAGGTAGACGCAGAGGCCCGTGGCGGCGACCTGCAGCGCCGTGAAGACGGCCGTGGCGGCGACGGCTCCGTTTCTCGTGGAGACGTCCATTCTGGATGGATGCCCTGGGAAGCAAAGCAGAGAGCAGCACTCGGCTCTTGTCGCCAAAACAAAAAAAATGAAACTACTATGCGTTCATGGCTGGACTCTATGGCTCCGAGTGTGGTAGTCTTTTGGGGATCGAATCTGTAGGTAGACCGAACACCCAAAAAGTGAGGCTGTCGTAGGGGTTGTAACTTGTGCCTGGCCGGGACGCGGAATGCCGCCGCTCGGCCTGCAGCTGCGCCTCCATGTCGCTGCATATGCCCGCCCAACCGCATGCCGACAGGATGCATGCAGTCGGTGGCGCTATTGACTGGAGTCAGCCTTGGGTGACAGGACAGGGAGGGCTCCGAAGCTATAGGTGGCGCGAGCAACAGGGAGCCTTTGTCCAGTTTCGCGTGGTGACACGGTGTTTTGCCCGCGTGATCACCTGTGTGCTCTCTCTGTTGGGATTGATGGGCGGCTTGCTGTTCCCACTTACACGGAGCGTCGCCATTCGAACACGCCAAGATATTCCGGCACTGGGAATACCAGCGACACACAACTCTTCTGCGTCATAGCAATTCAAGATAGCTTTTGTGTCCTTGACCCTACGCCTCTGGAGAAGTTGTTTTGCCGTACCTGCGGCGTCCGTCGCCATGGTCCTCGACTCGCTGCCGTGCAAGTCCTCGCTGCACAAGCTGGGCCAAAACACGATCCGCGACCTTTCCCACGGCAACACTTTGACCCATCAATTCCAGACCGCCAAGACACCCGAGGAAGAGCCCATTATCCCATCGCCGACAGTCTTCGACTTTGCGAAAGAGACGAGCAGCAGACGCGGCGACGCGCACAGGCTGCCCATTGTCGCATCCTGTGCAGCCCACCTCGAGCTGCTGGAAGTGTTTTACCTTCTGCGCCAAAAGATCCTGGCGTCCGAGGACATTGACCGAGCGTGCGACATCAAGCCGATCCGCGAGACCAAGACCGGCGCGAGGGGCGACACCAAGACGCTCCGCGACCCGACGCTCTGGAAAAGGCGGGCACGGAAATGGACCATCTTCTTGGAGTTTGCCGCCGTGCGGTTCCTCGTCTGGCGCGCCGCATTACAACGCGATACCAACGGCATGGTGTTTGCACACGACGACGGCACTCATGTCCTGGTGAACCTGCCGCCGGTTGACGTCCTCATGGTCTGGCACGCCTTCACGCTGAACCCACGGCTCTTCGCCCAGACGTGCAAAGAGGAGGTCCTCTACAAGATCCGCATGCCGTGGAAGTCTGTCCACGAGCGCATCGACAATCGCAACTGGGTCTTGGAGTTGACCGCCCCGGAAAAGTCCGAGTTTGAGCGCGTCACCGGCTTGACGAGCGACCTGTTCGGGCAGTTCACCGCATGGACCCCTGCGCCAGAAAAGCCTACCGTGATAAAGCTGGGCCTATTCACAACGACGCTGCCGGCCAAGCCAGCGCTGCCCCCGGGGCCGAATCGTCCCAAACTCGGAGAGTTTTCCCTCGATCGCGCAGGTCCCACGACGTCAACGATCTTAGGACTGCCGCCGCCCGCACCATCACCGCCAGTGACATGGACAGAAACAGACCTCCAGTACAAGAAACTGTTCGAAGCAACAGACACCGACCTAGCCAAGAAGCTCCGCGACGCCGTCGATCGCCAGACTGCCTTTGTCGACAAGATGAACAAGCACATGTGGATCCGCAGCCCAGCCCTCTCCGGCACCCTCACGCGCGCCGTCGCCCGCTACGGCAAGTTCCTCGACATCATGCGCCGATACCCGCAGGTCATGGTCGTGCCGACGCTAGACATCGACCTCGTCTGGCACACGCACCAGTGCGCGGCCGTCTTCTACGCGCGCGGCATGAGGGCCATTGTCGGGCGCTTCATCAACCACGACGACTCGATCGCGGAGGGGAAGCTCGACACGGGGTTTGACGACACGCTGAAGCTATGGCAGGTGCACTACGGGACGCAGTATCGCGTGTGTGGGTGCTGGGACTGCGAGGCGCTGCAGAGTGCGCTGGATGAGGCGGTGCGGGCTGGGGGGGAGGATGTCGACATGGAGACGGTGGCGAGCCGGGCGCAGGAGGAAGTTACGTATTACAGAGCGGTCGAGGTGGCGATACGGACGAGAAAGCCTCTACCGATTCGGGTATCTATATAGCTTCTTCGGAAATCTAGTCTAGTGTGCCTTGGCGACCTCGCTCGCCTCCCCGGCCTGCGTTGTTGCGCGGCTGCCCATCGTGTACAAAGTGTCGGAGTCAGAGAAAGCCTCCATGTCAGGGGCGTTGCCTGCTTGAAGATTCTTCATTCTCTCCAGGTATATCCTTCTCTTGTGGACTCCAACATCGCAGTAGACGAGTTGGCGAAAGTCGTTTGAGTGGACTTTGTAGAACTGCGTTGGCTGGGAGCTGGCAGTGATGACTTCGGACGCCCCATCATTCGCAACGGGTACGCGTGCAGCTTTTCGGGAGAGGATGATGTCTCCCACAAGCTGGTAGCAGGGTGGAGGTAAGGCCCAGCGACGTGCCGACAGGACACCAGTCTGGGCTGTTAGATCGATGTCTTGCCTGACGGGTTGTGCAGAGCAGCACGGCAGGCCGTATCTCGCTCTGTACATGTCGATAATGGAGCGAATGTACGGCTGGTCCGCTCTCGGGACCATGTCAAACTCGTTTACGAAGGATAGCATCCAGCCAACGTTTGGCAGTGCCTTGGTCGCCTCGGTGACGTCTTGCGCAACAGTGGGTGCCGCACCAAATGTTACCAGCGATAATATCGGCCGTGATGCTGCAATGCCAGTCAATGTCAGGGTTCGAGGGTAAAGCTGCGCTTGAACTAACATGAGGTCTTGAAGTGATTGCTGTGGGCAAAGTGCAGAAAGAGCAGAGAGGCCACCGAGCCTCCTGCGGAATGGCCAGTGAAGATGACTTGCTCTATGCTAGGATCTAGCTCGAGCTGCCGGTCGATTTGTTGCTTGAGATATGGAAGCAGGGCTTGCGCACAATGGAGGAACCCCTTGTGTGCGCTGAGGTTCCTTGAGAGACCCTAAGCGGACAGCATCAGCGTCTATCGAACAACAGCATTATCTCGCAGACGAACCAGAGCACTTGTGGCATTGACAGCGTCTGCATTCATGTTCACCATGTGATCCGTTGCGCTCGCCGTTCCTCTGATCGAGACTATCAAGGCCTTTCGCGACGACAGTGTCCAGATGGAAACTGCCTTTGTCGTTCCGGTGACAGAAGGAGTGCGGCTGATGACGGGGACCAAGTCCGGGTCAGATCTGGCGAGAGGACCGTACACCAGACAGGAGCATTGGCACGCCGCATGCACGAGCTGCGCCGTATCTGAGTCGCTTTTGCAACACTTAGCGTTGAGATGTCAGGACCGATATACAATTGCGGCGACTAACCAGTTCCACTCTTCCCCGTCGTTGGCGACGAATCGCGAGTTGCTGTACTTGGCCGCTTCTTCGCTGAGCCGCTCCAGGTGCAGCTGCAGCAAGTCACCGGGTTCCTCTGGTGCGTGTGTGAGTAAAGATCCGACGACGCGCGCAGAGGAGGATCGGAAGCGAACTTGCCTTCATAGTTGATCTTTTCAAACATGAAATCCAGGCAGTCGGCCAGCTCAGACACGGCGGCAATCGACGCCCGCGAGTTGTCGCTGAACGGCGTGGTTGGCACGCTTGGCGCTGACGCAGCCGCTGTTGCGACCGTCGCCGTGGACAGAGCGGATGCCCTGACGCTGCGCTTGGACAGTAGCTTCGTTGTCCACATTCGGGGCATGTGTAGAGCCGGAGGTCGTCTAGTGTCTTGCGCTCGAGAGACAGCAAGGAGAACAGTTCTTTGTGCGTCTGATGGTCGGTCTGTCGGCTGCGTGGGAATGGTATTTCGGCGGCAGCCAACGGGCCCAAGTTCATGCACAGCTGCGCCTGAAGATGTCGCCCTTGCTTCGCCGTTCGTGGGGGCCATCGGTCAGCCTCACTCGTGGAGGCGCAAGGCACATTATTGCTCAATATTGGCGCCCGTGCGAGCGGCCTCAGAGCCGGCCACCGTCAAATACGCTACACGGTCGGCAGTACAGTTTTCTGAGCGCTCGGTGACGCCGTAGTCACCGTAACCGGCCACCGTTGCCGGCTGTAGTACAGCGGGTGTTGGAGCAAATTGTCAGACTCACCAGCAAAGCTGCATGTAGGTTACACCCAACTCCAGGTTCCAGGCCAGCGCAACCGTCCAACTACCAGACGTGGAATCGAAGCTGGGGCATGGTCTATCAGTCATTGCTCATCGGAGTGAAATAGTGATATATTAATCCGGGGAGATAAAAGCGCCCATCACTGACGGCGAGGGCCCGGCCGTTTGGGCATTAGAGAACACTCTGTACCGTCCACTTGGCCGTCGCTGCGAAACCCACCAGCCTCATGACTTGCATTTGGCGCTCGGTTGTCGGAAGGCGGGATCGAGGAGATCTTTGGTGTTGGATGGTCGATTGCGGGGTATCAGGCACATGCACTCTGGGGAAAGGAGTCGGGGCGACTTTGGTGACCCGTTCGGGATCACCGCCTGGGATATATCCAATGAACGCCCCCGGTTGCCTCCTCGCGGATGTCTTTTCCGTCTGCATGCTTCGACATCTTCTCCTGTGCTCGCAATTTCATTCAATCAACCCTTAAAGATACGACCCCAGATCCTCGCATCGCGATAAGATAACTTCTATTTAACTCGCCATCATCATCAGAATCACCATGACCGTCGCTGATGGTAAGACCTGCCCTGGCGTACACCCACCTCTTCAGCAAGCTGTTACTTGCAAAATGCTTTACTTTGAGTCGTGCACGGTTCCGCCCGGGGTATGGAGCTTGCATATGTGTCTCTGCTGACACTGTGCTTCGATTACAGAGAAGTTTCCTTCTTCTGGCCTGTTTGATGCCATCAATGGAGCCATTGGGGACAGCGAAAACAAGGAAGATCTCGCGAAAGCCATCAAGCAAGCCAACGCCATTTTTGGCTTCGTTCTGAAGAACAAGGAGGGGCAGACGCAGAGCTGGCACGTTGACTTGAAGGAGACCGGTCGGGTTGGCAAGGGTCTTGACGGCGTGAAACCCAATGGTGAGTTTCGTTGCGTAGAGCGATCCCAGGACGATTGATCCAGCGGCGTAACAGGGATCAGTCACCAGACCACATTTCTCTCATTCTGACTCTATGGCCTAGTTACGCTCCACCTCTCCGACGAGGACTTTGGTAACCTTGTGCTGGGCCAGGCCAATCCTCAGCGACTGTTTATGTCTGGCAAGTTGAAGCTCAAGGGAGACATTATGAAGGCCCTCAAGTTGCAGCCAGTACTGCAAACTGTCCAGACCAAGGCAAAGCTGTAAGGTAGCAAGCAAGGAGCGAATACAGAAGCCTCAATTAATGCCTAGAAATCTGCCACTGCTTCCATACTGGGTAGCAGCAGCTGCGTTTTTGCATTCGCTAGCACCCGTCCTATGGTTCAAGAACCACTAATGACTCCATGTCTAAAGCTGGATGGGGCGGCGTTTTACAAAAGATCCAGCCAACTCATTGCTTCGCTGCATAAACAAGCTTTCCCCGAGCCCACGTCTCGCAAATTCTCGTTTGCTGGAGCTGGTCTGGCGCGTGGACCTCATCAATGACGATAAAGTCCGCCTGGAGGCCCGTCTTGAGACTTCCTGTCCATTTCTCCGCGAACCGAGAATAAGCGGCACCGGCAGTGGCACCCGAGAGAGCCTGCCCCAAGCTCAGGGCACTTTTGGGATTGGTCTGCGTCTTCAAGGACGGATCGAGGGCCGACCTTCTGGTGCAAGCATTGTAGAGGTTCGGAAATGGCAGATGCCTCGCCGTCGGGGCATCTGTTCCGATGGCAACACATGCATTGCCTTTGGCCATTTCGCGATACGGAAATGCCGCGTCAAACGTCGACGGATCAATAAGGTTTGCATATCCTTTGAGGATGGCAGGATCGCTATGCACTGGCTGGATGGATGCTGTGATTCCCAGTCTGCCCAGCCGCTTGGCATCCTCCACAGACGCAAGCTCCAAATGTTCGATGCGATGTCGGCCTTGGGGAGCATCTGCCTTTGCAATGGTTTCGATGGCCTGTGTGACGGCGGCGTCGCCGATGGCGTGGATGGCAATCTGGAGTCCAGCATCTGACGCTCGTTTGACGACGAGCTCCATGGCGTCGGCGGGCCATATAGGCTTGACGAAATCGGGGTCATTGCCGTAAGGGTAGCTCAGCGCAGCGGTGCAACCGTCGACAGTGCCGTCACACATGAGCTTTACACCAATGACGCAAAACTCTGGGAACCTGGATGGATGCCACCTTCGGTGCATCTCGATGGCTTCGTCCACGTGGTCAAGCAAGGCCTTTCTGTCTTCTTCGTACGGGATAAACCAGTGCGCGGCGACATGAAAGGGGATGCCCTTGGAGTCTCGGTATGTTTCCAGGGCCGTCCAAGAGTTCGAGTCCATCGCCATGTCGATGACTCCTGTGTAACCTGCTGCCACATACTGGTCGATGGCTTCGTCGAGACAGGCGTGGTTTTCCTCCATTGTGGAGAGGCTGGCCAGCATGGGCCATACAAACGCCGTCACCGCTTTCTCTGCGATCAGGCCCGTTGGTTTGCCGTTGGCATCGCTAGTAACAAACTCGCCACAAGCCTCTTGCATCTTTGCAAGAGGGAGCAGATCCAACGCTGCTGTGTTGCACCATACGGAGTGTAGATCCATGGCGTCGACGAAGATGGGACGAGGGTCTAAATCGTCGAGCATGCTCGCCAATGCCAGTCCGTCGGTCATCGATTGCAGCCATCCTTTGCAGAGAATCCTTGGAAGATCTTCATTCTGGGCACAGAATTTCGAAATAGTTTCCCGGATCTCAGCCAGAGATGTGCAGCTTGACAGATCCAACTTCTGGGCAGAGGCGCCAAACATGAGGAGATGGACATGGCTGTCAATGAAACCCGGCGCCACAACACGACCCCGCAGGTCGATGGTGTTTGCCCCAGATTCTCTGGCAAGGTGCACAACCCCATCAGAAGCTCTGCCAAGGTGAGATATGTTCGATCCGGAAACGACCATGCAGTCGCGCTCTTCGTTGACAAGACTGGGGCCCGCAGCGCCCTCGGTGTCGAGGAAACGCGCATTCACAAAGATGGTCTGAGGCGCCATGTCGTACACAACTCAGTTCGCAAGTGAGTTCAACTGGGCAGTGGGAGTTCATACTGCGGCTATTGAAAAGAGGATGCAGCGAGGTTAAGACAGCAATAACAGGCTGTTTTCTACCAGACAACTGAGGCGGGAATATCCCGACTTTGGCGCGGGTCGACCTTCCCAAACAGGAGATGGTCGTCCAGTCCCACAAGAGCCATAAATCATCGCTAGCTGGGCGAATTAGTCCATGTCTAGCGTTCAATCCACCTGCAATGTCGGTCCCAAACCCGTTGCCAGACGCCTATGGTTCTCGCCCTAGTGGCTAAAGTGTAAATCGTGTCTTAGTCGGAGACAAACCACGGCAGTCATATGCCACGGGAGCACGCACCCGCGAGTCCAAGGTGGCGTCGCGAATTCCGGCGAGCAAGGACTCAGACCTGAAACGGACGGAAAACCCACTCCCGCAACGCCGTCCGGGGTGTCCCGCCTCCCCCAAGATACCCTACCCATGAAAACGCAGCAGAGGGCAATGCCAGCCGCGGACACTTTTAGTGCCTGGGCCAGCGGGGACATCTGCAAACATGGCATCGTCATCTGGTCTCCCTGCTCCATCGTGTGCTAACGGCCGGGCAAACCTCCGATATCCGTCCTACACACCACCGCCTACTATGGCTCGTTCACGCGGCGGGTGCGGAACCTGCAAGAAGCGCCACCGGAAATGCGACGAGACGAGGCCTAGCTGCCGCCAATGCCAGGCGAGCGGCCTGGAGTGCGCGGGCTACCAGAAGGTCCTGAGCTGGGATGTCGGTGTCGCATCCCGCGGGCGCCTTCGCGGAGCGGCACTGCCAGTGCAAATCCGATCCCGGACCGCCGGAGATGTCAGCAAAATGAAGTCCGCGGCGCGCCCTCCTCGGACAGAGCAAGAGCCATCACGACCACTCGGTCCACGGCGCTTGGTCTCGACCATGGATCGCCCGAACACCCGACCACAACCAACCGACGAACCACGCTCGTCACTCCGTGATCGTGAGCACAGGTCTTCTTGGGCAAGCTTTTTGCCGAGGGATCCGTCATCACATTTCCGTGAGCAGGCCATCAACACCGCCAGTCCAGACAACACGCCGCTGTCACCGGAGCTCATTGACGCGGCCCATGCCAGTGAAGGGCAACGTCTGCTCAATGAATGTGAGATTCTATCTTCTCAATCATTTCCCCTTGGAGCTGGTTTTAGATCGGCATCCCACCTCCATGCTCATCTTGTTCAACAACCCGCGTGGCCTGGTGTCACTCCAATACTAACGATGCCAATATAGTCAGCAAGACTACAGTATATCTTCTTTACTCCACCAGCACACGCGACTCGGTCCGGTCTCATCTCTACCATCTGGCACAGCAGTCGGAGCCTTTGTACAATGTGTTCATTGCGATACATCTGTACACTTCAAACCCGGAAAGCCCGCCCCCGCAGTTCGAAGAGTACTACGACCGCAGCTTGAGAATGTTTCGGGACCGGCTAGCTCGCTACGATGGGACTCTTGATGAGGGCCTCATGAGCGCGGGAATCTTCATCTGCACCCTGAACGTAAGTGGCACTTCTGTGCTTGACCTCGGCCCTTGCACTGAACTGACCGTCTCGCCCCATTCCTACCATCAGCTTTTCCAGGCCAATCCCTGGTCTGTGCATCTCAAGCATATGCTGCAAGTATATGGGTTTGATGTAAGCGGAGGCGAGCTCAGCCGCTTTGCGGATCTGAAGCTCCAATTCCCGGTTGAAGTAATGGCGATCATGGACTTGCCAACATTTGTGCGAGGCCGCCATACTACGACACTAGGCATTTGGTCCAGGTTTCGAGAAGCCCAGCGCACACTGCTCGGCGGAAAGGCTCTCGGCGTGGAGGTCGTCTCCGGTATTCCCCGTAGCTTACTCGACATATTTGCGACGATCGAGGACGAGTCCGCCGAAGCGGCTTTCCTGAGCTGGCCGGGCGAGGTAGGCGAGGTGCCGCACTGCCATTTATGGGAAGCCTACCGTCTGGCAGGCGTGCTGGTTGGTCGGCGCCTGCGGCGAAAACAACGCGGCGGAAAGCTTCGCGATCCGCCATCTCCAACGGTCGACGTCCTCCTAGCGCGCCTCATAGCTGCTCTAGATGCGCTTTGCGACACGCGCCTTCGGCCGGAGTACAGCCACCTCCTGGCGCTCAACGCCACGCTGTATCCCTGCACGGCGGCCCGGCAAGAGATCGCGGCGATGCGAAGGAGGCCAGACTGGGTTGATCAACTCCGCCGCATCTTGAGGCTGTGCGAGCCATACGGCAAAACGGCAAACGCCAAGACGGTAGACAAGATGCTAGAGGATGCGCTGGACAGTGGGGATGACAGTTTTGACATTGATGACGAGGCGAGGAGGCGGGGTGTGGAGATCTCCCTGCTCTGACGAAGCATTGTGTGCCACGGGCAGCGCCAGCCTACTGTCTCCATCTCATGGATCAATTTTCCTTTGTTACACTATCGCGGAATACCTCGAACCGTGGAGAAATTTCCACCGAGCCAAGGTATATATCAATAATGCAGACCCGCTGCTTAGCATTGATGATATCTCCCCACTTGGCCGGGGGAATCATTGATTCAATGCTCTTTTTCACCATAAGCTGCTTGAACAGCGGATACACGCAGCATCGCACAGCTAATTACTGGTCACCGTGGATACACTGTCGCGTGTCAAGGTAGGAGCAGAAAGGGTAGTGGGGTAGCCAGCCCCTCGGCGGCGGATCTGGTCTGGTGCTCTGTCCTGCGGCACAGATCAATACCAAAGATCGACATTATGCGGCTTGCACGTCGGCAAAGGGGCACAATAGGTACATTCGCCTTGCCTTGGGCACTGGATCGGACATGTTCTTGTTGATTCCCCAGACCCCAGATAACGTCGAGACCGCCGGGGAGCTGAGCCGCGGATGTCTGAGCGGCAGGCTTCTCTAACCCGAAGAGGATGGTCGACACGCCAATGGGATCGCTGCAGTTATCGGGGCGCCATCAGCCATGTTGCTCCCTGCACGGGGGCGGGCCGTTGAGTACCCCAGAGTTCCTGATACGGGAGTGGATACGTCCTTTACCCTGTATCACCAGCTCATTGTGTCGTATCTCTCCTTCCAACCCCTTCGCCTGTCACACAAACTCAACTGTAACCCTGCCAAATCATATAAGTCTTTCGGTCCCAGACTCATCATGTCGTTGGTTCTTGAATTCTTCGGCTGCACCTCTCGACTCGAATCGTTACCGGAAACTCTTTGACATTAGCAAACAGCCAAACGGGACGGCCTCCAACACCGCGGAAAGAGCAGCCAGCATGGCACTTTCAACAAACGCCATGGAACAGCCGTACGAGCGAGAGAGGCTGCCTCCCGGAACTGTATTGCTAGTAGAAGGTGTGTTGGGTTTTCCGCTGTTATAGAAGCACTGTCCGAGCACCAATTGGCTAAGTAACCAGGAGAGTCCGTGGTGAAGATCCCGCAGCCAACAGATGACCCAAACGACCCCTTGGTGAGCAGTCATGGAGCAAAACGTTTTGCCGCGATTATGGGGCTAATGACCGCGTCAAGAATTGGAGTATTCCGCGCAAATTGGTGAATGCTAGCTTTGTGTTGGCTGTCACTGTTGCAGTGTTCGCCGCGTGAGTTTGATACAACCGAAACGCGCTGGAGGCGCCTACATGAGCTGACAGGCCATGGCAGAATGACGATGCAAACAGTCTTTTGGCAGCAAATGACCACTGACCTAAATGTCACGTTCTCTCAGCTGAATGCCGGCCTGTCCTTCAATGTGGCTGGCCTCGCTGTTGGCAGTCTACTGTTTATCCCACTGACGAAAAAGTACGGTCGCCGACTGACGTACGTGATATCCACTGGAGTGCTGGCTGGTGTCTCATGGTGGAGTGCTCGAATGAGTACCCTTTCTGAGATGTACCTCACCAATCTGCTATTTGGCCTGGCTGGTTCAACGAATGAGGCAATATCGGAGATGACTGTACGCTGGCCCCAAGAGACAGATGCAGCCTTTCATGCATCATCATCGCAGTACTAATTAATGTGGCGGCTACCAGATTGCAGATCTCTTCTTTGTTAACCAACGCGGCACGGCAAACGGGTTTTATATCATCGCCGTCATGCTCGGCAACTTCATATGTCCGACAATCGCCGGGATCCAAGCAGCGACTTTTGGATGGCGATGGGCATACTACACAGTCGGCATTGCGTTGACGGCACTCTTCATCTTGTTTCTGTTCTTCTACGAGGAGACGAAATATGTCCCCGCCACTACGGGCTGCGCTGCGATGAGCGGTCTTGCCGATCCCGGTTCGGAAACCCCAGGGACGCCTGACTTTGCGTCCCATTCCCCCTCCGATGACAAGAGACAGGAACAAGTCTGCAGTTTGACAACCTCCCCGACCTACACTGCTACGTCTCGGCCGCCGCCTCCACCAAACTCGTACCGGCAACGCATGCGATTCGTCACCCCATCTTCGGAATCGCTGTGGCGGAACTATCTCACACCGTTCAAGATGGCCGTCTTTCCACACGTCCTCTTCGCCGCAGTGCAGTGTGCCAATGTCATCACGTTTCTTGTGTACCTTGCCAGCGTCAACTCGATTGTGTTCTCGGGGCCTCCTTACAACTTCTCGACTGCGGGCGTGGGCTTGATGTTTGTTGGGCCTTTTATAGGTAACATGATTGGCAGCGTGTATGGAGGCTTGCTGGGTGATATGGTCGTGGTGCGCTTGGCGCGCAAAAACAATGGCGTGTTTGAGCCAGAGATGCGACTTTACATCCTCATCCTGCCAGCCATTCTGGTTGGCGCAGGGCTAATGGTGTTTGGAGTCGCGGCCCACCGTGTCAGTACCCATAACTTCTCGACGCGGAATCGGTTCGACGTTGCTTGCGTGCTCCCTTCGCAACTAATGCTTCTCAGGGTCTCCACTGGATTTATCCCAGCATTGGCGCCGCGATGTTCTCCTTTGGCATGGGCTCCATCATGGACGTGGCATGCACAGTCGTCATTGACACATATCAGAGCGTGAGTGCTGAGAGCTTGCAGGACACGCGGCCAGACGCAGCCTTGACTAACAAGCGCAACAGGCCACCGCTGAGGCGTTTGTGTTTATTATTTTTATCCGAAACGCAGCATGCATTGGAATCCCCTTTGGTATTGTTCCGTGGATGAAGTCGGCCGGTCTAACCAAGATGTTTGTCGCCGGCGGGTGTGTGGCAATTGCCTTGTCCTTGCTCTTCATTCCGCTCATTGTCTGGGGGCGGAGAGCCCGTGTAGCCTTTGGTCCGTTTTACGAGAAGCTGGTAGTCGAGAATGGGGGCTTCGGTAGGGCCTAGGGCGAGCTACACCCAGAGAACGCGTTTCCCACTTCTCTTGCTTTATGGACATGATGAACTCGCAATGTTAGTTTGCCGATTGAATCGATGCCATGCAATCAAACCCTCAGAGTCCCAGCTCGATGATGTCGGCAGCAACGCAGCATTATGAGCACGACCGCTTCATGTTGGCAATTGGAGTGGTCCTACATGCATGCATATCCCGAGAGGCCCCCCGCGAGCTCGCCATCATATGGGTTCGAAGAGTCGCACAAGTTAGCACTCGCACCACGGCTTGGCGTTAACGCTGGCGGGATCTTCATCAATCCTATAAATGCGGGTCGTGTGCACACGTCAAGTCCGTTTATGTTGCTCTTACAGGCTTTCGGCCGCCGAGTTTCGGCTCAGAAATTGCCATGCTCAGCTGGCAACGACACTCTGGAGAATGGCCGAATATGTGACCACGCTGCGGAGTCAAAGGATGCATCCAAGACCAAGCATTGAAGCCGGGACAAGGTGGCGATCAGCGCACGCGGTTCAACTTGAGCCATGGATGTTGAGTTGAGTCGAATGACCACCGATCCCTGTCTTGTCGAGATGATGAGGCCGTTTGTGATTGCTACGTCTTGCCGAATTGATCTGAAGGCAAGCGACGCAACAAGCAGCCACAGGCCAGCAGAGCAGCTGCCAAGTGTGGCGCCACCCGTCGTGGCCGTGAAGTTTCGGGATCCTCCGGTAGCCGCATTCCTTCGTTTGTGTTCGACGCTGAGGCTGACAAACACTTGCGAGCAACCCCGCACTTCTTCCCATAACTTCATGCTGATGCCTTCATCAAATTGTTCTGTCTAGTCGTCAGACATACGGACCCATCGATCTCTTCACCTCACGTCCGCTCTCGCGCGACCAACAGCAGCCAAGTTTTGGGACAAGCAACGCCACATTTGCAAATATGGTCAAGCACCAGGAGCTCGATGCCCTCAGGCTCTGCATCAAATTGGCACGCGACGCACTGGAGGCTGGAGACGCGCCATTCGGGTCGGTGCTGGTTGCAGACGATGGCACCATCCTCAAGCAGGAGCGCAATCGCACCGTGACGGGTGAGAAGGGCGACTTCAAGGCTGATGCGACATTGCATCCCGAGTTCGTGCTCGCGCGCTGGTCACAGTTCCACATGTCCCCTGCGCAGCGCGCGACCGCCACGGTCTACACGTCGGGTGAACATTGCCCAATGTGTTCCGCTGCGCATGCCTATGCTGGTCTCGGCAGGATAGTCTACGTCTCATCATCGGCCCAGCTGGTGGAGTGGATGAAAGAACTGGGCATCGAGCGCAACACGGTCAGCCCCCTTCCGATCAACGCTGTGGCACCAAACATCCCGGTGGAGGGTCCTGTCGCAGGTCTAGACGCCGAAGTGAAAGAGTTGCAACGCCTGAGGTTCAGTCGTATCGCAAAAGAATGATCAAGTCTGGCTGTTGAAGGTGTTTGGAACAGGACGGTGCTCGCGGTGCGTGCTCTCGGTGCGTCACCCTCAAGACTGGCCTTCTCCAGATCACTTGTAATATATATGGAGCGTCGATGATTCGGGCGGCGTTTCATTTATTTTCTAGGGATGTGTCCGTGGTTTCAAGGAGTCGCACGGCGGTGGTGTTGTCTGTCAGCGCGAGAAGCACTGGGGGGCGGGAAGTGGCCGTTCGGATGTCTAGCTCTAGTGTTGATCTAGTTGTGTATCCATAATTGACGGCTGTTTCTGTCGAAGCTCTCAAAGCTCATGTTGCTCAAAAAGAAAGAACAACCTTGCATCGGTCGTTATACAACGTAGCCGTATTGGCATCCCGTCTTTGAGGAGGGTTCGGTCTGGTGCGATCGTGATGAGCTGGGAGTTGCCGTTCGGTCCCGGCCATTCTTTCCGTGGTACGTTCAGGCCTAACGCCTACAAGGCTGAATCATGTTTTGAGAAGGGGTTTTCGGGAGGCGGGCCTTAGAAGTTAAAATCGGCCGTGGCACAAAAGTCTCCGAGTTCAGGCCCAAGAACAGCCCTTGCTCCTGGACACTTCCTCAGACGTTCCGCGGCAAGTTTCCTGGCAACGCCATCGTGAAACCCGCAGCATTTTGTCCAGGCTGATTCCTGATCGACTCGGCAGTCCTGATGACCCGACAGCAATCCCCATCGGGGCTGTGCCGCAACTTCTCGGAGAGAGCCGAGCTAGCTTTAATAGGATGCAAGATGCGCTGGGCGGCAAGGAGTCTTGGGTCCAAGGTTCTCAGGATCGGCACACCAGACCCTGCGCTAATGCTGTGGGGGACGGTAGAGTACGAAACCTGGAGCATAGACCTCGCGGCATTTGTGAAAGTTCACAGCGCCAGTGCGCACTCAACAGGTACTGACAAGATCGAACACACGGTGCAATTCATGAAAATCGGTTGCTCGTTGATCATCTGCTGAGATCGCCAGCAAAGTCTTTCGCGGGCGAATGAACTCAGGAGGATGTTATACCAAACGGGGTTGGCGCGGAGAGTGGTGCTCGCGGCAAGCCGTATCGTCGTATGTCGTATTGTGACCAAGCTCACTATCAGCGGATCGAGTTGGTGCGGCTCCGCGACATTTTGACAGCAAAAATGCGCGCGAAATACGCCGCGACTGCAGGCAAAAAAGGCTCCGATGCCTTGATGCTATTGTTACACCACACTCACGGCATCAGGTAGAAGACTACCATCTAGCCGCCCGTCAAGACAATTGCGTCCTGGCGCTGGCATGGAGAAAAAATGGAAACCAGTTATTCATGTGGTGACGACCATGCCTCTCTCCATGCTGCAGGCTCCTTGCTGTGCCGCCTGTTTGCCAGGGGTTAACGCTGAAGATAGCCAAGGCAGGATGAGGCTGATGGGTAGCGCAGCACGTTTGCTGCCTATTATTGGCCAAACCGAAAAGTGTTGTGCCACCAGCATCACCAATCGACTTAGCCCACGAGGCGGACAGCGACGGCCCCTGCATAAGTGCCGCGCAGACGTCTGCAGCACCTTCCAGCAATTGCAGATCTGTGACCGAAACGGCGGGCGGCGGCTGTCGCCAACTTGAGGGCCCAGGCACGCGTGCGCCTCGCTGACTCGCCCCGAGCCGTCTGACACGGCTGCACTCTTCGGCCAGTGTCCGTGCCACGAAGGAAAGTCAAGTTAACCCAGTCAAGACAGTGTAACATCTAGACTCAGTATCGACGTTGAGCTCAATGAACGTTAGAGACAAGAGCGCCGTTTGGTCCCCTATGCCGTGCTAGAATGTCTTGGCAGGCCCTTGGGCATGCGGCTCTTGGGAACAGCGTCAACGTCCCAGTCCCATGCCTCGCTTGCTTGGCCACCCGCGTTTGACCGGGGTCGGAAGAACGGCATTGACTTGTCCATGTTCCGCCAATCCGCTTCCAGCCGAGTGTGGGATCGAAATTCAGCCCTACTTGCCAACGAAGCTCCATGTCGCCAGAGCCGGTTTAGCCAGGAACAGAGAGGCTCAAAGAGTAAGACCGGGGAGACTGGCAGCCGACCTCATTTCCACAGCTCAGCATCGCGGCAGGCCCGTTCGATCCCACAGACACAGTCCAGTCCCTTTTGGAACCCATTCCGCGCGGGGCGGCCCCCGGGGCTTGTGCCGCCTAGAGACTGGCGACATTGACACGCATGCGTCGGAATCGGCTGGCCGCGCCTCGTCGAAAGTCAGCCTTGGATGATGCCGTTTTTGTAAGTCCGTAGTAGTGTGAATATAAGTAATGTGCCCGGCCACTTCCCCTGAATGGTGGCGGTCTAGGTCTCCTCGTCTCTCTTTACGCCCAACCTCTGTCGCTCATTCTGACATACCCATTAGAATAGATACCGGTCACTCGTTACGCCGGTACTAGAAGACAAGCCGCACTATGCGTTCTCTTCTCTTGTCCGCGGCCCTGCCGCTCGCCGCCGAGGCCCTCGTCTTCCGCGACGACAACCAGTTCACCCAGGCGCCTGGCATTCTGCGCTTCCCCGTCAGCACCACCCTGATTCCCGGCAAGGCTCTGAGGAGTCGGCAGGATGATGTCGGCCTGGCGGACCAGAAGACTGGCCTGATGTACACCATCGACGTCACGATCGGTACTCCTGGCCAAAAGGTCAGCGTGCAGTTCGACACGGGCTCTCCCAACCTTTGGGTCAACCCTCAGTGCAGCACGGCTCCCAACAAGGAGCTGTGCACCAAGTTTGGCCAGTTCACCCACTCCACGACTCTGGTCGACCTCAAGCAGAGCGGACAGCTGAGGTACAACATCGGCCGAGTCAACGTTGAGTGGGTGTACGACTACGTCAACATTGGCAGTAAGTGTCTTCGAGTAAAGGACAACACTCTCACTGATACTAACATTCAACGTCTAGACTCGAGGATCAACCAGCAAATCTTCGGTGTTGGCACCGCCAGCACGCAGCTGTCGGCGGGTATCCTGGGTACCAGCCCCGACCTCACCGGTTGGAAGAGCCCCTACCCCCTGGTGCTCGACCAGCTGGCTCAGCAGAACTTCATCAAGAGCCGTGCTTTCAGCATGGATCTTCGGCCCGTTGGCGATGAGCGCGGTTCCGTCATCTTCGGCGGTATCGACACCAAGAAGTTCACTGGTCCTCTCCACAAGCTGCCCATCGTTCCCGCGAGCCAGTCTCCCGACAAGTACACTCGGTATGTTCCCGAAACTAGCACCTCTCCCTTCAGAAGTGGCTGTAGTTAACCTCAATGTCCGATAGCTACTGGGTCAACGTTGATGGAATTGCCATTACCACTGCTGACGGCAACGCCCATACCATCTTCGACAAGACGGCCGGCCTGACTGCTTACCTCGACAGCGGCACCACCGTGAGCCAGCTGCCGCCTGCCATGTTCAACGAGGTGCTCAAGCTCTTCCCTGGAGCCCGCAAGGACACCCGCTACAACCAGTGGTACGTCGACTGCTCGCTGGTCAACAGCAAGGGCTTCGTCAGCTTCAAGTTCGGAAACGTTGTCATCAAGGCCCCCTTCCGCGACTTCATCTGGCAGCAGCCCGACTACAAGGTCTGCGTGCTTGGCTTTGTTCCCGATGCTGGTGAGTCCCCTCAACGTGAAAGTCATCTTGATGCCGATCGCCGGACCGTGTCAGACGTGAACATTGGAGGAAACGGTTCAATGACTGACGTGCTTGTCCGCTTCAACAGGAAACCAGTTCATTCTCGGTGACACCTTCCTCCGCTCTGTGTACACCGTCTTCGACTGGGACAACCAGAACGCGTACGTTGCTCAGGGCGATGACTGCGGCAGCCACATCATCCCCATCGGTAAGGGCGCCGACTCCGTCCCCGAGCTGGTTGGCGAGTGCGGCCGTCCCACCACTTCGTCGACGACCTCGCACTCCAAGACCACGTCCGAGACCAAGACGTCGTCCCACACCAAGACCGACACGACGACCACGTCCAAGCCTACCAAGACCGGCTCGAGCTCTTCTGGCTCCGTGACGTCCACCCCTAGCGGCTCGACCTCCAGCCACGGCACCGTCAGCTCCACCACCGGCTGGCACAACGGCACGACGACGGCGGCCCCGACTTACACGTCGACGGTCCGCACCACGCGCACCTACACCATCACGTCGTGCGCCCCCACGGTGACCAACTGCCCCGTCGGCCACGTCACGACCGAGACCATCACCTCGCTGACGACGTGGTGCCCCGGCGAGACGGCCAAGCCCACCGTGACGGAGACGGCCAGCTGCCCCGAGATCACGGGCACCTTCACCATCCCCGCCCCGCCGTGCACCAAGTCTCCCTGTGCCTCGCAGTCGGCGCCTGCCGTCGTCACCGTCGTGCCCATCACGACCCACTCCGTCACCGTCACCGTGCCCGGCTGCCACAGCTGCGGCCCGGCGCCCACCGACGTCACCACCCCGGCCGTCACTTACACGGCGACGACGCCCGCCGGCACTGCGCCCGGCATCTCCACCGTCACCAAGCCGTGCACCACCTGCAGCGCGCCCACCCAGAGCGCGCCGGTCACCGCTGGCGCTGCCAAGACGGTCGGCCTCTCCGCCGCCGGCGTAGTTGCCGCTGTCCTCGCTGTTGCGCTCATGTAAGCATCATGGATGCTCGCATGAAGTGACCGCTGGCTTGTCGGCAAGGGGAGATCAGTCAAGGTGGACTGGCTCAAGTCTCGAGCGGCCCTTTCTTCTTCTTCTTTGGATGTACTTAATATTTCTTATCACGGGACAACTCGTGGGATCACCCGTTGCTCTTTCCTTGTATCATGACCGCTAAGCATGGAGTAACTCGCTTTATTAATGGGGTAATGTTGTCAAGACCTGATGGGTTGCCACCGGTGCTGTAAGCTCTCCGCATGCCCAGTCCCTGGTCCTGAATGATGCAACGAGCAAGCGTTTCCACATTCCTGCTCTGTGACGCCGCGCCACAAGCTGCTGTGTTGACATGTCCCTTTCACGGTGCGAGATCCTGGAACTGCCGGGTGCGGTGCTTGAACTAGGACATTTTAAGATGCGTTTGTTAATCCGCTATATAAAGGTGGCTCCGCCTAACTTGACCACGTATTGACCGACCAAGCAACCTTGTTTGGTATAGAAAATGTATGCGCCTCTGGCCGATGCGCCCCATGATGGTCGCTTTCGCCTTTTCAACGTGCCCTGTGATTCCCGCAGCGATTCCGTGCCTGTTCCACCGGTGCCACGCCTTCCTATGTACAGTTTTATGTGACAGTATTCGATAGAGATAATTAGTTATAAATTCCATTCGCCACCATTTTGAGCTTCGTCTTGATGTCATGAGTCGCTATCTGGACCAGTGCTCCCATTTATAGGAGAAACCTTCACCTCCGGCTCGATCTTCTTCGCTGGACCGGCAGTCTCCGGCTCTTCGGGTATCGTGGCAAACTTGGTCAGGACCTTCTTGAGTGCCGGTCTGCGAATCGGCTTGGCAAGGAACTCGTCCATACCCGATTCCATGCACTCTTTTACGTTGCTCTCTTCGGAGAACGCCGTCAACGCGACAATGGGTGCCAGGTAGCCCATCTTGCGAATTAGACGTGTCGATTGCAGACCGTCGAGATTCGGCATTTGGATGTCCATGAAGATGACGTCAAAGTGCTGGTTCTTCTCCATGTTGGCCTTGACCAGCTCATATGCCTCTTGTCCATCCTTTGCGATGGTGACGTCGTAAACGTCCTCGAGCTTCAGCATCCTACTCACCACCTCGATGTTGGTAGAGTTGTCATCGGCCACCAGCACGCGCAGCTTGCCTTGGCCTGCCTTATTTGCCATGGCCTTGTCGATGGCGGCATGCTGGTCTTGTGTGCTAGGCGTCTTGGGGTTTGGGTTGGATGCGAAAAAAGGAGCGCTCAGCCCGATGAGTCGAGGCTGCTTGTCTTCGAGGACACTTGACTTGCCGTTCGTGGTTGTGGCTTTCTGTTCGGAGGTGCTGGTGACGCTACCAAGCGAATTGCGATGTGTGTCGCCAGCCGCGGCAGTGTTTGACCCGACGCTTGGTGGTCGCGACTTGGTACTGCTCGACGCTGTGCTCGGCACGCGGTCCTTGACGTACTTGAGCGGGATTTGCATGGTAAATGTCGAGCCGACACCAATCGTGCTCTTGACCGTGATGGATCCGCCCATCAGCTTTGCCAGCTGAGCGCAGATGCTCAGGCCCAGACCCGTGCCACCGAACTTCTTACTGAGACCCAGGTCTCCCTGTACAAACGGCTCAAACACCTTCTCAAGCATGTGCTCGGGAATGCCTCGGCCCGTGTCCTCGACTTCAAACTCAAACATGAATGGCTTTGCGTTTGGTGGCGGAGGGGTCGGCGAGCGCTCTCTGATATAGACATGCGGCGTGGCCGCCGGGTCCATGGGGTTGATGGACAATGCTGTTCCCCCTTTGAGCGGCGAAGCGGGTGCTGTCGTCGCCCTGGAGCTTGCCGAATGTGTCGATCCGGAGCCGCCACCACCACGGTGCCGGCTGCGTCCCACTCGTCCAGATCCCGTCTTTGAGAAGGACGATTTGCGGCTGTCTTCTCCGCTCCCTTGCGGCACTTCACCAAGACATCGCATCCGCAGCTCAACTTTGCCTCCTGCAGGTGTGAATTTTAAGCTGTTGCTGACCAAGTTGATGATGACCTGCAGGATTCTGTGCTGGTCGCCCCAGAGGTAAGCGTCTTTCAGCCGGCCCATGCCCAAGGGCCCCAGAGCAGGAAGCCTCTGATCCACGTCGGCCCGGTCGGGGCTTGTGCTAGACTCAGCCGACTCGGAGCCGAGAAAGGACGCTGTGAAGGCAACCTTGCTCTCGCGGACTTGTTTATCGAAAATAGATAACATCTGCGACCTAATCTCGCCTAGGCGGAATTCGCGCTCTTCGAGACTGACGTGTTGCCCAATCTGGTTTTTGGAAAAGCTAAGGAGATCTTCGAGAAGGTGCAGTAACAGGTCGCCTGCAAGCGGGTTAGGGTCAAGAGCCACTCGAGTAGTCTCTGGAACACGTGGCACATACCAGATCTATACAAAGTCTTGAGAGACTGCTTGATGCGGAGTATGTCATCTTCTTCCATGCAAACCGCGCACATGCCCATGATGCCGTTGAGCGGCGTTTTGAGTTCGTGAGATATGTTGGCGATGAAAAGGGTCTTGCTCTCATTGGCTGCCTCTGCCGCTCTTTTGCTGATTTCGAGCTCTTTCGTCCTTTCAGCAACCTTCTCGTCGAGAGAGGTATACTGTTTGACCAACTCGTCGGTCATCTCGTTGAAGGTTTGCGTGAGCTCTGTCAGCTCGTCGGTGACGAAATGCTTGCGGTCCTCGACCCGTCCGGGGATCTTGAATACACGTCGATGAGAATCAACCTCGGCTTGCGTCATGGCTCGTTTCCTCTTCTTGAGTTTTCGCCGGATCGTGGCAAAAACACCCTTCCTGGAGCCCTGAGAGGTGCCCCCAGAGCTCGGGTCCTCGTCAAAATCGTCATATTCATCTTCGTAGCCGGGCGGGTTGATTGAGTTTTCAGTCGCAGCCTTGAGCCGGCGAATAGGCATGACACTCCAATGGGCCGTAGGAACAATGAAGATGATGATCAAGCCGGCGGTGCCAAAGACGCAGCCTAGAAGAATCTTTCGCAGGGTGCTGATTGGTACATAGGCCTCGGCCTCGGCCTTCTCCACGACGACAGCCCAGTCAACCAGGGTGGACTGTGGCCTGGCGACACCGACTGCGACGCGGACGTCCTGTTCGTTGGTGGTGGATAGGAAAGCAGTGGCATTGTTGGGGCCGGATATGTTTTTGTAGTACGCATCGAAGACGGCAGGATAGCTGGAAAGGCTAAAGTCGGCATCATATTGGCCGTCCACGTAGTCTCGATTGGCATGCCGCTGAACCTCTCCGGGCATGTGAATCGGAGGTAGGACATAACGGGCGGGCGATCGAGCAAAGTCGCCCTTGGGTGGTGAGTAGGTACGATTCGTAGGAGAGAGCGGGCTGATGAAATGATTCGAAGGGTTGGCTGGACCGACGAAGAGGACTATGCCGCTCGACCCGAGGCCCTCACGGGACGTCTGGACTTCGATAAGCGATTCGGCGGAGGCGACCAAGGTCATATAGCCTAGGATGAAGTTGGTGGTGTTCAGAGACCGGACGGGCACAGTGAGCGACATCAAGGCGTAGGTTTCGTTGAGGACCAGTGGGCCAAGAAGCAGCCCGCCCTTGTCGCTGATCCGAACGCCAGGAAAGGCGTTGGCGCCGAAGGCTGGCGTGGAGGGATCATAGGGATTAGGGTAGCCGAGCGCTTCGTAGGTGATGTTGGGATAGAGCGACGGCGGATAGCCATATGGGGTGTCGCTGAGCTTGGCTCTGGTGCCGTTGGGCGTGGTGTAAGGAAGGTCGATGTCGCCAGTCTGCGCCCCGGTAACGTTGAGGAGGCCGAAGCGGCTGCCCGTCACGTTCCTCGAATACAATCGCGCCTGGAGCAAATTGGTGACGCGACTGGTGCTCATGGCACTGTGAAGATCGACCCGAGCATTGGCAAAGGGATTGGTGGCGTTGCCGTTGTAGAAATCGACAAAGGCCTGCTGGAGCAGAACTCGGGTTGCGACGGTCTGGCATAGCGTCTGTATCAGATCGATCTCGGAGGCGATGCGCGAGGCCTTGAGCGACGCCGTGAGAGACAGGCCATTAGACTCGACGTCGACGACGAAGTTGTGGACGTAAATCCATGTCGGAATGGAGACGATGGCGAGGGCGACGAGGACGGCCAAGACGACGAGCGCGGCGAGCTGCTCGCGGATGGCGACTCGCAGCTTCATCGCAGGTCAGACCGGGCGACCGAGCGGCGCGCTGCAGGCATTATTGGCCGGCCGAAAGCAAGGACGAATCGCTTCTACTGTCGTTGGCGCGACATTCTCGGGCGTCGTACAGCCGAGGCGAGGCGAGGCGTGGTCACGACGACGGGACGGAGCCGGCGGCGGCCTGGCTGGCTGGTGTTGAACCGTCACGGCGACGAAACGTCGCGACACCGGACGATTGGCAGGGCCGGCGTCGTCAGTCCGGGCGCGGCGCGGCGATGGATTGAAGCACGGCGTGCTGCAGCCGTAAGCTGGCGTCGGTCGGTCGTCGGCGAGGAGGAGGGTGGAGGAAGTGAGAAGAGAAGCGCGAGACGGTTCGAAGTGCGCAGCTGCTAGCGATCGACACGACCTACCTTAGGCGCTGTCGCAGCGGGCGCCGCTGTCAGACCTAGCCAAACGGCCGCTTGTAAGTTACGGGAGAAGTGGGAATGGCTCCTGGGGGCGGTCTTCACGTGGGGACACACTGGAGATTCTAGCGGATGTGGGTACTGTGGCCCAGCGGTGGCCCAGCGCCTGTGCCTGAGCTGGCGGCCGTTGCAGGGACCCGACCGGACTCGTGGGGCTCAGCTCCAGCCGCTGGGGCGCCGGAGCACCACTCCAGGGCAGGCTTGCCTGGCACAGGGCTCGCCTGTCGCCGAGGTGGGAGGGGCGGACTGTTCGTCCCGAAGCACCCTTGCCCCGATGGGGTCTGGGGCCGACAGGCGAGCGCGGTCCAGGCCCTGGAGCCAATCTCGCCATCCAATACTCGCACAACTCGGCCCAAGCCACGCCCGTGTCTCATCGACGATCTTCGTCGCCCATGCCCCAGCCCTGCATCAGCGAGAGCCAGACAGACAGCCCGACAGACACCATCTCGTACGATGCGGCGACATCTCATGGATCTCTCGACTCCGTACTGGGAACAACGGCCCCCTTTGCCGCAACCGTTCAAATCAACCAACGTGGGAGGTGGCGCCATCAGAGACGAATTGCTTCAACGGCGTCGGTGCCTATTCCGACACGCGAGCTTCATCAGGAATTACCTCGCAGACACCAAGCACATACATACATCAAAAGTACCTGTACATCCTCGCTTCAATACACATAGCGGAAGTTGGGGTTCTCCCGGTCCGTCAGATCCTCAAACGCGTGCAGCATCTGCTCGTCGCGCGCCTCCCGCACGCCCGCCTCGGCCATCCTATCCCGCACCTTGTTCTGCCGCACGAGGTACCACCGCAGCGCGACAATGACCACGACGAGGAGGCTGTAGCAACCCAGGTGCGTCGCAAAGGCGATAAAGTATCGCGGCTTGTCCCGGTCGAGGAAGACTTGGGGCCCTGCGCCGTCCGCATCGTTAGCACGCGCCCACATACTGCATGCATCACGCAAGCACATGTCTGTCACCTACCGATTGCGTTGCCCGTCGCCCAGACGATAAAGTTGACGGCGACTGCGACGCTCTTCTTCGTCTGTCCGGCGACGTTGCGCGACACCATGGACAGTGCGAGCGTCTGCGCCGACCAAAACGACAGCGTGATGTAGTAGCATATCACGAGGCCGATCTTCTGGCTCTTTGTATCCAGCGGCACCGTCATGAGGCAGATTGTGCCGACAAAGGAGCTGCCGATGTTACGTTAGCGCACCACCACCGAGGAGGACGAAACAGGGGATCAACATACGGCACTACGAAGCCAAGCATCACCAGAAGGTTCTGGTTCGTCTTCTTGACCAGCCACACCGACCCAAGCAGCACGATGATGATGTAGAAGCCCAGCACCATGGCCAGCAGCTGCGTCTGCAGCGTCGTGAAGCCGAAGCTCTTGATGATGATGCCCTGGAACGCCCCCAACCCAGACGTGGGCAGCGTCGTGCATAGCTGCACCAACGCATAGCCCCAGACCTGCGGGTCCGTCAGGCCCTCCCAGAACTGGTGCTTCTTCCACTCGCGATTCTGGATGCCCGTCTGGTTGTCACGGACACGCTCCACCATGAGGTGCTTGTCCTCTTCGGAGAAGCACTTGGCCCTCATCGGAGAGTCGGGCAGCCACCATCCCACGAAGAGGCCAAAGACCACGGAAATGACGCCGTAGACGAGGAAGATCCACTGCCACGACTTGAGCGGCCCCGAGGTGATGAGGCTGAAGCAATATGCAAGGAGGCCGCCGACAATCTGCTGCGCCCCGTTCATCATGTACCTGAGAGCGCATTAGCACAGAGCCAAACCCAGGTTTCATTGTGCACACCGGCGACTTACCAGTATGTTACTCTGGCCGCCTGCTCCTCTCGCCGGTACCACATGGACGACATGACGACAAATGCCGGCTGGCACACAGACTCAAACAGACCGAGCAGCGTGCGGACAGTCACGAGGTGTGCAAACGTCGTGCACGCTGCCGTGCAGGCGAGGACCGTACCCCAAGCAACGATGTTGAAGCTCAGATACTTGCCGATGGGCACTCGGGCGATGGTGAAGTTTTGCGGGTACTCGACAATGAGGATTGTGATGTAGATGCACGTCGTCAGCCAGTTGTACTACTCGCTGTTAGCACGGTCGAGCTGCCACTGGAGAGAGTCGCAGCATGCTGGGGAAGCGTACATCCTGACCCGTCAGGTTCGTGTCCTCTCGGATGCCCATGATGGACGCAAACGACATGGTGCCTTTGTCGATGGCTTGCAGGAAGTAGGTTGCGATCATGATGGCGAGCACCCGCTTGTCAATCTTGCGCCTCAACTCATCGTTCTTCTCGGGCGAGATCTCAATCCGTGACGACGCGACATACTTGGCGAGTTCTTTGTCGACGCGGTCGTAGTCGGTATGGTCCTTGGCATCGACATCGACAGAGAGCTGTCGCTCCCTCTCGATGGCGGAACCCTCGTCCTTGGCTTCGACGGCCATGCTGTTCTGGCTTCAGTTTGTCTTGGCTCCGCGTCGGTCGTCGCCACAGTTGATGGCAAGTCGATGAACACCTCTAAGCATAGAGTCATGAGCGGTGCTGCTGATATTCGTCAACCCAGGACATATATGATCGTGACGAGTCTCGTCTTTGGGGGCCACGGCACTGCGAGCCCGGCCAACATTGACCCGAAGGCGAAGGGGATGGGTCTGCCCTGCTTCTCGTGGTGTCACAAATCAGTGTCTCGCTCACCCCAGCCGTGGCCGGTTTGCCGCATTGACTGCTCCCGGCAATCGCCTGCGCTTCGCCAGAGGCCACACAACAGGCCGCGACCCCGGATCTCCGTTGGCCCTCGTCAATAGCGCCCCCGTCGTCGACACCACCTTTAACCGCGACGCGAGTCTGGGGTTGCGGGGTTTCTCCAGCAATCAGCTCGCCTGCCGGCTAAAAGGGCGCTTCGTGAGCCTCCGCAATCCCGCTTCACTGGTGGAGCAAGTCCCGCCCCAGCACACTGGGGTAAGGGTGCCATCAGTTGGGCCGCCGTCTTCTGTCCCGAATCCCAGGCCGTCGTCGGCTCGTGCCAGTTTGGCCCGAGAAAGAATGCGGGGAGATGGCTCTCCAACGGTCGGCCGATCATGGCCCGAAGGGGCGGCCAGCAAGGGAGCTGTTGGAGCTGTTGGGCGTCTTCCGGTCACGGAGTCACGAGAGCTTCAATAACTGGCTCGCGGCTCGTCCATCACTGCCAACATCACTCTTTCCCACTGAGCAAGCCTTTTCGAATCACGCTGAGCTTTTACCGCCAGCCAACATGCCCTCCACCGTCCACGGCATCGCCTCGAGCGAGCTCCACGACAAGATCAAGCTCCTCATCCACGCGCTCGTCAACATCCAAGACACGACTGGCGAGTTCCTCCTCACGCTACCCGACGGCCGCGTAATCGACACAAAAGGCTGGAACGACTGGGAATGGACGCACGGCATAGGGCTCTACGGAATATGGCAGTACTTTCAAGCCACCGGTGATACCCAGTACCTACGCATCATCGAGGACTGGTTCCGGGCGCGGTTCGACGCTGGCGGCACCTCCAAGAACATCAACACCATGGCTGTCTTCCTCACCCTCGCGTACGTCTACGAACACACTCGCGAACCAACATACCTCCCCTGGCTCGATTCCTGGGCCGAATGGGCCTACCACGACCTCGAACGTACAAAGTACGGCGGCATGCAGCACATCACGTACTTGGAGGAGAATGACCAGCAGCTCTGGGACGACACTCTCATGATGACCGTCCTGCCGCTCGCCAAGATTGGCCTCGTGCTCGGCCGTCCACACTACGTTGCCGAAGCGAAGCGGCAGTTCCTCCTGCACGTGCAATACCTCTTCGACTCGCGGACGGGACTCTTCTTCCACGGCTGGACCTTCAACGACGGCGGCCACAACTTTGCCAACGCGCGCTGGGCACGCGGCAACAGCTGGCTGACCATCGCCATCCCCGAGTTCATCGAGCTGCTCGACCTCGCGCCCGAGGACCCGCTCCGCGCGCACCTCGAGCATACCCTCGCCGCGCAGTGCGAGGCGCTCCAAAAGCTGCAGGCCCAGAGCGGGCTCTGGCGCACGCTGCTCGACGTGTCTGAGGAGGAGGGATCATACGTCGAGGCCAGTGCTACCGCGGGCTTCGCCTTTGGCATGCTCAAGGCGCAGCGGCGGCGGTACGTGGACAAGGGCTACGAGGAGACGGCGGTTCGCGCCGTGCGCGCCGTGCTGGACAACGTGAGCGACGAGGGTGAGCTGTTGAATACGTCGTTTGGCACGGCCATGGGACGGGACTTGGCGTTTTACAAGAAGATCCCCATCACGTCTATGCCGTACGGACAGGCCATGGCTATCATGGCGCTGGTCGAGATGCTGAGAGCGTACATATAGACCGGAGCACTGTCATAACAAATCAGTTTCCCAAAAAGTCATGATCTCATTGCCTCTTCCGTGTGGCCAGCCATTACACAATAATATGATCACATATACAAGGATGTTCGACTATCCCGCTTGGCCCGCATGGGCCTCAACTGCGACTGAGCATGCAGGGGACTGTCAGACCTTCCGAGCTCCGGGGTCGCCGCGTTGCCACCACTTGCCTGACACCTCGCGAATGGTGTTTGTCAGACAATGCACATCCCCAGAGTGTGCATGGGCCAAGAAGTAGTCGTCCACATATAGGACGTCGAAACCCCCCGCCGCGTATGCGGCCGTGACGCTCTCCGCCAAGATGTCCCGGCCGTTGATCACCGGGCACCATGGATTTGGGGCTAGATATGCTGTGTTGCTGAGCACCACGCCGTTGATTGCCGCTGGGTAGAAGGCCACAGCCCCCGGCCAGTCATTTGGATACGACTCTTCGTCATCGCCTCTGGCGCTGAGGAGCCGGGGCTGGCGCAGTCTACTATCCGCCTTGGTGATGTCTCCGTCGCCCTCCCGTCCCATCCTGCAGGGCGACGCACATCGCGGGCGTCGACGCCCAGCTTGAGGCCCTTCCTGAGGTCCTCGCTGGTAAATGTGTGATTGGGCGATATCCAGCCTTGGCCCACGCGGCGGAAGATGCGCACATTTTGCGCTACCGCCTCATCCTGACTCGGATAGATCCGACGGCCTCAACGCTCAGGCCTTGGACTGGGAGCGTTCTGAGCGGCGCCAGGTACTTTGGGTTTCGCTGCTCATTCCCCGAGGCATCGTTGCAAGCATCCAGCATAGCGATCAGCGACTTGACGTCGCGTACCTTGGAAGAGCAACGACGGTTCGTATCTCCAATGTTGGCCAGGAAGATGGCGCCGGCTTGGTCTGTCCATGTGTCTCTTCCCTTCAGGTCGGCGTCTCCGGTGGTGTCGACGATTCCATCGCGGTTAGTATCACCAACGATTGTGACCTTGAGGGCGCACGAGATGCCCGATAGGACTGCATGACCCCGTTAGCCTCCGCAAAGGAGATGGCCTCATCCGTGATTTCGACAAGAGTTGTATGTGTTTGACGTACACAGGGTCGAAGTGAGCGTACTCTCATCGTTTCTAGAAAAGGAAAGAACGTGAAACTCGGACGGAGCAGGGCTGAGCACGGTATGGTCAATATGGGCTCCGAGAGGTACTTTACATTTGCATGTTCATGACTTCGTTTTTCAATCGGATGACTCGCATCGCGGACGTTTGTCGGCATGCAGGCTCCAATCGCTATATAGCGGACGTTTTGGCTGACCACACATTCATTCATGGCTAGAGGTGTAGGCAGGTCACATTGAGGGACGGTCTACAGCAACCTCAATTGATGCTAACATGAATGTCGCGGTCATGCCAAGTGCGCTCCCCGCCTCGCATTGATTGCAGGCATGTTCAATTTGGGTGCCATTCATGCATGTGGTATTTAAGGGCCAGGCAATCCCATGTCCCCGAGATCCTGATCGGCCATGGGATCACGAGTGCTCTCGGCGTACGCTGAACGTATATCATGTGGTGTCGGCAACTTCACAGTTTCCAGCCATCGATGGCAGTGGCATCAAGGATACCCAGGTTGTGGCAAGAACATGAAGCTTCCGAGCCCTAACTATGATAGTGCCACTTGTATAAGGCGCATGATTTCGTCCTGTTGCGAGTTCTGGGCCTTGTCCTGCTGCGAATTGTCGGCCACATTGTATATAGTTAAACTTGGGTGCAGCCTTGCAAGGGACATGGCATCATTGAAGTCTAATACGTCTTGTACGCGCAATGGAGCCAAACATATTATGTATGAGTACCCCGGTCACCTGTCACCTTGCTGAGGGGCTTTTCTGCAATAAATCGCCAAGACTGTTGACGGGGCCCAAACGATCTGGGTGAGTCGCGAATCCCTCTCCAGGTTTACCTCGGCAAGCCTCGCAAGTGCTGCCGCCCCGCGAGACACCTTTGGACGTGCATTTGTCACCGCAATCATCAGTGACTGAGGCCAGTACTGCAGACAGACATCTCCTGACTTTTTTGCTGGACAAACACCAGGATGTGGCACGATTTTGTGGTTCGCCCCCGGAGCCCCTCAGTACCTCTGACCTTCGACTCCATCGCTGTCCCTTGGCTCAGCCCCAGTATGCCGAGATCGCAACACGCTACCTGGTCACTACCCCACTCGCTTCAGCACCAAGTCAAGACCCCTCGCCGGCAACTTGACGAGTTTGGGATGTCCCAGGACCTGGAGAAGCGTCTCGACTTCCATCCGCCGCCGCCGCCTCTCACTCAATCATGACCGGCAACGACGGGGCCTCATCGCACGATGCCAAGCCCGCGACTACACAGCAGGCCAGCCCTACAGCGGACGGCCTCAAGATTGAGCTGATCACCGACATCAGGGACTTGGCCCGCGCCTTTGACTGCACTTGCGAGGCATTTGGCCGCCAGACAAAGGACGGCATATGGACGCACCTGAACCCTGGGTGGGAGACGCCCGAGGGGAGACAGAAAGCCGTGGACCTTTTGGAGAAGCGCTGGCGCAGCACGACGACCGATGCCCGCGGGCGAGCCAACACCGTGTTTCTCAAAGCGACCCTCCCCGATGAATCTCAGCAACACCAGTCGGAGTCAACGCGCGTGCTCGCCGGCTTCGCCATCTGGCTGCAGGCGTCGGCGGTCCCCGGCTACGGCGACGCGCCCGCCGAGGATCTGCGGCAGGTGATGGATCTGGAAGCTATGTACCCAGGCGACGAGCCTTCGCAACGATACGCCTGCCAGATCGACGCCTCTCTGCACCGCCAGCGGATCCAGGTGATCAAGCATAAGGCCGAGACCAACGCCTCGCCTCCTGCCATTATGGTGCTGGATATCTGCTGCGTGAACCCCAAGTTCCAAGGGAGAGGCGTCGGCAAGGCCCTCACGAAGTGGGGGGTCGATGAGGCAAGGGCTAGGGGCGGCATCGAGGCCGTCACGGAGGCGTCTGTCATGGGGAGGCGGGTGTATGAGAAGCTGGGCTTTCGGCAGGAAGGACCGGAGATTGTGTATGATGTGGACGCAGAGTTCGCCGACCGTGGCCTGCCGTCCAACATTTTCATGCGAACGGGACTTTTGTCTTAGACGGGGATGAGTGACCAACGTATGGCGTTTCCGATCACGACAGAGACAAGATAGACTCGCTCTCTTATCAATCTGTCTATTGCTCTCCAAGTATCATCCTCAGTACGACTTGGGAAGCCCCAGCACCCGCTGCCCAATGTAATTGAGAATCATCTCACGGCTCACCGGCGCGATGCGCGGCACAAACACCTCCCTCAGATACCGCTCAACGTGGTACTCCTTCGCGTAGCCCATGCCGCCGTGCACCATGACGGCCCGCTCGCACGCGCGAAACGCCGCCTCGGCCGCCAGGTACTTGCCGGCGTTGGCATACTCGCCCGACGTGTGTCCCTGGTCGTACATGCGCGCCGCCTGCATCAACAACAGGCGCGCCGCCTCGAGGTTCATCCAGCTGTCTGCGAGGGGGTGCTGCACCGCCTGGTTCTGCCCGATGGGCCGTCCGAAGACGACACGCTCGCCGGCGTAGGTGGCTGCACGTCGCAGAGCGGCGAAGCCCAGCCCAAGAGCCTCCATGCCGATTAGTATCCGCTCGGCGTTCATGCCGTGCATAATCATTTTGAAGCCGTGGCCTTCCTCGCCGATGCGATCTGCGGCGGGGACCTTCCAGCCGTCAAAGAATAGCTGGTTCGTGTCGACAGCGGCGCGGCCCATCTTGTCAATCTCTGTGATCTCGACGGCGTCGCGATTGAGGTCCGTGTAGAACAGCGTGAGGCCCTCGGATGGCTTCTTGACTTGCTCCAGCGGGGTGGTGCGCACAAGGATGAGGATTTTGTGGGCATTCTGTGCTGTCGATATCCAGATCTTCTGGCCCGAAAGAATGTAGTCGTCTCCCTTGCGCCGGGCCAGCGACTGCAGCTTCAGCGTGTCGAGCCCCGTGTTCGGCTCCGTAACGGCGAAGCATGCCCTCTCCTTGCCGTCAATCATGGGCCGGAGAAACCGCCGCCGCTGCTCTTCGGTTCCAAACCTGACCACTGGCTCAAGCCCAAAGATGTTGATGTGCACAGCCGACGCGGCGGTCATACCTCCACCAGACTCGGCGATGGTCTGCATCATGACCGCCGCCTCGGCGATACCCAGCCCGGAGCCACCGTACGCCTCGGGCATGCAGATGCCGAGCCAGCCGTCGCACGCGAGAGCGGCATGGAGTTCGAGAGGAAACGTTTTGGAGCGGTCTGTCTCGAGCCAGTACTCGTCGGGGAAGCGCTGGCATATCTTGGCGATGGCCTCACGGACGGTGCGCTGGGAGTCAGTCAGGTCTGGGTCCTGAGACTGGAGGAACTCTGTTGCTCTAGCAGTGGACTGTCGTCTCCGTGATTGTAGCTGTGAGTATACAGCTTGTCTGGGTACTTTATGGCGGCAAAAGGATGGGATTACGCCTTCCTGCTCGCGGTCAGATACATGTCCATATTTCGCTTCGTGATTGTTCGGCCGAGTTTACCAGTAAGAAGGCTCGCCGCCCCGTCCACAATATCTTCGAGCTCAACATGGCGCGAATTCCATGCCAGTCCGCCAAGGCATAACATTGGGAAGTTCAATTCGTCTCAGAACCGCGAAGCTCCCCAAAATCTCACCTGTTGGAGGCGAGCCTCGGCCCCCGCAGTTCCGATCGGAGGGTAGCTGTCAAGACGCCCCGACTCCCCGCATCTCACCGTCCAGGCGACGGGCAGAGTCCGACAGCGTGCATTAACCGAGCGATGTCGGTCTGCATTTGTTGTTACATTTTGCTACAGCTTTTCCTAAGTATAAGCAACCGTCAGCAATCCGGAGAAGCATTAAACCTTGTTCAACTGCAATTGCTTCACGCTGTGTGTCCTGATAATAGCCATGGCTCTTTGCCCCTCTCTTGAGCTCCGGCAATGTGCGTCGCGATTAAGACCGTTGCTGTCACGCAGACTACTGCCTCTCACTTTTACCGCACTACGATTCTCGCACTCCGGCGCCAAGGTAACGGGTCCATTGAGGGGGGTGAGGGTTCTGGATCTCTCGAGAGTGTTGGCTGTGAGTGTCGAACCAACCCACGAACCGATTGCCCTTTGCCAGCGAGGCGGACGTCTTACCGTCACAGGGTCCGTTTTGCACGCAGATACTAGCCGACTACGGTGCAGACGTCATCAAGATCGAGCAACGGTCAATTGGTGTAAGTCGCGCCCTCGAGCTGTGTTTCGGGGAGGCAAGCACAGACTAATTCGTGTTTGACAGGACGACACAAGGTCCTGGCGGACCGATGGCGAACAGAAGTTGTGGAAAGGAGCCAACAAGGAGCTTTCGGCATATTTTTCCACCATTAATCGCAACAAGCGCTCCGTCACGTTGGATCTGAAGAGCGAAAAGGGCCAACAGGTTTTGCTCGAGCTCGTCAAGCGAGCCGATGTTGTGTCAGTCGGCGTACCCCGTTGGACATCGGAGAGGCTCGAGTCTAATCGGATTCAGCATTGACAATTTCGTGCCGGGCAAGCTGGATGAGCTGAACATTGGCTACGAGCGCCTCCGGCAGGCCAATCCCACTGTCATTCATGCCAGCATATCAGGTACGCCTGTTACTTTCCCGGCATCGGCTCACTCCACATGCTCACAGCCTGACAGGATATGGACAAACGGGTCCGTATGCTAAGCGCGCCGGCTACGACGTCATTGCCGCTGCAGAAGGCGGGCTCTTGCACATCACTGGCGAACCTTCGGGCCGGCCGATGAAGCCCGGCGTGGGTCTGACGGACATGTGCACCGGCCTCTACATGCACGGTGCCATCCTCGCCGCGCTGCGCTCCGGAGAGGTCACCGGCAAGGGCCAGCAGGTCGACACGTCCCTTTTCGAGACGCAAGTGTCGCTGCTCGCCAACGTGGCCATGTCGTGGCTCAACTGCGGACAAGAGGCGCGCCGCTGGGGCACGGGACATCCCAGCATCGTGCCGTACGGCTGCTTTCGCACGGCCGACTCGTGGTTCGTCGTCGGGGCCGTCAACGATCGCCAGTTCCGGAAGCTCTGCGGATTGCTAGGTAGAGCTGATTTAGGTGAGGATGAGAGGTATCTGACGAACGATGCCAGGGTTCGCAACCGCCATGAGCTGAATCGACTGCTGGACGAACTTTTTGCGGAAAAGTCAACGAGCGAGTGGCTAGCCGCGTTTGAGGGAAGCGGCATGCCGTACGGACCCATCAACACCATGGAAAAGGTGTTTGAGCATCCACAGACCTTGGCGCGGGATATGGTGGAGACGGTCAGCGATGAGTCGACCGTCTCTGGAGAGGTTAAAGTCCTCGGTGAGCGACATCTCTCCCTGATTTTTGGTGCATGAGGCTAAAGGGAGTCCGCAGGCATCCCGGTCAAGTTCAGTCAGGACAAGCCGTCCGTTCGATCCCGGGCACCCCGACTCGGTGAGCACACGGATGATGTGCTGTGGGAAATTGGGTTTGACGCCGATGGTATTGCACAGCTGAGGCGTGAGCAGGTCGTATAGAATCAGAAAGCGGAGTTCATGTTGAATGAGAAATCGGCGAGGTCATAAGAAGCTTGCGACCTAAGTTTCTCGTCGCTATTGGGGCAGTTTAGAGACTGCGACAGTAGCTACCGGCTTATCGCCTGACGACGTTGAGACAGAACGGCTGCCTACGACCGCAATGGTCTAGAAAAAAAGCCAGGACGTAGCAAGCCAAAAGACTGCCGTTGCCGAAGACTAGATGCACAGTCGATGGATATGTTTGGCAGAAGCAAGCGAGATCGAGGAGACGGCAGCTTCAATCTAGGGTAGGCGGGAACTATCGCCACAACTTCATGATTTGGCAGCAAGGGGCCAAACAAGAGTACCACTATGGCCTAGCAGGCCTCGTAGGCAAAAGAATTGGGGTGCCAAGGTCAAGGAAGTGTCATACAGACATTGGTATTGTTCAGAAGGCCTCATCACTTCCGAAGCATCCTTCGAGCTGTGTCGGCGTGCTGGCGACAAACACTTTCCGGCGATGTGGGGGGCAGAGGCTAGCGCCATGCCGTGGCGGACACAGTGGCCTGCATAAGAAAAAATAACGCAGCAGTTTTCAACAACCAGTTGCGGCCATAGATTAGCTGGGAGATCGTCAGACTGAAGTAAAACTTCAATCCTACGGATGCCTATCTGAAGGTCGTGTGTTCGAGTCACACTGGCCGCATCTAATTTTTTTTGCCCTTTTCTGCACTCATTCTTTTTAGAAAAACAGCAGAGCTGTTTCTGGGCAGAATTGCCTGGGACAGACAAGTCACTTACTTTTTGCAATCTGAGACAGCCGCGCGGTGAAGAGATCGATAAATGCAAGCTGGGGCCGCCAGCAGCTACCCAGGATGCCAGGCCAGGTATGGTCGGTGCCGACTGCCGGCCATCTCGCCGCGTGTTCTAAACTCCGCATCTCCGCTGGCGGGACAGACAACAACGGTGCTTGCCAATCTAGGAATTGAGCGCGCAGGCGTTGTCGCTGTGCGAGACGGGCTGAAAGGGTCCGTCGCGCCGCCATGCAAGGTGCATGTCTCGGACAGTTTGTTAGTCCCGGTGTAGTCGCCATCAATTGCCTCTGCTGCTGGCTTCAATCCGTCAAGCAACAACCTCTGCCCATGATCACGCAGAACTGAATGCAGGTATATCCCATCAATGAAGCTCGTCATTGCAGGCTCCACGGGCTTCGTCGCCACGGAGCTCATCCGACAGGCCATTGCGCACAAGCGCGTCACCTCCGTGGTCGCGCTCGGCCGTCGCGAGACGTCGGTCCCGTCGAATGTCGCCCCCGGCGCGGACGCGTCCAAGCTCAAATCGGTCGTGTGCAAGGACTTTGAGAATTACTCCGACGATGTGAAGAAGGAACTGGCCGGCGCGGATGCCTGCATCTGGTGAGCTGCGCCGACATGATGGCTCTCCCATGCTGGCGCACGTCGACAGCTGACAAGCTTCTAGGACAATCGGCGTGACGCCGTCGCACATGAAGGAAATGTCGTTTGAGCAGGCGACCAAGATCAGCCGCGACTACGCCGTCGCCTGCGTCGGCACCATGGCCAGCCTGCCTCGCGGCGAGGCCGGCACTCCCCTGCGCTTCATCTACATGAGCGGGTCCAGCGCGGTGCGGGATCCGGCCAAGAAGCCATGGATCCTGGGCGACTACTGCGTCATGAGGGTGCGAACCTCCCTTTGACTTTACCATTGCCTCACGTGCCATGATCACTCAACACTGATATTTGCATCTTGGTATTACCATAGGGCGACGCTGAGTCGCGCATCCTCGACCTCGCAAAGCAGTCGAACGGCTCGGTGGAGGCCGGCATCGCGAAGCCCGGGCTCATCGACGCGCCGGGCAAGATGGGCGCGGCCATGAAGTTTGCGGTTGGCATTGGGCGCGCCTTTATTGGCCTGCCGCTGATTGATGTGCGCGTGATCTCGGCCGCGCTCCTGGATCAGGCGCTCAACGGGCTGGAGAAGGACACGCTGCTCAACGAGGACTTGGCTCGTATTGGCCAGAGGCTGCTGGATGGAGAGAAGGCCAAGGACTAGGAGGGCCAGTACGTAGGCTGATGCGCGAAGCTTTCGCGCCTTGGACAGTCTAATATGCTTGGCTGATGAATGGTCGGGGGAGGATCGATGCGATGGGGGGCAGTCTGCGCGACTTGGCATGCGGAGGGATCAGTCGCATCGCCACGATGCTGCGTGGACAATCGCATCTGAGCGGTTTCGTCTGCCGTGGATTTCCAGGACAGAGCCTCGTCTTATACCTCAGGCCCTCTATTTTCTCAAGTATATGACCATGAGATGACAGGCCTGGATTGCCCGAGGCCCGATGAGGAAATGTTCCGGAAGAGATGAGCAGCATCGTAACTGTCGGACCGACCGAGCGGGCTCTGGTGCGCGATCGTCTCCGGCAGCTGTAAATACGCGTCAGACTGCATGGGAGAGACACCGAGCAAACGGCCGATGTATGGGTCCCTTCAACTGCCAGGCCATGCAGGCCATGGGTGCCATGGCCTGCAGTGCCGCTGTAGATGGAGCTTCCTGCGGCGCGGTGCCTGGTTCCGACCCACGACTCCACACAACACATCTTAGCTTCGCGAGCGTCGTTGACGTTGTTTGACTCGAGTCCGTCTGACTGCCCTTGGCTGCTCGTCAAGCAAGATGAGGAGGACAGGCCAAGCTGGTCTCTCCCACAGTGAGGTCGCGAGCAATGGTTCGGACTGCGCAGAGTGGCCGATGGCCCGCCGCCAGCCCGATCCAACTTTTTGCTACGGGAGACCGACCCGTGGAGCACAAGACGCGCCAAGCTGGGCTGCCGAAGAAAGATTGGGGCCGTAGGCTTCGATCTGCCTTGGCGGGGCGGCCGATGTCTGGCTCCAGGAAGCCGGTGGATGAGCGTTCTCCAGCTCGACCACTTTTTTTTTAATCGTGCCGGCAAACGGACCGATGCCGTTGAACGATGAGGCAGTGATTGTCAAAGACGTAGAGGGCAATGATTGCGCTCCTCGCAAACGTCTGGCTGAGAGAAACTTGGACTTAGCTGCGAGGACGGATGTGTGCAGGTCGCGGACGACATCCTCAAAATGATGCTGGGGGAAGATCAAGTTATGGGATGTTCAGGTGCTTAAGTGCTGTCATTTAAGCTTAAGGGCCAGCTGATGCAACATCCGGCGCCCGCAGCCAACCGGATGTGCCGCCTGTAGAGACGCGGCTCCAGCGCCCTGCCCCCCTGAAGCCAATCTCAAGCCTCCCGTCACTTTCTCCGGCCAAGCGGCCGCCGACCATCGCTCATCCATGAACCCGCCCTCGCGCATGCGCTCTGCAGCAGCCATCCCAACACGAATCAACGACCCAGACGCTGGACTCTAGAAAGCCGTGGATCTTGTCCCACTCGCCATGCTGGTTCCGTTCGGGCCATGTCCGCCAACCGTGGCGGTCTGACCCGCTCGCCTGGCAGGAACCCGTCTCCTTGTTCGGCAGGATGGAAGCACACCCGGAGCTGCGTTGATGGCGCGTGAACGGATGGACATGCCAAGGTGTCGGCAAGTAGCAGGTACTCGCGGCGGCGCTTCCTCGCCGTTTGCCAGCGTGTACATGACGATAGCCAAGGCACGAGGCGTCGTGGACTGCTGCTGCCACACCCTCCCCAGGCGACATCCCGAGTCAAAACCCACAACATGACCGTCGAGTGTCCCAGGGCCTTGTCTACTCTCACGCCCCTTGACGTGAGCCGCATCCCCCATGCCTTCGGCTTGGGTGCAGAAATAGCATCCTTTCTTCACCCCTCCGCATTCTCCCCTTGGCACTCCCCGTCAATGTTGGGGCGGACCACCTCCCGCATGGTACTAATAACCCTCCCTCCGCACCCCAGTTTCTCTCCAGCTCTGCTTGTTGTCGAGCCCTGACCAAAGTCCGAAATCTGGGGTGTCGAGAGTTCGCGTGTATCACTATCCCACAAATCACTGTCAAGTCCAAGCCGTGACTCGGGAGGAGTCCCAGGCCATCATGTTTGGCAAAAAGTGAGCCACCTTCCTCCTTGCTGCTCCTCTGTGCCGTGGAGACAAGTGTCTAATTTGGCAATGCAACAGATCCATCAAAGTCAATGGCGCCGACTGCGGCTTCGAGGCCATCATCCTCGGGGCCACGACCTCTCTCGGCGGATTCCTTTTTGGATATGACACCGGTCAGATCTCGGGAATGCTCCTCTTCAAGGACTTCATAAGGCGATTCGCAGAGCCGGTAGGAAACGGAGAGTACGAGTGGAACTCCATAAACAAATCGCTTCTCGTGTCGCTCATGAGCATCGGATGCCTCATAGGCTCATTGTCAGGCGCCTAGTACGTCTACATCATCCTTTCCAGGAATGCTAAGTGCGTGGATGTCGTTACTGACGGTTTGGTCTGTCACAGCACCGCTGGTTGGTGGGGTCGGCGCAAGAGCCTGTCGTTTGGCGTAGCCATCTTCATCATTGGCAACGTTATCCAGATCACGTCCATGTACAGCTGGGTCCATATGATGATGGGCCGCTTCGTTGCTGGTCTCGGTGTTGGCAATTTATCCGTCGGTGTCCCCATGTTCCAGTCGGAGTCGTCCCCTCGAGAAATTCGCGGAGCTGTAGTCGCCTCGTACCAGCTCATGATCACCTTCGGCATCCTCGTCTCCAACATCATCAACTTTGGTGTCCGAAACGTCGAAGAGCAGGATGCCTCGTGGCGTATCGTCATCGGTCTCGGCATTCTCTTCTCTCTTCCCCTTGGCCTTGGCATCCTTCTTGTGCCTGAGTCTCCTCGATGGCTCGCTGGTCGTGGGGACTGGGACGGCGCGCGAACATCGATGGCGCGACTTCGCGGTCTGAAGCATGACGCCCACAACGCCCTGGTGGAAAACGACATCAAGGAGATGCGAGAGATCTTGGACAAAGAGCGACAGGCTGGCCATGGCACCTGGCTGGAATGCTTCACCCCTCGCAGTGGCATCCCCAAGCTCGTCTACCGAACCTTTCTCGGCATGGGCATCCACTTCTTGCAGCAGTGGACAGGCGTCAATTACTTCTTCTACTACGGCGCCACCATTTTCGAATCGGCGGGCATTAGTGACCCGATCCAAACGCAGATTATCCTTGGCGCCGTCAACGTTGCGATGACCTTTTACGGCCTGTACGTTGTGGAGAAGTATGGCCGCCGGTGGCCTCTGTTCATCGGCGCTCTGTGGCAGGCCGTGTGGCTATTGGTGTTCGCCACGATAGGCACGGCAAAGCCTCCAGGCACGGAGACGAACAAGGAGAGTGGCATCGTCATGATTGTATCGGCTTGTATGTTCATCGCATCGTTCGCTGGAACCTGGGGCCCCATGGCCTGGGTCGTGATAGGAGAGACGTTCCCCATGCGCACAAGGGAGAAGCAGGCTTCTTTGGCTACGGCAGGCAATTGGCTTGGAAACTGTAAGTTTGCCATGGATTCCATTTCAACAGCGCATCGTACTGACTTGACGGCAGTCATGATTGGCTTCCTCACCCCCCTCGCTACCGAAAAGATCAAATACGCCTACGGCTTCGTCTTTGTCGGCACCAACTTCGCCGCCGCCCTCCTCGTCTGGTTCTTCCTTTACGAGTCCCGGACACTTAGTCTTGAGAATGTCGATCTCATGTACAGCCAGGAGGGGCTCAAGCCGTGGAACAGCTCCAAGTGGGTGCCGCCGGGCTACATCACGAGAAAGCAGCGAGACGACAACTTTTTCGGGCAGAAGACTGTGCAACACCAGGCTAACGAGAAAGACGCGAGTGACTCTAACGACGCTATAACGGAGGACCGACGAGAGATTGCATAGGTTGTGGGATCAAGCGCGAGCCCGTGGAGCTGCCTACAGTGCGAAAATTTGTGTAATTATAGTGTATGAATACTGCACAGGGGTAAGAGGAAGGTGATGGCCCCTTACTAGCGCTCTAGTCATCGTTGGCTAAGAAATATGATATTATGCTGTCGCTGTCTATAGTATAAGTGTACGCTTGGGAGCCTCGAGGGCATCCGCCTCTCGCGCCATATGCCTGACTCCAGCAGCACAGAGTAGTGAGTCTGGGTGTTCAAGTTTTACACTTCCTCTTTTGCCTTCTCATTCGTCGAGTGCATATGACCAGAGCCGCTCAAGACTCCGTTTTGTGCTGCAGCGTTTGGATGCTCGCTCTTCTCAGTCGCGGCGACAGTACTATCGCTGTCGGGGGACTCGCTGGCAGTTTCGCTGTCCACGCTCTCGAGATCGTAATTTGTCGGATCAGCCGCCTCTTCGTCCGCGACACGCTCCTCCTTCTTGAGGTTCGTGGGCGCAAACTTGCTCCGGACACGAATCTGCTTGCCGTACTTGTAGAACGCAAAGGGGATGATGGCGAGGACGGTTGCGACGCCGCCGATGAGGCTCCCGCCACCGCCGATGCCCATGGCGGCGAACATCTGGTTGGTGAAGAGGGGCGCCGCGGCGCCGCAGGCGGAGCGGGCGATGGTGTTGGCGGCGATGGCGGAGGCGGCGTACATGAGGTACGTGTCGACGAGGTAGTTGAGGTATGCGACGAAGATGAGGAGTAGGGAGGTGGCGAGGAAGCAGCCGGCGAGGGTTGGGACGATCCAGTGGACAGAGCTGCGACGGTCAGTCTTCCTGTTCCAATATCTTTCGGCAAAGGATGGACAGGGGCGGCTTACTTGTACTCGGCGGACCAGGCCAGCCAGAACATGGTCACGGCAAAGCCTATGCCGCCAACCATGGCCAGCGGGAGTCGGTCTTCGGGCTCCATGTCCTCCATCTTGATCTTGCCCTGCTCAATGCGCTTTGCGCGACGGCGAGTGTCGTACATGACAACAAAGCCGCCCAGCACAGCGCCGACGACGGTCCCGATGAGGGGCAGCTCGCCGACGCCCGCATTCCAGCCACGCTTCTCCTGGAACACGATCGGGTAGATGCTGAAGAGCATGTACAGCAACGTGTACACAACCGCCAGGTAGATGGCACAGAGAAGCGAGATGGGGTCGAAGAGGATGATCCACGGTCGCGTCAGGGCGATCTTGTAGACAGTCTTGAGGGAGCGGTCCGTCTCCTCGCACGGAGCCTTGACGTTCTCGAAGCCAGGGATCTTGGCCTTGCGAAGACGCTCCGCCTTGTGTCGCAGGATGGTCGGGCCGTGCGTCTCGGGGATGGTGAGCATAAGCACCCACGTGGCGGCGCCGAGCCATAGCAAGACGTAGAAGCTCCAGCGCCAGTTCTTCTTGAGCTCGAGGAAGCCAGAGATGACAGGGCCGAGGGCAGGGCCAATCCATACCATGGCAGAGAAGCCCGCCATGGCGTTGCCACGCTCAACAGGATCCCACAAGTCTGCGAGCACACCAGGCGCATTGCTCAGCGGCGCCGAGACGAGCGTCCCCGTGAGGAAGCGCCCGACGAGCAAGCTCCCAAAGTTGGGCGCGAAAGCACAGAGGAAGTTGAACGCAAGGTACATGGTGAAGCTGATGTAGAAGATCCAACGTCGACCATACAGCTCGCTCAGGGGCGCGAAGAGCAGCGGCCCCGCGCAGTAGCCGAGCAGGAAGACGGTGATGGTCAGGCCGGCGGCCTCGGTGGAGATGCCAAACTCCTTTGTGATGCTGCCCAGGCAGCCGCTGGGGGAGCTGGACGCAAAGGTGGCGTTCATGACGAGCATGACGGCGCTGATGGTGACGCCCCAGCGGCGCGGCGTGGACCAGTTGTGCGGGTTTTCGATGTCGCCGGGGCGGAAGTCGAGGTTGCTGTTGGCGTTGAGGTAGGGGGGCTCATCTTTGTCGGACTGGTGGAGGTGTTTGGTGCGGTAGGGCTTGTTGACGGGCCGCGACAGGATTCGCGTTATGACGCCCATTGTGGCGAGCTGGCTGCGAGTGGTCGCCCGCTGCAATGCGATGGTATGGTGATGGAACTGCGGTGATGTTGAGCCGGGGCTTGGTGGGATGGTGGCTCCCTTTCGAGGAGCCTGGCGTTGGTGTGAAGCGAGAGACAGTTAGCCAGAGAGGCAGCTCCGTGTTTCTGTAAATGTGATACAACGGCAGTCGGCGCAATGACGTATCATGTCAGTCGCAGAATGAAGCAAGAACCACGAAGCGAGTCTGGGGTCGTCAAGTCGGCGTGTCAGTGTGCTTCAATGTGGCTACACCCCGATGACGGTTGACACCCTAAGAACGCGAAACCATTGACAGTTCTGACAGGGTCTCGAAAATCGCACAGAAGCTGCCGAGAGGCGCGACGCGGAATAATAAATAAAATTGAAAAATCGGCTCGATCGGCAGCCTCTGCGCCCTACGGGTTGCATCAAGGGTCTGGTGCCGGCCGTGACTCCATGGAGGAGCGCCCCATCGGCGCTTCGCGTCTACGATCGCCTCGGGGATAAGCGGCCGGAGGGCTAACTAACTAGGTACGTAGGCCAAAAGTCCACTCCAACCGTCGCGCTTCGGCTCTTTGCTTCCCTCTCCCTTCCTACCAACCACTGCGCGCACAAGCAGAGGGGCACGGGCGGCTGGCAGGGCAGAGTGGTTGCTTCGGCAGTGGGCGCCGGGTCCCAAGTGTGTGCGATGGCCGCCGCCGTTCCCCAACTGCTAGCGCGTGGCACCATCCGTCACCCACTTGGAGTCCTTGACGTCAGAGTGTGATTGGCAAGGGGCAGTCTGGTAGCAGTGACAGACCCTCAACCCACCGTATCTGGGACATTTAACCGCTTTGGATTTAATAATCGGGGATAACGGGGGGCGAGTCGACGTGAGGACTCAACTGAGCAGTGAGGAGCACTTGGAGCGGCAGACCAGTGACCAGAGACCCCTCCTTGGACGGGAGGGACGCCACTGCCCTTTCGTGCGGTTCTGTTTCTTTCGCTGGTTCGCATGGGAACGTCGAGCTTGCGTGTGCGGCTGGCACACACAGACACACACACACAGGCCTCTGGCGGACTGCTTCCGGGAAAATTGGCAGCCGCAGCAAATCCACATGTTTGGTTTCAGCGCCGCTTCGGCAACCGGTGCCGACTCGCGCGCCGACGTGCTGCCACAGTCCCAGTCGCATTTATAAGCACACCGTGCTGGCTTCGTCCGTGGATCCAGTCACAGCGAGGTTTGTCTGTTGAGTGTTGCAAAAAGTCTCCGTGAGAAGCATCCCATACATGTGTGCTTGGTGCATTGACAGAGCCACCTCTACAACTCGTTGCTCAGCATGCCTGTTGAGTGTTGATGCCTAATTTTTTTTTTTTTTTTTTTTTTTACACGATATGGCTTCTTCGTGAGAGCTACATACTTGAAACATCACCTGAAGCTCGAATACAATTGTTCGGCTGTAACAGGCACTCGCAGGACGGAGCGCGCCTTGTTTTGCTTCGTGGTGCAGCCGCTTCCGGCCGAGAGACCCTGGCTCGCGCTGGTGCCGGCCGGAATGCTCGGGACATAGATCGGGAATTACGACGCCGTGCCACCGGCTGGCCCAGGGCCCTGCTGCTGAAGGATTCGCCCTGAATGGCCGCCGGCCGCCGTCCCCACTTGCCCGCATCCGCGGACCTTCCGGTGCCGACACCCATCCCCAGGTTTCGGGCGCGGGAGCACGGGTCAGCTGCATATCGAGCTGACAGGGCGCCATGCGTCCATGTGAAGCATTTATAAGCCTCTTTGGTAGGTAGCTGGCTTTTGTTATTTTGGGACAAAACGCTTGCTTCTTTTGTGAAAGGATTTGTGAGTGAGTGCCTTGACTCAGATAAGTGAACGAACAAGGGGCATTTACACTCCAAGGAGCTAGACCGATGGGCCTTTGGCCGCGCCATCTGGGCAAGACACAACCAGGCTGGGTCTTTCCTTCCAAGCACATATGTAAGATGGTCTCGCCGGTGTTAACCGGCCGTCCGGCAGTAAGCCTGTCAGCACCTTTTTGTGGGCTCATGTTATGATTCACATCTGATAAGATCGGCCCGTGTTTAGTGCATCGCCTGGTCCCGGAGCGGACGGGACGGGTTGGCTGACACTCGGATCTCCGACCGAGAAGTGGCTCCCCATCTTCTGAATACGGGTCCGGGCCCATGTGTGACTCCGGCCGTGACTCTCAAGGACTGTTAATCGCTTTGAGAATCTGTAGCCGCGTCATCTCTTGGCCCTTGCGATGAGGCGGAGCTTCAATCTCGAATGATCAGCCGTCGGTGACTCCCTTTCGACGCATATACGACGTGGCATTTGTGTCCCCATTTTGCCATTCGCACCGCGGCAATCTCATCGAGCGACTCCCGGATTGGAGCATATGATGCTGGCTCTTGAGCAAGATGGGTATGTTGCATGTGGCGAAAATGGCCCAGTGGCCGGGTCGCTTGTAGAGACCACCCTGTCGTCCCCCATCTTCAGTGTACCAAACCAAGTGAGGTTCACCAACATTCATGCGTAGTGGGGGCGATGCTGCCCTCCAAAAGGTCATCTCGGCCGCGTCACAATGTATTACTTGCTTGACTCCCAGCGCATGGCGCATCGCCTATCTCGCGGCAATCCGTTCTTCACCTCTTCTTCCAATATCTCCTGCAGCGCTGGCGTTACGTCCGTCACCCCGAGCGTCACAAACCCCGCTGACTTGTAGAAGCGCTCGTTCCACGGCACGTCGCGAAACGTCGTCAGCGTCATTGCAGGAATCCGTCTGCGTTCCGTCCATTCCCTCGCCTGGGCCATGAGCGCGCGCCCCACGCCCTTTGCCTGGTGTTTCTCGTGGACCGACATTTCCCATATATGCAGGTTGCCGTCGAGCACCTCGCCGTTGAGAAAGCCGATTGGGGCGTCGCCATCGTCGACCGCGACCCAGGAGACGCCGCGTCGGATGAGGTCCAGATGGCGCTGCTCCGACTGCGCTCGTCGCTGGCTATCCACGCGAGGGACGGGATTTGCGCGAATGCCTGGCCGGCGGACCGCTCGATGGCGGGGAGTAGCGGCGCGTCGGCGGCAGTGGCTGGTCGGATGGTGGCCATTGTTTGCTGGACTGCTGCTGCACCTGGCTTTTCGTGCGACGTGGAACTGCAGGAGCAAAAGGTTTCGTCGTGAGGGGCTCGTAGGTTGCAAGCCGTTCCCTCAGAGAAATTGTCGCGTGAAGTGTCACTGCGGAGAGACACTGCGGTGTCAATCTTGCACCGGCTGCATTGATCTCGTACCACGACAAGCAGGCGACGATTGACTCATCGCGGCGAGGATGATGACCCGCCTAGGTTCTACAGCGCCGCCAACAACCAGCTGAGCGGGTTCGTGTCTCGAGTGCTTGCTCTCGACACAACGACTTTGACCATTGCACCAAACATCCTGACCACAAATGCCCATCAACTCTTGGAGATAACAACATCAATGAGGCTCAATTTACGGTTGGGCACCCTCTCCTGTGAGTTCTGTCCAGCAGACCGAGGCACTTCTCCCTCCCCCCGCCCGCCCCTGCTAGCTCGAGAAATCGTTTGTTGCGTGGACCTGCTTTCACCCGGTCAATGTCACCAGCGCCGGAACCCCGCATGTTTGTTGCGAGACGGTGACACGAAATCCGTGTCTCCGCCTCCTCCCGCGATGCGCTGGCGGCATGACAGGCTCATACGAGGTAGGCAGTGTCACGACGGCGTTGCGTCTCGAGCCGTGCCGTGTCAAGCACATACGGTGCCGTTCATGCTACCGTACGAGGCCGTTCATGCCATCACACAATAATTCCTTCTCAGCACTGCACCTTTAGCTACAATAGCTTGTCAATTGAATCCCGTATGGAAGAACGAATCGCCTGCCTGATTGGGACCGGCGCTCCCCGGTGGGCCGGCCCCGGCTCCGGTAGCCGGTCGCCCGCCATCAATCACGTAACTCTGCAGCGTCGAGGTGCAACTCCTTTCGTCGTCGAACAGTCTGTCTTGACTTTATTCTCGTTTCACAGCATTTCTGTGCCCCCTCCTCGCCAGTCCTGCTTATATATTGCATGTGGGAAGGCGCTCTTGCCGCTGCTTTCCCCCGATCCCCCTTCTAGTCATTTGTGACTGCGTCGACCTGGTGCAATCGGTGCTCAATTGACGCAATTCGTTCGCTATGGCTCTCACCAAGATCTCCCTGCTCGCTGGCCTCCTTGCCAGCAGCGTCCAAGCTCGGGTCCCGTCAAGGGCTGCCCAACGCCCACTCGCTTCCGACTTCCAGTGCGAATTGCCTCCGGCTCTGGACCCGTCGTCAGATGGCCTGCCGTCCGCCGACGAGCTCTTCTCGTCCGAGGAGGCACTCATCAGACAGGTCGAGCGACACTCGGCCATTGTCAAGATAGACAGTGTCTGCTACGATGATCTTGGCCCCTTCGACGAGGATGACCGCTGGCTTCCGTTCTTTGATCTGCATGATGCGCTGCGCGAAACGTATCCAACCGTGTGAGTAGCCCCGGATGACAGCCTACAATGTGACTATTGATGTTGCTGACCGCCCAAGTTACGAGCGCGCCGATCTCGAAATCATCAACACTTTTGGTCTGCTTTACACCATCCAAGGCAGTGACCCGGAATTGCAGCCAATTCTTCTTGCGGCCCATCAGGACGTCGTACCTGTGGCCGACGAAAGCACCTGGACTTATCCGCCGTTCTCTGCCCATTACGATGGTGAGTGGTTGTGGGGCCGAGGTTCCTTTGACGACAAGGACGCCCTTACGGCCATCATGTCATCCATGGAGGAGCTTCTTTCCGACTACAGCTTCCGCCCCAGGCGAACCACCCTCCTTGCTTTTGGCTTTGATGAAGAGTGCTCCGGCTGGCGTGGTGCAGCTCACATCGCCGACCACCTCCTGGAGCGGTACGGCGAGAACGGATTGGCCATTGTGCACGATGAAGGCGGGCTCGGCCTGCAGACGCTCGGGGACGTCACTTATGCGCTGCCGGCCGTCTATGAGAAGGGCTACGTGGATGTCTGGGCAGAGCTCAACATCGTTGGCGGCCATAGCTCCATTCCCACGCCGCACTCGGGCATCGGCATGATGTCCCAATTCGTCAATGAGCTCGAGGCCAACCCCTTCCAGCCCAAGATTATTGAGGATGGCCCCATCCACAAGCACTTGCAGTGCACGGCCAAGTATTCGCCCCACGCTTTCCCCGGGCTGGGCCATCTGCTGGAGAAGGGCGACCTAGACACTGTCGCCAAGATCTTTGCCGACGCTCGCGTAGACACGCACTATCTCATCACGACGTCGCAGGCCGTCGATATCATCAACGGTGGACAAAAGATCAATGCTCTGCCCGAGGTCACGACGCTTGGAGTCAATTACCGCATCGCGCCCCAGGACAGCCCCCTGACGGTGCAGCACAACGCCTACAAGTGGGCCAAGGAGGTTTTTGTGCCGTACGGCATCAGGATCAAGGCCTTTGAGGACGATGAAGGCTACCAGAAATACGTGGCCAAGGTTGATCCCTCTGCGGTGCGCGACGTCACGCCCAAGTACGACGTCGAGTACAACGGCACCCTCACGCTGTACCGCAAGAAGGACGGCTCGGAGGCGACACCCATCTCTCCGACTGAGGGACCCGTCTGGGATGTATTTGCGGGCACGATCCGCCACACCTTTGCCGCCAAGGGCCAGACCATTGTACCTGCAGGCGAAACCATGACGGGCAACACTGACACCCGGCACTATCTCAGTAAGTTGATCCTTGGAGCACCGCCCAGGAAGGCTGAGCTGACCAACTGCGTGTACCAGATCTCACAAAGAACATTTATCGGTGGACTCCCATCCGCCTTGGTGAATTTGAGGGCTTGCATACGGTGGATGAGCGCATCAAGATGACGGGCCACATCGAGATGGTCAAGTTCTACTACAACCTCATCCGCAACTTCCAGGCCCCGATTGATGGGGAGCGCACCTTCTCACCTTCAGAGCTCTAATTGTTTGCTCGACTTGGTGTGCGGCCAAACATTGACATCAAATGGATATCTGGAAGTTGAGGTGGAAGAGGATTGGTGTATGTAATCGAGGCACGAATGTACCGTTGAACTGGTGTAGTTGTAACATGACTTATGAGTCGCTACGAAGCTGGTGTCGATGGCGTCAACTTTTCATGTTCACAGGCCACGTTCATCTTCAAAGTCCGAGGCGTGGCGTTGCACCATTATGTCGCTTCACTTTAGTACTCGAAATTGAACACGAGGCAAGTGTGCCATATTAGCTAAAGGGGCAATATATTTCACGCCCAGCTCCCAAAGTCGTGATAGCAGGGACATCGCATAAGTGACAAAAAGAATAGGCGATGTGACATGCGGCGGAGGGTATCTACATATTATCGCCAACGCTCAATCGATCAAATGTTAACGCTTCGTCCATCCTCCTCATCCAGACGCCGGAGGTTGTCCCTGACCCTTGGAGCCGTCGTGCGCCGCAGGCGGGTTCTGTGGGTTCTGCCCTTCTGCCTGCGTCCCCTGTGGTGGTGACGATCCCTGCACTGTGTTCGGGCTCGCGGTCTGAGGGGGCGGGCTCTGCGGCGAGTAGAGCTCCTGCGGTGCGGTAACCGGCGTGCCATATGCCTCGGACGGGGGCTGGGGCGTCAACGTCGAGGGGCTGCGCACGTCGCTTGCTGTCGATGGCTGGTAGTAGATCGGCGGGGTTTGTTGCTGAAGCGGCGGCTGTTGTCCTTGGTAAACAGCGCCGGGTGGTGCAGGCGCGGGATATTGTACTTGATACGTCCATGTTCCGTCAGGCTGCTGGACGTGGTAATACACCGGCTGCTGCTGGCCCTGTGCCGGATACGACTGCACGGTGGCGGAGGCAGGATCCTTTGGATCGAACGGTGGCGGCGGGCGCGTGTATGGCCCCGGCTGCTGCTGGGACATGTCGGGCATCATGCCGACTGCTCCAGGCACGGCGGGGTCTCCGAGAAGCTCGACGGGATACGCATGTCGGAAGCCCCATTTCCACCAGAGTTTCCACTTTGTGCCTGCGCCAAGGGCCTTCCACTGCGCCTTCAGACGAGCCTGATCCTCGGGGGTCCTAGCAGCCTGCTTGCGGGTGAAGCAGAGGACCCATAGCGAAATGAGAACCCAGCAGACTGTGCCGAAGCGAAGAGCGCTCTTGCCCACCATGAGGCGGCGGAACCAGATCCAGTTCTCGAGGAAGCCGAAGAGGAACAAGCTCGGGATGATGGTGGCGACGACGATGATCCAGACCTTGAGCGTCGTGCAACCCGTGAGGGCTGAACAGACGCCCCATCGGTCCAGGTCGTCGCTGCCACTGCCTCCGCTGTTCCCGCTCCCCCCGCTGTTGCCGCCACCGCTGTTGGGACCGAAATACGCCTTCCCAGTGGCCGTCGGGTTGCGGCAGCTGCGAACGTAATAGCTGTAGACAAAGTCTGTGGTTTGGGGCACCACCGTCGTGATGGCGCTGGGAGGAAGGTACGCCGTGACGTATGTGTACCCACCGACCCTTGTGGGAGTCGACGTAGCCCGCGAGATAGCTGTAATTTGGTCCGTGACCTGCGTCGGGATCTGGAGCACCGTCTGGGTGCTGACGGTGAAGGGTGTAGGGCAGGATGAGGGCGCAGTGTAGGCAATGGGCTGCACGTAGACGGTGTTGATGTTGTCTCTCGTGTACGGGGGCCGAGTGTACTGAATGTCGCTCGAGGGCACGGCCCCGGGGGCGAGATAGACGGAGACGATCTTGAGATCATTGTACGTCTGGATGTAGGTGCTAGTCGAGATGGTGGAGCCGCCCGTGGGTGTGACGCCGGGCTTCACGGTGAGCGTCGTGGAGTATGTGATGGCGTACTGGTCCTCACTACCGTAGCGAGACGTGGTCATGTCCAGGATGTAGTATTGGGACGCGGTCCAGTACGTCGCGAGAGCCGGTGCCGCTTGGAGGGCAAGGGCCAGTATGGCCGCCCGGGAGGTTGAGAACTGCATCTCTCTACCCGCCCCTGTGGGAAATCCGTTAACGAGTGAGTTGTTGTCGGCCGTCGCAGAAAATCTGCTCTTCTTGTCGACCCGTCGGTCGCGTCTGCGAGTCGGCAGACTGTGATCTGAAGAAGCGGCGGCGCACGGCAGACCAAAAAAGCCCAACGCCTCTGCCGGAACTCACTCATTTAAACAGTCTTTTTGACTCAAATGCCCCTTGACCTTTGCCCAGACCCAAAATAGCCTCGCTCGCTGCAAGTGGAGGGCCAGGGGCTTGCCAAGGCCAGCCCGCCGTCTCTCGTCTTGTCAGCCGCATCGTGAGATGCACCAATTGGACCCCTGCGCGCGGTCCAAAATCGCGCCGAGGGGCTTGCTGTCTTATTTCCCCAAGCCTGTGGCACGGCAAGCCTCTCAACGCCAAAAACACCAGCTGTCCATGCGGAAGGGGTCAAATGGTGGGACCAATTCAACCGGAAGAGTTTTTGCAGCGACTTTCAATGGATGCTTCATCGCGGCGGGTGCCAGCCCAACAACGACGGTTGGAGTCGACGCGGTGAACCGGCCAACGCACGAATAACAAACCATGTCGGCTGCTTCCGAAGCTTGTTGGATCCTTTTGCCTTGGCCGATTGACTCACTCGCTGCTCTGCTCTCTCCTTTCCTGGCTGCGATGCTGGAAGCCTGTCTGAAGCTCATGTGCTGACTGAGCCCTTTGCGTTGTTTGCTGTGTGGATTGGGCTCCGGGTCCGGCTGATTTGGTGTTGTTGCTTGCATGGGGTGGTCCCGTGCATGACTTGGCGCGATGCAGAGCCGCATCCATTGTGACTCGCACCTGAACCTTCCCGCTCTCGCTGCTGTGTCCCCGCGCCGACAAGCCTTCATGTGACTGGGCGACTACCAATCGCCTTCTCAATGCTGACCTCGCTGTGACTTGGCAAGCCTGGTGGTATGGGTAGATTTGGGGACTAAACGCCCGATTTGAACGGTGCTGTTCGAGGCACCAGACGCCGAATTGTTCTTGGCCAGTTGGCATTGATGGCGTAGGCACGAATTTCCGGCAAAAGAGCAAGTTCATTTGAGAGGGGGAAACAATTCTCTTCTAGGGATGGCGTGCGCATTGTCCGTGGCCGACAGCGCGTGCATGCACGCAAGCCGGACGACGGGCTCGCTGCCACCTGCCACCGCTTTGAACCCCCGTGGGGGTTTCCAGTAGGTTGGAGAACGGTTTATGCCGCAAATCGCTTGCTAAAAGACGAAATCAGGCCGCGACAACGGCGGTTTCGGCGGCAGGGGACTCATGTGCCCAACTCGTGTCTCTGGTGATGGCTGGCCATCATCTCGCTTCTAACCGTCGAGTCACCGCTCACTTCTCCATGGACACCCTTACTGTGCGGGGACGGCCATGTCCCGGACTCGAACGCCTGCCTCCTGCGCCTCTCCCGCAAATACATCACCAGCAGCCCCGCCGTCGCAAGCGCCAAAGGGGCGCCGATACCCACACCGATGCCCACGGCGCCTCCCGTCGATACGCCACCCGTCGTGTCGCACTGTTCTGATGTAGAGTTCGCTGGGCTTGTCACCGTGTGTGTCACCACAGATCCGGTCGCAGTCGCAGACCCCGCCGTCGTTGCCGTCGCCGTGGCGGAAAGCTGCCCGATATCCGAAAGCAGCGCAGCATTTTGCAGCATTTTCGATGCGGGCACGGTGAAGTTGTTCGCGCTGCATGAGAATGGCGTACAGGCGAACTTATTGTCGCCGCAAGTCCAGACCCCAGACTGTGAGGCACCCACTGCGTGTCGAAACGTCCATCAGCACCCACGTTCCATCCTCACCTAAATGCAGAGCGGCTTCTCACCTGATATTTCGTATTTGTCGCCATAGCAAAACGATGCGCATGATTGCGAGTTGAAGGTTCTGTCGGTGCAACCAGCCCGATACATGGTCATGCCCAGCGGTTCAAAGCAGAGCCCGTTGGACAGGCCGTAATGCCCTTTGAAGCAGCATGTCGAGTACTCTGGGTCGGGTCCATGTGAACAAGGGAGAAGATTGTCGGCTTCGCTACCGTTTGGCCAGTAGCATGTCTGGGCGGCCGCTCCCGACACGAGGGAAAGTGTCGTGAGCAACGTCGTCAACTCCATGGCCTGCTGAGTGACCAAGGACGTTCAACACCAGCCCAAGGCATCGGCCGATGCGAGAAGCGTAAGAAGATGCGCAGCGCGACGACGCCTCCTGGTGTTTGCGATTACATATACAATTTCACATCCAGGTCCGTGGCCGACGTACCCGAAGGATCAGCGGAGTGCATGCGCAAACCCACTCAAGGAAATAACGGGGAAGTGATGAACAGGGGGTTTATCTCCAACAGGTCAGCCCTTGCCGCCTTGTCTGCTCATGATTGGCCCCAAGGGCTTGCTGTTCCCTGTGATGCTGGGGATAAAACATCAAGGCGTGCATATATGGGGCATTAGTTCCCGCTTCCCGACTGGACATTGTACGAGGATCGCCCGTCAGAGCCGCGAGCTTGGTAATCACTTTCAAGACTTCAAAGGCAGCCTGGCGTTCGTCTCGAGTGTCAGATAGCACGCGAGGAACGCATCCATATGCTCGTTATGCGCCCCTGGTAACCTGCCTTTGGTCTCGTGCACCTAAAGGCACTGTGGTGCGGACGCAGAGGTTCGAGCCTTCGCCGTGCAAATGTGTCCAGGCCAGTATTCCCAGGTGGTGAACGGCGAGATGCAGAAAATGACACGGACTGAACCGAGCATCGCGATCCTTGTCCGGGCCAAGAGCGCTTTTCTGGCCCTCCATCCCCTAAGTGACTGGCGCAAGCGAGGCCCAAGAAGCCACCGAGCGACATTTCTTATTGCCTGGAACATAGCACAGATAAATGATTGCACGATAGATCAACAAGTCGTGGAAAAGACGTCTGCTTTGTACTAGCACTACGCCTTCGCCATTACGTACTGCGCCGTCCCTGAGATCTGCAGCCTGGCGTCGGATCCACTTACAAGCACCGCGTACCCCTGTGCTGCATTTGCGATCATTCAGCTGTACAAGTGCGGCAACCTCCGTCTTAAAGGTGGAATTGGTAGACCAGGAACACTCACGATGACTCTTAAGGCGTCGATCGATGTTTAGCGCATCGCGGCAAAGCAGCATGGTTCGTCATACGGGGCCCCATTCCCTGAAAGCTACATCAAACATAGAACTATGTTCGGGCATGACTGTGTTCAATACGGCCGACGGCGCTCGCCGCTGAATCGTCACTTTGACTTCACACGGCCGTCGTTGGCGTTCCTTGGCATTCACAGCCAGGCGTTTCGTGCAATGGGTCCATGTTCCTGTGAGCTACGGGGTCGAGGTAATCTAGGTCATTGATCGAGAGTGCTGTCCAGCCTGCCTAACCAGTAGTGAAGTGCCGCCGCTTTTCGTGGCCTTGATAGTGTAGGTGAGGCTCAGCACCTAAGTAAATGTATGTTACACGAGCTGACGGAAGGTTCCTATATGCACAACGTCTTCCTCGTCCATGCATTTGACTGGGACAAACCAGTTTGTGGTGAACGCCGCTTGAGCCCCCTTTAAACCCTTCAACACGGGAATTGGCACTCGAAAGTGCGAGACTGTCAAGCCAGATATTAGCAGGTCTCCAATACCTGTTGACGCTTGGGACTTTGGGTTCTTACCGCGGCCATAGCATTCGGACATCCCGTCGGGCCCTTGCCCCAATCGTCGCCTTTCAAATTACACTTGGCATCTCCAGTGGTGTCTCCCGATCTCCAAGCCTTACTGCCATAGTAAAACTGGATGTAGTCATTTGTGTGCTCGCCAACGATCGTAAGGGTCTCCTGCATTCCAGGCACCGTGATCTTCAGCGGCGCCTTGTCGTTGATGGGCTGTCCAGGAGAGTGGGCAGAACCGGGTGTCGTGTAGAGATTTACCCCGTTGGGATTGCTGATCGACATGGATGCATATAGATTCGAGTCGGGATTCTCGCACGTCCATATTTCTTTGACCGTCATCTTACATTTGCCCGCGTTATCGCCGTCTCCGAGTGACTTGATCCAGCCCTCGCGTTCCTTCCAGTAAGCTTCGGGATATGAATCTGACGGGATGGCCTTTCCCATCTGGAAACTGTTTGGGTCGGTCGCCTGAACATTCGCCGTGGGGCAATCGCCCGAGCCGGAGATTTGGCTGGTATTGCCCACAGTCTCGGGGGAAAAGTCAATCAAAGTAGCCGGCTTGTCGCCATTGTCCTGGTATATGACGAAGGGGTCTGCTGAACGCGGCCGGGGAACAATCGGAATCTGCACGCTGTGCTCGGCAACAACCGGAAGGAACGGGTACCATTTGGTCTTGCTCATAATGTAGTTGGCCAAGGCGAAGTATACAAAGTTGTCATCGTTGCGCTGGACGAAGTAGCCGGTCTGCTTCGAGGAGGGAGAAATAGGTAAGAATCGGGCAAGGATTTTGGCGTGCTTGGGCCCATAGGCCGCCACCCAGGTTGAGTCCTTGCCATCCTTCTTGGTATAGCGGATTTTTATGTCCCTTATCTGAGGATTGGGGTTATTGTTGACCGAGTTTGCGGCGACATCAAGGTGGAAAAGCTCGTGGAGGAAAGCGCTTGCTGAAGCGAGCCGGAACGCATCAGAAGTAGTTCGATGGAAAGGGGGTTGGGAAGAACGCACCTCGGCTTACGTAGTTGGAGATGTCCTGGCTATTCTTGGGGTTGCTCCGTCCGGAACCCCAAGCGATAGCGTTGTCTAGGTTTCTCATCCCATACCAGACGGGACAGAAGCTGATGTCTGGCCACTTTCGGCCTGCAGCCACGTCTGGATTGCGAGCATATGCTATCACTTGGCCCTCACTCTCGTCTTCTTGAGTCGTAGGACATTTATAAGAGCAGACTTGAGCAGGGTCATCGCAGCGGACCTGAAGCGCAGGAGCTATGTTAGTCTAGTGTGCTGATGATCTTTCACCTGGAAATCGAAGGGCATCTGGATTCAACTCACCCGAATCCAGTTTGGAAATGGTGCATAGCCAGGGGAAACCGTGGCGACATTCTTGAAGACGGCCTGGATCTGTTTCTGCTGATCCTTGTTCAGAGCTACGTTAATAAGGCCCAAAGTCAGCTTCGAATACTTGCGGACTCTTGTGGAAGAAGTATTAACGCACCGGGTGGCCCAAGATATTCAAGGCTCGCGGCAGAATTCCAATCGATGTTCTCTTTGACGCCCTCCAAGTTGACTAGTTTGTTGGCATCGGTATAGGCTTCGTTGATCCAGCCCTTGATGTGACTACTAATGTCGCCGCATTTGCTGAAGAAACGTTAGCCATGACGGCTCCTGTCTAAACATGCTGCATCCCGTACTCATAGCCATATAAGCTCGTTCCCCACCAGTTCGTGGAGTTGAAAGGATCTCGCGCCGGAAACGCATCCTTCATCTGCTCAGCCGTGATGCCTGTATCACCAACAGAACCATCGGGGACGGGAGACGCATGAACGCAAAGCTGCGGACATGTCAAAAGCCCGAAGACAGCAACGAGAAGGAAAGACATTTTGTCGCGAATACTGCTCACGGCTAGGTACGCAGTGCTTGTGCTGATTTCTCCTCAACTTGAACAAGATCCGATAATCAGGACTTCTTTTCATGAGTATGAGCAATGCATATGGGAATATATAAAGAAATTCCTTCCAATAGCCTTTGCTCAACTCCTCATCATGTCGCCCATGGCCGCTGCGCAACGTTGAGCCGGCCCCCATGGTAACTTGAACCGAAAGAGTGATTTCCGAGGGATCACTGTTAACTACAGGTTCAGCGCAAGGTGCTCGTTGACCTTTGATGCCATTTTTACTTCTCAATCGTTACCTGAAACAGCTGGATGGCACGTATTCTCATCGTTCGTGGTACAGGTTGCATCTGGGGGCGGCGTGCCGAATGGTTGATGACATGTGCATGGGTTGTAAAGCCTACGGAGCGATGATACAATGATCTGTAGAGATGTCGGTCGGCATTTGCCTGATAAGGTCGCGTATTAACCGCGACATTGTCAACACCCAGAGGTCCTACATGCTTGAAGTGTCCTGCACTGTCCGGCCCCTTCCGCTTGGAACGGTTGCGCCAGACAGAACCGAAGTCCGTAGATGCAAGTTGGTTCAATTGATCTATTATTAGACCCGTGCGGTCATATGAGCGGTTGGTTCATGTGCATATTGGGGGGGCGCTCAGTACACCAAGGGTCGGCTGGATTCGACGAAAAACTCAAGTATATCTACTCTCCAACGCCCCCAAGAGGAGGCAAGAACGTTTCACAAATTCACTTCCTACAGCCCCCAACAGGCACCTTCAGCCCCCGCCGACACGGGACGGCAGAAGGCTCCACAGCCTGCACCCCCAACAATGCACCACATCCATTGCTTGCCGAAGAACCGAGCAAGAAAGGACTGAAAAGGCCGCCCTGTTTCGAAGAACAGTCACGCTCAATTGTGCAAATTCCAAAACGACGTTCAGCCTTTTTCTCTGTCGTTCACCTTATCCATCATTGCTCCTGGCACGTCCTGACCACTCATAATTGTATCCTGGATGCGCTTTCTACTTTCTTCTTTGCCCGCATTCCTGCTTGGCAAGCTACAAAACCCCTCAATCGCAATACTTGATCCTCATACGTCATCACAAGCTTTGCAAATAGTCATGGAACGGCAGCCTGACGACATTTGTCGCCTCACGATGCCAAGCAATGGGGATACTGAGCAGCGCACCGAGTTCTTTCCGCAGTATTGCCAGGTCAAGGCCTACCCGTCCATGGGTGGGGTCGTCCTTGGCTTCTTCACTGCTGTCCAGCTCAAGGAGCTTGGCCTTTCCAACATGGTGCCGACGCCGCGTTCGCATAACGATACCGAGGAGGACAACCTTGCCCTTTCCATGATGCGACAGGGAGCACATTGGTGGCCGACTTGGGACCTGTACCAGCGCCACTACGACTGCCTCACCGACAAGCTTGTACCGTATGACTTTCACTTTCCACCACGCATCAATGTTGGGTACCCATCTTCCGGCAGTGGAGTCTGGGTGTTCAAGTTCTCAGAAGACAGGATGATGCTCAATGACGAGGAGCCCATCAAGCCTTCACTGGAATACATGCCGGATGATTGGTACGGACGGATCAACATGGCAGTCACGGCCGATGAGAGGTGCGACGTGCTCAAGTCATTTGGTGCCAGATTCTATGAAGAAGTCAAGGAGTGCGAGGACATTCCAAATACCCTCGAGGAAGGACGTCTGAGAGGCGAGAGGTACGCGTTGCTGCTGCGTAAGATGGAAGACGACGATTATCTGGACAGGTGGCTGGAACATGGCGTGGCGGACACGGTTTGAAAGGCTTCTTGCTGCGATGATTTCCAGTGAAGGCTGTTCGGGCCAAAAGAATGCAAGGGAGGTTGTACTACAGCACGTAGAGTGGTGCCATAAGAATCGCGCCCGCGTTATACCAATGCGTATTTTGGACTACAACTCCATCCTAGGTACAGCAACAATGTGCTTCCAGCGGCCTCAACCCGCAGTCTGTACGCGATTCTGCCGTCGATGATACCTAGTCATCTCGTTCCGTCCACGCGCTGAGTGATTCCAAGAAGCTAGTGTGTGCCTCAGCATCCCCGCTTCGTTTCAGTATTTCCTGGTACTCGTCATCACCCAGGCACTTGAAGAACAACAAAATGCCGGCCCAGATGAAGTCAACGTATGTGAGTCGATCGCCCAAGAAATATGGTCCTGAGCGAGTCTCCTTCAGAAGTTCCGTCATCTGGCGCGCAAACGGCTCAGCTCTGTCAAACGATCCAGGGCCGCGAAGCTTTCCGTATTCGTACAGAGGCATCCCTACATCCTCTTGGCGGGTCTTGAGGAAGTAGTCAATGCTCTCATCGCCGAGGATGCGCTGCGCTACCCCGGGGACGTAGATTGGCGTGAGCGCACCCATGAATTCTATGAGGATCTTTCGGAATTTGAGCAGCAGCGGCTGGTCCAGAGGTAAGCTCGGCTCTGGATGCTTTTCCTCAATAATCTCGGCGATCTTGTATGAGTCCATCACGTAGGAGCCGTCCGGCATTTGTATAGCCGGAAGCGTGAACTGAACACCTTGTTCATTTGGGGAGACACTGGTATTGGTGTTCAATCACCCCTGTCTTGTATCTTGTGTTGGATTCAAACGCTCACTTACTGCTGGTTCAGGCGAGGCCGGATGTTTGGGTATTCAACCTGCCCAAGTCTCCATTAGACCTGAACACCCAGCATATGCCAATTTGCCTACCCATTCTGTCTTGTAGTCAAGACCCTTGTAATTGAGGAGCAATCTTGCTGTATAATTTTCAGTGCCCCGGAACTAAAACTCGGCAAAAGGTTGACTTACTCCTCCAGGTGTTCATCGACCAGCACCTTCGCGGCGCCTTGGTAGGGATGTCGAATAGCGTGTAAGTACCCGACGACATATTGCCGAGTGGCAGACCTTGGGTTTCTGTCAACAAGGCCCAACGAGATTACGTCGGAGCAAAGGTGAGGGGAGAAGGGAACCGGGCTTACGTGCATAAAGAAAGTGAAAACGATCCCGCTCACGGCCTCCCGATGGAGAAGAAGAAATCGACGAATTAGTCAGCCGCAAGATACGGACAAATCACTCAAGTTGTCCCAGTATGGTAGGTCGTCATCGGCCCTCGTGGGGTTGAGATTGGGCTTATTGGTGGGCCAGACTGGTTCGGAGCTGCACAGTTCTGGATGTGTTTGACCGCGGAATGGGGCGCAGGATTCGTTTTAGTGCAACCCATCGGCCTCTTCCGCTCTTGGCCCCCGCGGCGTTCGACCAACTTCCAGGGTACCCCCGCGCATTGCGTTCCCCCGTGGGTCCGGGGTTAAGATCCCAAATTCCAGATTCATGTGGGTACAACGCCAGCACGAAGTGAAGGCCGAGTCAGTCATAGACTCATGGTGCGGCGTGGATGCAGCTCCGACCGGGTTTCTGATGTCGTTCAAATCGACGTAGGGCTGAGCTCGTCAGCGCAGTTCGTTTCGGAACTCTCTTCAAGGTCCTCTTCACGCAAGGTAGAAACGCGAGTTGAGCACGGAAGGTCCGCCTGTCTGCTCCACGCGCGACTAACCGTGGGGATGACGAGTGTTCGAGAATGTCGAGGTTGCATTTCGTCACGTCAATGTGCTCAGACGGTCGGTTTGCTAACGATTGGAAAGATGTTTCCCGGCGAAGTAGTGGAAATGTTCGCAAGTTGAGAGGCAAGGTCGGGCCTGTATATGCCCGAAATTGGGGGTCACACGTAGCGCCTTTGCGATGGCTTGGTATGCAAACAAACGTGCTAAGCGAGATTCGCTAGACACTACGCTGCCGTTTTAACCACCGCTATTCCTTGAATCGTATGCACCCCCCATCTAGTCCCTTGCTTTAGAGCCACTACTGCCCAATCAACAAACCGCAACGACATGTTCCCCAGAAGCGGCCCGTTGACACAATGCGAACCATGATCTTTACTAGCGGAACGGTGAGCCGAGGCCTGGCAAGCTGCCTCTATATATAGTCCACATGGTGGAGAGCAGGCCTTGAGAGTTTGGATATCTCAGTGCTTCCGCCGCTCTCGACTCAAGGAGGAAGTTCGCTCCAGTGTTTCGTCCTCACGTTACTATACGCTTCATCCCAATTGGACGGATTTTAAAGAAGGACCGCAGCCCAGAGAACCAACCCTCTTTTGCCCTGGCTAGTTGGGCGTTACGCTCAAGACACCCATCATGAAACACACCCTTGGCCTAGTTGTGTGCATTGCACAACTAGCCACGGCCAACGCCTTTTTCTCCTTCAATCGCAGGGCAGAATGCGCCAAAGGACTCTACATCTTATATGCCCGTGGAACGGGTGAGCCCCAAGACACAGGCATGACGCACGGCATCTCTGTGGACATTGCGAAGCGGATTCCTGGCTCAAAAGTGGTGCCGGTCGTCTACCCAGCTACCTTTACCGCTCCTCCGTACCAGGATTCTGTCGCCGACGGCGTAAAAAACATGCAAGAAGGTATTCTCCAATACGCTAAAGACTGTCCGGATGGCAAGATGGCACTGCTGGGTTATTCCCAGGGAGCCCACGTTACCATGGACTCGGTCTGCGGAGGTAGCGGCGGCGTCTTCGACAAGGCACCTCCGATCCCAGAGGAAATTGTCAAGAAATCTAGTAAGTTTGCCTCAATCGCAACTTCACTCTGTTACATCGTCTAAGTGGAATAAAGTCGTTGCTATGGTTGTCTTTGGAGACCCCACTCACACACCTAACGTGACATACAACACGGGAAGCAGCATTAATTCTGGGGTCCGTTGCCACTCAGCTGGAGAGAGACGCGCATGCGCAGCTAATTTTGCACTCAGTTCTTTGAGAGGTCGAATGCCTCAATCGAAACTTGCGAGCGGTACTCCTCTCGTCTTATCAGCTATTGCGACACGGGTGACACATTCTGCGACAGCGGCGACATCCCGAGCGTCCATACGTCCTACATCAAACTATATGGCGACAAAGTGATTAAATATGTTGTCGACAGGTACGACTCAGCGTCAAACAACAACACGAGCCAGAGCAGTACCAGCATGCCAGGTAGCGCCACAGGAACCTCTACCGACGTAGCTTCTTCAACGACAGCAGCCACTGCGACCGACAGCAATCGCGCGACAGCAACATCGGCCGGACCATCGTCTGCAGTCGACACCGCTACGGCAAGTGCAGTTAGTTCGGCTGTGTCGAGCGTTGCGACAGCGAGCGGCACGGCGAACACCACTAGCTCTCCGAGTCCTTCGGTGGTACACAGCGGATCATCTAGACTGGAGGCCGTTTCGGCACTGCGCATGGCCTTGATCGCAATGGGGCTTCTTGTATGGGGAATGATGACTCAGGGCTAGCCATCTTTTTCGGCAATAATCTGTTGGGTGACCGGGAGCGTGAGCAATGTATATAATCGCGTTTTAGATGAATGCCCCTTGGATGCTGTTTCTCATCTCGATCGGCTCTCCACAGACGTAAATCGCTACCAGGGGCTTGAGCGCTGTTTAACATGGGTGATTTTAGTCCACTACATGCTCAAGTCATACAGCCACTGCACTGGCTACCTCCAGTCTCAATGTTATGACGGTTGTGTGGAACGTAGCGGACTCTGTCCCGACGCATCTAGCATGGTTGTGACACGGAAACCCAGATTGACCGCTCAGAGGCTGAGAGCTCGTCGGAGATAAAGCGGACCAAATACACGCCATGCGCCTAGTCTCCTGGGCAAAAGTCAAACAATTTGTCAGACCGCCCGTCGACCAGTCTTCAAACGACTATCTAGATGTGCATGGCTCCCTTCCACACCTTACATCATAGAGCCCGTCAAGGTCCATGACATCCTGGCGGGAGGCGCCTTTGGCCCAATCATATATACTAAGGGCCACGGTCGCAGACTGATGAAAGTAACCGGAATACTTGACATGCCACCGCCTTCATCTCTCGTGTGGCTCGTCAAACGTTTCGCGCAATCGAGCTGCACCCTTGATGCCGGGGCTGTGCCAAACCACGACGATGATCTCTTCACAGTCGCTCATCTTTTGCATCACACCACGCAGCTTCGCAGTCTGACTACTCTAGTGCTATTGTTTGCACGACCGTGCAACTCTTCGAGTGCGGTGAAGGCCTGTTCCTTCTATTCGCGTTCGATGCCTACTTGGGTCAAATCCGGAACCTTAATCTGATCCCTGCCACCCGGCCGTGTCTTGGAAGCCCGACATATTGCGGCCCCGTCTTTTGCACGGCGTCATGAATGGGCATTGAAAGCGGACAGAACTTATTAAGCATGAACTCAATTGGGCGAGAAGGCGCGCTGCCGAGCTCGGTAGGAGCCGAACTAAACGTTGTTGCGACGAACGGTCAAATCTTGTTCGGCTAGTTCGACCCTAGCGCTAGAAACAAAGATTGATGCCTTTCACGGCACTCGGGAGAGCTCCGGGTTGCGACACAACATGCTGAACCCTGAACGGAAAGCTCGGCGAAGTCCATAGCTGTGATGGAATGTTCAGTAATTGCAGAAAAAACTCACACTGCCTTGAGACGGCTTTGAGACAGCGGAGTGCAAGTGGGGACCAGGACCACAGCAGCACTCCTTGTGAAATACGGCGGCTGTGAACCACTGACAGCACCCAACTCATCCGGCATTCCTGCAAAACGAAACGGGCGCAGTGGCCGTCTATGCTTGCCGCGCCAGTAGACCAACTGCACAAAAAAGGATCCTGATAGACGTAAACGAGCACGTTGAGGCTTGGTTCGTTGACGTCCCTGATAGTCAATGAAGACGCCGCACCTCGTCGAAACTGGGCCTCTGTGCCGTCTGCTTGAAACTTAAAGAGGCGCTTGTAGCAGACTCGCTCTTGGCAGCTTTTCAAGTGTCGAGTCGCTAACCCCAATGCGCCTGTAGCCAGAAGCCTCCTGCTATCCCAAGCCTTGAGAGCCCTGCTATGACAGCAAAGCCCGGCTCAAAACTCCGGCCATGGAAATCGTGCCAGACTCTAGCGTCGTCCTAAACATGTAAGGTTTTCGGTTGAAGTCCCTTCCCGTCCCGTCAACCCGTCCAGCCGGTTCTCCAGGTACGTGATTGCTTCAGCCATGACATGAAGTGGGTCAGTCCCGCTGTCCACCACAACGGGTGCTGTTGAAACATGGTATTCACTGACCAAGCGGACTGGACAGTTAATTCGGAACCTACTGTATCGGGATAGTAGAAAGGATACCAACGTTCCAAATCTTATCAAACAAACTTCTCCATGGCCGAAGCGGCCGGTGTCCGCCGCGAGTGTTAAGTTTACCAAATCCACTGAGCTGCACGGGTTATAAGACGCTCGCCCACGCCCAGAATAATTTTGTGGGTGGACTGTTTTCTGCTTGACAATTCCCATTGGGGTGCAATTTTGTCAGGTAACATCGACGACTTCGAAATGACGCCTCTCGCGCTCCAGCTCAGCCTCCTCGTCCTGGCTCTTTCTCTCGCCCCCACCCTAGGGTCACCGCGAGGGAACCAAGTACGCCATAACCCCCATGATGACGGGGACCACCATGACCATTCTCATGCTTGGTCTACCGAAACTGTAACCGCTACAACTTTGATCTCTACAACCACATGCACGGATGATATCCCGGCCTCGACGTCGACAGCGGAGGATACTGAGTCGCCATGCCCAACGTCAAACACTTGGCACGAGTCGGTGACCTCGCAGACGTCAGAGGCCATCCATTCATCCACATCATCGGAACCGGTTCCTCCAACGTCCCAGAGTTGGCCATCGTCGGAAACCTGGCACCCGCCCACATCGTCAGGTGTGGTGCCCCCAGTTTCGCCGACTTCGCCGACTTCGCCAACTGAGCCTACGGCGCCCACATCACCAACTGAGCCCACTGCGCCAACTTCGCAAAAGTCGCAGACTTCGGAGACCTCGCCGACTTCGCAGACAACTCAATCACGTACAACTTCGCCTACAACTTCTGAAGCGATTGTTCCAACATCGTCCTCGTCCGCAACGACGCCCTCAACCACCAACACGCAGACGTCAACATCATCGTCAACATCGCAGACGTCGCCGACTTCGCAGAGCTCTGAGACATCTCAAACATCTCAAACATCTCAGACTTCGCAGACCTCGCAGACGACCCAGTCACCTACGACTTCAGAGGCAATCGTTCCAACATCGTCATCCACGACTTCGTCGTCCACGAGCTCGTCATCCACAAGCTCATCGTCTTCGACCTCATCGTCTTCGACCTCATCGTCTACAACTTCATCTTCCACAACATCTCCCACAACCTCATCCACAACCACATCGCCCACGACGTCATCCACAACTTCGTCGTCGACAAGCTCATCGTCGACGACTACATCGCCGACAACGTCATCACAGGCCGTAATCCCAACACCGTCGTCTACCACAACCTCATCATCGTCAACCTCCTCAACCTCCTCTACAACGTCGTCTACATCAACAACGTCGTCGACGTCAACAACCTCCTCGACATCAACAACTTCCTCGACCTCCTCCACGACCTCGTCGTCACCGACCTCAACGTCGTCCACAACGTCGCCAACGACTAGCATGACAACGACGTCCATGACGAGTACAACCTTGACCACTTCCGTCACATCGTCAACCTCAACATCGAGTCCTTTGCCGGATTGTCCGACTTGCAACCCTCAGCAGGGCCAAAACCACTGCGACGTCACCACTTCGTGCATTATCCTGGGTGATAAGTATCGCTGTGCATGCCGGCCAGGTTACAAGGACGGACCTTCAAACTCGTATCGGGTCGAGTATCCTGGGTATGGATACTTGGTATTTGTCCCGCAGAATACTCCCTGTAATACCCTGTGCGACTACCAGCTAGGTAATCCAGCAGGGCTATGCAGAGATGTGACGCTTGCGGAGCTGGCTTGCAACGAGTAGTGGCTACTTGCATTATTTCGCATCATTAGATGGACACATACGAGAGTTTACATACGGCTATTGCCACTTAGATATACGAAGTCTTGAAGTAAACCACCTTGGTGTGCTAGCACTATTGAACCGTGATAAAGGCTTCATCTGAATAGTCTCAGTGCTCTATGAGCTGATTGCTTGAGTGGGGAGGTGGGGCAGCTTCGGTGGGCAGCAACACGGAGCAAATACAGGCGCCCCAATCCAGGTGTCGGAGCCCGCCTGTCCCCGCTCAAAGGGCGTGAGCGCTGTCGATGCCAGGGAACGAAATACGTCCTGGCAATGAGTCAAGATGTAAACAGAAACACATCAAAGCTTTGCGATCTTAATTGCAACCGGATCTATCACCGGACCAAAGGCGACTGTTTCTGCAACACCACCCTGCTACCAGCTCCATATTCTTGGTTCTCGGCTACAGTACCTCCGATCTCATGAGTTCACTTCGTCAGCCGCCCGAAACGGGGCAAAGCTCAACACTGGGCATCCGGATCGGAGCCCTCGCCCCTCTCAGCCGACCGGGCTGGATCGATGCCGGCAGGCTTCTCTTAGTGGGACTCGAATTGGCGGTGGAAGAGGTCAACAATGCCGGCGGTGTCTCAGGGAAGCCGCTCGAGCTCCTTGTCAGAGATACGGCCGCCGACGCGACGAAGGCTGCAGCGGCCGTAGACGAATTGGCCGGTCTAGGTGTGGTCGCCCTCGCCGGCGAGTATCACAGCGTCGTCGCGCGCGCAGTCGCGGCAAGGGCTGATGCCATCGGCCTGCCATATCTCTGCTCGTCTGCCGTCCTCGATCACCTCACTGAGCAGCCGACAAACTGGGTCGCGCGTCTCGCCCCCGCGCAAAGCCACTGTTGGAGTGTGTACGCCGACTACCTCCTGAGCGCGGGCCATAGCACCGTCGCCATTGCCGCTGACCCAACGAGCGTCTATTGGGCATCGGGGACGCGCATCTTGCGGGAACGCCTCACATCTCGCGGCGGCACGGTCATCGTGCTGAATGTTCGCGAACTCACACCGAAGGCCATGTGCGATGAGCTGACCCGGGGAGAGAATCGGGCGACCGCTGTACTCCTTCTGGTCAGCCAGTCAAGCACTGCGTCTGAGATTGTTGAGGCTGTCAGTGGCGATGAGCGCCTCACCGGCACCTTGATGGGTGCTCCCGCCGGACAGCCCGAGCTGGCCGATTGGGCGACGGCCTTTGGCAAACATGATGGCACTGCGACGCCGTTCCTTCGCTATATGCCTGAAAGCCTTGGCCATCGCGGAGCACGCGTCGAGGCCGCTCTTCGTGAGAAGCTGACCGAGGCTCCGTCTTTTGTCGCTTTCGAAGGCTACGATACAATTCTTGTTCTCGCCGAGTTGCTTCGTACCCACGGCACGGATCGGACAGACAATCCTCCTGCTTGGTCAGATATCGCTGTTGACGGATCTCGGGGGCACATTAGCTTCTCGCGCATTCCCGGCATCAGTGTCTGGCAGTGGGCCTGGCCCCCCATCCAGGTTGTCGATCGGGATCCTGCGCAGCCTGACCGCTTCCGGACCCTGCATATGGCTTAAGCGATAAGGCTTCTGCGTGTTCATTCATCATCTGCTTTGGTATAGAACGTAAGAATTGACGGCGAATGCCCTCTTATGTTGTCCACGATATGCTCTCATGCAGCGCTGTACAACGCAATTGTCTATTTTGTGGCGTTGCCTCTCCGGAGTCTCCTCTATGATGCCAGTTCAGTACTAATACAGCAGGTACTTCTTGCGCTTCTCCCGGAACTGCTCGAGTCTGGGCGTCCAAGCCTTGCGGACCTGATCCGGCGTCCACCCCTTCTCGAGACCCTCCCTCACCAGCGGCGACCCGGTCAAGACGTCAATGTCGTAGAGAGTCTTGGAGCTGCCGCTGAAGATCCAGTGGAACGCTCCCGTCGTCGGCGCATCGCCCGTGGTGTTGCTGACCGTGAACAGCTTCCTGGCCGCGTACAGCAGGTTTACGCCGATGAACGGCGCGTCGAACTCGGCGTAGTCGCGGTCGTTGCGCAGGTCCGTCATGTACGTTTGCAGCCCGCACGCCGTCTGGGTGTCGTACTTGCTCGTTGTCGGGACGAAGCACTGGAAGCGGTAGTCCGTGTGCGGGACCTTGAGAGAGCGCATCTCCGTGACCCACGACTCGTTGGCCCAGGGCGCGCCCAGGAGCTCAAACGGCCGGGTGGTGCCGCGGCCCTCGGACAAGCTCGTGCCCTCGAACATGCATGTTCCCGGGTACAGCATCGCCGTGTCGGGCGTCGGCATATTGGGTGACGGGAACACCCACGGGAGGCCCGTCTCAGCAAAGGTCATGCCGCGCTTCCATCCGCGCATCTTCACGACAGAGAGGTCCTTGAGGTCCGATCCGTTGGCCGCCTGCTTGATCCAACCCTCGCCCACGAACATGCGGGCAAGCTCACCAACGGTCATGCCGTGAGCCTGCGCGATGGGTCGTCGTCCTACGTACGACGTGATGAAGCTGTCGTTGAGAACGGGGCCGTGAGCATCGAGACCCGTGATGGGGTTCGGGCGGTCGATGACAACGAAACTGGTGTTCGTCGACGCCGCGGCAACCATGGTGTCGTACATGGCCCAGATGTCTGTCGCGGTCAGTCAGCATTCGACTCAACATAAACCCAGCGCTGCCTCGAGTTGGGTTGTTGTCAGCATACAGGTGTAGAAACGCGCGCCCACATCCTGGATGTCGTACACAATCGTGTCCGCCCCAGACTCGTGGATATATCCCACGAGCGTGGAGACATTCACGTTGTACGCGTCGTACACGGTGAGGCCCGTCTTGGGGTCCTTGAACGTGGCCTCGCCGCCGCCGTTCTGGGACGTGCCTCGGAAGCCGTGCTCCGGGCCCATGACGCCGGCAATGTCGACCTTCTTGGACTCAAACATGACGTCCACGCCGAGGTCGAGCTCGGGCGTAACGCCCGTGGGGTTGCTGAGGATGAGCACCTTGCGTCCGGACAGCTGCTTGTAGTTGGAGTCGATGAGCACGTCGAGGCCCGTCTTGACGACAGGCTTGGTCGCCGTGACCGCGGCCGCCGCGAGGGCGATAATCCCGAGAGTCTTCATGTTGCTTGCTCCTCGTTGCGGTGTTGCAGCTCAAGGTGCAGATCCAACGGGTCAAGCTCTAGCGGGACACTGGCTGCTGTATATCCTTTTCCCGGAGACCCCAGAGCTTCCGGGGCTCCTGCTTACGTCCGGAGAAATCCCCAATATTCCCCGCAAACCGCTTGTCCGATTGGAGTCCAAACGACGTCAATCCCGGAGCCATGTAACGTTCCTGGGGCGCCACCCGGCAGGGTCCCTCGGCGCCGTCCGGCTCCCCGGGACAAAAGGTGGAGCCCGGCCGCCGTAATTCCCGCCGCCTTTAGCCGACTTGCACGGCTTTTCCGATGCGACTGGCGGCGGCGCACCAACACCGAAGTCGCTGTCAGCATCATGCTGGTTCGTTTCAGTCTATTCTCCTTCAGGATTCAGGAACTCGAATCATCCTGCACGACCGTCTGCATCGCCCACAGGCGAGAGTATTTTCCACCCCACTCCAGCAGCTCCCTGTGACTTCCCTGTTCGATGATCCTCCCTCCATCCACCACGAGAATCACGTCTGCGTTCACAATCGTGCTCAGACGATGGGCGATTGTAAAAACAGTGCGGTCTCTGCTCAGCTCGCGGATAGCTGCCTGTACCGCCACCTCGGTGTCCGAGTCCACCGAGCTCGTCGCCTCGTCCAGGACCACAATCTGCGGCCGTCGGAGCATCACCCGCGCAATGGCCAATCGCTGCAGCTCGCCTCCGGATAACCGAACGCCACGCTCTCCGAGTCGCGTGTTGTACCCCTCAGGGAACTTCATAATCTGATGGTGGATACGCGCCGCCTTGCACGCCTCGACGACATCGGCCTCGGTGGCCCCAGGGCGGGCGTAGATGACGTTCTCCATAATGGTCTGGTCAAACACCGACGGATCTTGCGGCACGGCGCCCAGGCTCTCGCGGAGGCTGTCGAGCGTCACGTCGCGCACGTCTTGCCCGTCGATGACGATGCTGCCGCTTGTAACGTCGTAGAAACGATACAGGAGCTTGAGCGTCGTCGACTTTCCCCCGCCAGTCTCACCGACCAGCGCAATGGACTGACCCGCCTCCGCGGTAAAAGACATGTCCTGGATTATGGGTCGATCCGGCCCATACGAGAAGTTGACGTCCCTGAACTCGACACGGCCGCCTTTCCAATGGAGCGGCTGGGCCCCTGGCCGATCCCGCACCGAAGGTTTCGTTTGGAGGAGCTGGTACAACCACTCCGCGTCGATTATGTGCGATGCCGCTTCTCTGACCGACCAAGACAAGGACGTCATTGGAGACCGAACGGCGTCCCAGTATGAGATGAGGAACACGAAGCTGCCCAGACTGGTCGTCCCTTTGGCGACGCGCATTGCAACAACCGAAGCGGCCGCGAGCTCGCCGAGCGTCATGATGAACCCCTCGCCGAGACCCACGAACTCGAACCCGTCGAGTAGCTTTCGCAACGCCGTGGTCTGGTTCGCTATTGCCTGCGAGAAGCGGTCCAGCTCGAACGCGGCCCTGTTGTGGTACGCCACCGTCTGCCAATTGGTGATGGCGTCGTAAAGTGTCTCGCTCTCGGCGCGAGAGGCTTCATTGAGCCCTCGCTCGCGTTTCATGACCATCGAATTGCCCTTGTACGCGAAGTAAGTGTGCGTCATGGCCGTCGCGATTATGATGAACCCCATGGTTGCGTCAAACACCGACGTGAGGTACACGATGGCGACGAAGAAGTCAATGACGATTGGCGCAATGCCAAAGGCACTGTTGAGAACGCTGCTCAAGTTGCTTCCCTGCTCGATAGCCTTGGCGACGCGACCCGAGCTCTTGCCTGTGTGGTAATCCATAGAAAGGCTCATAACATGTGCAAAAGCCCTCTCGGTGAGTCTTCGGTACGAAAATTGCGAGATGCGTGTCGAGGCCATGGATCGAAGCGTCCCAGTTGTGCTCGAGACAGGAAATTGCAGGGCACACCAGACAGCAAGCGCTTGCCACGGGACACGACCACTGCCAGCCATTTCGCCAAGCGATTCAGTCAAGATCCCGAGCTGGCGCGGAATCATGAGGGTGAGGGCGCGGTCGATCAGCATGCATAACCCGGAGACGACGAGCCATAATTGCGTCGGGCGGTGGCGGTAAGGGATGATGTAGGGAAGAAAGATGAGGAAGCTTCGCAAATAACCGAGCCAGCCACCGCTTTCCTCGAGTCGCTTCTGCTGCATGTCTTTCATCTCTTGCTCGCCGTCGTCGTCCTCATCGCCCGATGCGTCCTCGTTCGTGTCTTCGTTTTCGCCCCTCTCGGCGTCCGGAATAGAGCCATATGCCGTCGCAGAGCTTGAGTCAGAGTCATGTACGGTGGTATTGCCGCTTAACAAACCGCGAGTCTCCTCCGTGGTCCCCGACTCGCCTGTTGTGCTACTTCGAACGCAGCAGCACCCATAGATGAAGGCAGCAAGCAGGATGAAGACCCGAGTCGCGTGAACACACAGAGTCGCGATGTCCCAGGGGCTATCGAGCGACAGGGCTCTCGCCGTGAGGCCGAACAATGCAGCGTCTACCGCAATCCCGGCTGTCCAGGCAAGTAGATGGGCGGGCCAACATGGTGCCGTGCTCTCGAGCAGCAGAACGCTGATGCTTGCCCAGACAAGGATGGACGTCAGGGCATATATCTGTCCGGTCAGCTCGCTGCAGCAATGAAATCGGTGAGAAATATCGCCGTACCGGACTGCCTTTGACCGGTGACTCTTCTGGCCCGAGTTGAGTCCTGACCGCGTGCAACACCGCTTCGGCAATCTACCTCAAACCATCAGCACAGACCTCGGCTCGCCGTGCCGCGACAGACTGTTGGCACTCACAAAGGTTATGCACACAGCGGGGGACGCCCATTCAAGCCTGGCGCGCGCTGCCTTGGTCGTGCTGTAGCTCCGTCGCTTGCTCTTGGTTGTGAACAGTAGCCTGACCGTGGGCAGCGTCGCGAATACCATTGCAATGGCAGCGGGGCAGGCAATTTGGAGCACCTCAAGCAGCGTATTGTGAGGGCGTGGGGATTTGTTGTCCATGATGGGCGAGCCAGATGGGACTGGCGGCTTCGCTGCGCATCGACGAGCAGAACCGCGATGTTTGGGCCCTTGGGTGCTTTTATACTGCAAGGCAGACGGGCACAGCGACTGACAGGGTTGCTGCCTATCCGACCCTTGCACCAAGGCGGCAGCTGCCTAAGATGACAGTGGGTGGCTAGTCCGCGTCGCTGATGGGCACTTGCAGCGAAAACGACGTGGTGAGGATGACTGCTTTTGCCGTGGAACGACTGCGCCCTGCCCTTTTTCGCGCTGCTGTGCAATTGCATGGTGCCACCGGTGATTGAGATGCAAAGTCTTGACCCCTGCTTCGGGGCAGTGTGCTGCTCGGGGACCCGTGACGAGGCGCGACTGGGCCGTCAGCGGCAACACGAGGCCACACGCCGGCCATGTTCCGTTGGAGCAACAGAACTGCACGCGCCCTGGACCGGCAGTCAATTACTCCAGATGTAGCCAAGGATGCGGGTACAATCTCCGCAGGCTCCGCGCCCTACTTGCTGCGGCATCATCAAGGAGCACGCCTTGGCTGGGACACTCCGATCTCGAGCATCAATTGTCACCGGAGTCCGGACCAGCCACAGAGCCTCGACCTTCGCCAAGATTCGCGTCACACAGCCGCTGAGGTAGGCCCCGGTAGCCAACGCACCATCTCGTGGTACCCACATCACCAAGAGCCGTTGATCGACATGGATCCACTAGTACCGAGACCCCTGTTCGCTGTTGGGCTTCCCAAGTTCCCACTGTCATCAGTGGTTCAACTCTCATACTGTACATGGGCAAGCAGAGTGCCAGTCAGTGTGAGAAACCACCTGGTACATTTCGTATGTCAGGGCATCTTGGCACCGCAGCGGCGCTACCAGGCTCCGCGACAACATCCAGACTCCCCAACGAGCACAGAGACAGGGCTAATTCCTCGCAATTGCGCCGTCCGACATGTACCGCTGCCTTGGCTCTTGACAGTCGGGATTTGCCGAATACGGACACCACGGCCGCAGGGTAGTTGCCCTCGTTACCGCGTCATGAACCGCGCGTCACAGTGTGTTCAACTCACCTTCTACTACGGGCCTGCGGTGAGATCATGTCGGAGAACAGAGGAGCCACACGATGAGTTTGCAGCAAGTCAGACTCTTGCGATCTAGATAAAGGGTGAAATGGGGGCGCAGAATAACAGGCCAAAGCTGCGCATGTACAACCGCCCCATGCTTCATGTGAGGCCGAGCTGATTGCCGAGATATGGTTAGCCGATGTGCCACAGATATGCCTATTCGGGACTGTTCATGAAGTGGAACACTGCCCTTGCCGCCCAGTGCTTGCGTCTAGTGCCTGTCGACGATGTTGTCCTCGGGATTTCAAGTCCTCGCGCTGAAGCCTAATGGAATCATCTCGTGTTGCAGACCCGCGGCCAGACTAGATTACATGTGTCGCCCTGGAAGAACACGTGGCAGTCCGAGGCACAGCACAGGGCGTGGGAAGACGAACAACGGGATCGAGGCAAAGGCTGTGAGCATACGCAACGGTGACGGCCACAACACCTGTGCTTCGACAGAGATTTCCGTAGGCTGTTGCTTCAAGTTGTAGGTGGTCACTCAGTATCAATACGAAGAATTGCCCGCGCATCGCCCATACTGTGTATTTCACTTGCACCTTCACAGCACGTATATGGAAATACACCCCCTGGCACTTGCGTCACCAGCCTCGTGCAAGCGCTCATGCACCGCTTCGCAACGCTTTGAGGCGTCGCTCGCTCCATCGAGGCACCTACCCTCTCAACAAAGATGAAACCCTTTGCCAAGCCATCCCTGATGAACCCCCCAACCACGCATAGCCCCTTCTTGCCTTCAGCGTCGCATGCAAGTGCCTGGCTCCCTGGCTCAGCCGTATCTGTGCTCGTCATGCCCGCCTTTTGTCCCGTCTTTTGTCCCTCCAGACTCGAGCTCGGCGTCTGAGTTTCGACGCTTGCGCCAGTCCGCGGGACGAGGGTTGGTATACCAGACCACTTCGCTGCTGAGGTCTTCGCTTCGGCTCAGCCAGCCAGGGTCATAATTTATAAATTTGTCCCAGACGATCTTCTGTTTTGAGGAAGCACATCTTGCAGTCAGTGCGATACCTAATGCCAACGAGAGCCCTGTCAGAACCTTGAATATGCCCACAAAGACTTGCGCTTCTTATTCCCGTCCTCTCTCTGGGGGGTTTGAGGGTGGACGGGGTTTATTACATACCGCCCATCTTAAAGTTTGGAGGCAGGAAAGTTTGACCCGTGGAAGCAATGCCAATCCAGGAAAGTGTCTTGAATGGCAATGTCAGGGCGTTGAATGTCTTCTTCACGTCCACTGGTTTCACGATCTGTTGATATGGCTTTGGATCAGACACAAGGAAAATTTGCGCGGTGCCGACCACGAAGTCCAGTTTATCCGACGTTCCCTTGGAACCTAGCTTGAATATGATGGTCAGCTCGTCAATTTCGTCGCAGTCGAGTGTGGTAGGCTGATGATTCGCATTCGGATCGAAGTCCGTGCACATGATTGAGGCGGCTCGGTCATTCCAGTCCACATCAAACTTTGGAATAAAGCGCCGTGTACCGCTGGCAATGTACAGGGCATCCCCTTTGCACTTGGGTTGGCTAAAGTGAAAATGGTCAGCTTTTCCGGCCAATACAGCGGCATTGGTGACAATCGAATGACGCGTGCAAGGCCAGTCATTGGGCCTCGGGCAGAGAGGATGCGTGATGGGGCAATGACGGCTTACTCAAAGATCCGGCAGAAGCCAGCCGCCGGGTTAGCTAAGAAGGAAGATGATGCGTGTGCGTATCCCTGGGGGATGTCGACTAAATAAGAAGGGTCATGTCAGCGTCCTTGTCGCCTTCGCTGCAACGTCGGATGATGAAGAGTTAACACAACAACGACTCTTGACGTGTACATACCACATTGCTCTTGCGGTACCTCGAGCCTCTGGCACGGGTCGATGAAGTCGACATGAAGGCATACGTAGATCCTGGGGTCCGCCTCAACCATCGATATGAGCGCGGCGCATGCTTTCTGCTTCGCAGATGGGGCCTGCGGCAAGAGGGCATCGTCGACGGATCGCTTGAAGCTGCTCGCTCGCTGCTGGTTCAACGCAATGCAAAAAAGGCGCGTGACGCCCAAGGAACCCGCATTGGACAGCGTGTCATACACGGCAGGGAAGCGTTGCCGCATTATTGAGAAGAGTTGCGGATGCCGTTCCCGCATATAATCGAGGCCGAGCTTCTCCAGCTGCAGCAGCAGCTCCGTCTCGTGGATTTCGACACTCGCAATCTGCGCGAACTCCGTCCATTGGATCCGGCGATCCTCGTCGGTGTAGTTCATTCTCCCGTCAGATCTCAGGCCAGTGGCACCCTCGTTATCGTTGCATCGGCGCATTCGCTCCTGCTCCTGGAGCTCCGCCAGCCAGGCGGGATGGGCCCACCTCCCGCTGGCCGGTTGTGATGCAGGAGTCGGAGGGACACCCGGAACAGTCCGAAGAGCGTGACTCACAAGACCCATGCAGGCTTCTAGAGCACCAGGAGCGGGTACATATCAGCTGTCGATCATGGCAACTCAGGTAAGGATGGGTAAGGTTCCCGGAGATCGGGAGGTTTGTGGGAAAGGGGGCGCACCGGAATCACCAGCAGATGGCGCTGAGCAGAGTCCCGTCCGCGCAAGCTCTTCTATCTGTGGCACCGTTCGGTCTCCGGCCAGGCCAGACGGCCCTGGTACCCCGTGTAAGTCGAGCAAATGGTCCAGTAGACGGTCAACTTCATCATGGCATTCCGCCAGCCGCCTGGCCGCGACTTCCTCAAGCATAATTTCCAGATTTGCGCCTTGACCTGCGCCAGATTGTCAGTCCCCCTAGCTTGTGGTTGCTTTAGGTGCGTGCGATGGCAACGTGAACTTGCCTACTCTTTCCACGCGGTCCAACCTCCTTTGCAGTCTGGCCTCCGAGAATCGGTCGCCCACGAGTAGCCTCATTGCCTCGCCAATCTGACTCTCGCCCGGAAGACCCCCTTCCATCATCAGTCGGAGGCGTAAAGGGGCGTTCAAGGCAATCCAGTCCGTTCCCAACGCCGCTTCCGTGATGCTAGAAATGGCTTGAGGTTTCTGTCAGCATTGCCTAGCTCAGCCGCCGGTGCCGCTCTGAACTGCAAGAGAAGGTTGCGCAGACATACCCATATGCGGAGCGTGAAGCAAGGAGAATCCGTGGCCGGGTAGCCGGCCTAGACCCCAGCCAAGCAATTCGCGAAGATCGTGGCGTTGCGCGTCGCTAAAGGTTGGGTTAGAGTCGTCCGTCAGTTCCCTCAGAAACTCGCCCAACGGGTTGCTGGCATCCCTCGCAAACTCTCTGAACACACGCTCCTGTTCCGCTCTTTCCGGCCCAAAACTTCCAAATAACGGTTGCCACGGACTGGCTCCAAACCTCTCCCAAGTCCTGTTGTACTGAGTATTTCGCTGCCAGACCAGATCTTCCGGTCTGTCTCCGCCGGTGGTGACGGCAAAGGCAACGATCTGGGACCAAAAGAGAGCGCCGACCGTCCAATAGTGCCTCCGCGCCTGGTTGAACAACGGCGGCCCGTGCATCATGTGAGGTCCCGTGGCCACTTGGTAGATCCAGGCACCTTCATGCCCCGCGCCCCGACGATGCACCTCGGCAAGGCTGCTGCTCACATTGAGGAACTGAGGCAGCCCGCGACTATCAAGGTGGTCTATCCCACCGCGACGGTAGACCTGGATGGGACTCATCATGTGCGTCGGTGTCTGCGTGTCTTGGGCGCCTTCGTATAGTGCTATATGGTAAACAAAATCAGGACTGCTCATGCCGTGGAAGAACATGAAGGGCGGGTCTAAGATCCCTTCCCTCGATACCGCGGCCGTCTCGAGTGGCGGTATCTCAGTCGTTGCATAGATATGGCACGCGAATAGCCCTACTTGTAGGCAGAGCCGCGTTAGCGATAGCAGTACCGTGCCTAGGCAGCTACCGAGCATCCGCATCCGCATCGTGACGAGCAGGACGTTATGCCACGGATACTTTAGAGTCGACGAAATTTGTATAAGTGAGAAACTGAGGACACTTCTGAGCGAGCCTGATGTGCGCCTTTGTTACGTGAAAGATGTCTCGTCCTCCTCGTCGGCTCGCAGGCCTACTTATAGAGATTCCGTCTGGAGTCGAGGCATCAATCTCCATGCTATGTGCTTGCCAAACTCAAAGTCCATTAAGATGGCATCCCATAGCGCTGCTATGCATTATTAAAGCCATTAGAAAAAAACGATTTGGGTAGACCTGAGCCTGTCACCAAATATGTCTATGTTAGTCAGTCGCGAACATTGAGCGCATAGCGACATGTGCCCAGAAACAACAAGTCATGTAATCGACACGCCGTAAGCCAGCACGAACATTTAGCAAGCCCAAATTATTTTTCTGGTGCCTCGGTTGTTCGTGAAAGACGTTTACCATACAGATTTAATTAGTCGACACAATTGTAAGCGCAATGCGCTGACAGCATTCATTTGGGCATCATTGATCCAAGGCAACTCCCGAAGCAATATATGCTGCGCCAGCGAAGCTAATGGGCTTGAGCGGCTCGCAAGTGCGTGTTGCTCTCTTGGCCTTAGATCCCCGTAGGTACTTCAGCTGCTAGCCTAGGTAACGAACCTCTACAGCTGAGTGTTGGACGGGGCTGAACGAGTGTGAGTCGTTACCCTGCATCCATTGACGACGATATCAATGAGAGCACTCAATTCAAAGTAGGTTTCGATCTCAACATATGATACCATTTCGTGAAGTATCGCTGGCTTCATGCGATGGGCAGCAACACCGCGGCTGACTCGAAGCGTGATCCGCGTGCGAAACGATCGTTGGATGCCAGACGTGGGCCTCCTATGCCCGTGTAGCACAAGTTCCTGTGCCACCTCAATCAAGGCGATATTGGCATCCGCCTAGATACTCGGCTTCCCCTCGCGCTGACCTGGCCAATGTCCTTGGATGATCACATGGTGCCCCCTTGAACGCGTGACAGCCCAAGGGACACATGAGTGGGCAACCTTCATGTATCAAGGCACATGCATTGTCGGCCACCTAGAATCCGCGTCAGAACAGACGCTCGCCACGGACGGAGCTTTCCTCTGACAACTCATCCGTCCCGTTAATCTCCTCCACCCGCAGGCACGAATTGGCTTAGGACCGCAATGGGACCTGATAGAGTGGGTACGTTGCCGAGATCTACATGTAGCTCCACTGTGGTCGCTGCTGGACTGCATGCGCTTCACGTTGACAGGCCTGAACTCACTACTAGGGGTCGGGATGGCTGGCGCTCGTGAATTAAAAATGACCGCCTATAATAGCAATAATAACAACGGTCAACGAGAGATGCCCATGCATTGGGGAAGGTTGCGTTCGTATTGCCAACAACCATCAAGGCGGCCATCGCCCAGGTTCGTTGATCTGACACAGATCCACTACCGGTAGTCCGAGACCCTTGCTCGTTTTCAGCTTCTCACTGTAATACTAAACGTTTCAACCATGAAAATTACATTGTACAGCCGAGTGCCAGACATGGGAAACGAATGGCCCATCGTCTGGTCCGGACATCTTAGGCACCGCACTGGCACAAGACTTGGGGACTTCAATTACAACATTCAAGTTCCACAGCGAGAAACAGAGGCTACGTAATCACCGCTGCGTGATCTTGTATGTGTCGCGGCCTTCAGTGCTCGCTTTTGAGCCTCGGAAGTTGTCGACTATGAACCTCGCAGCCCCGGGATAGCTCTGTCCAGTGCACCTATCCATCACGGGTTGCAAGTCGTCATGCCTTCAAACCCCCTTGTACAAGAATCCCGCAAGATCTCGGCGGAGCAAGAAGGTTAAGAGGAGTCACAGGCAAAGAACAGAAACGAGGCAGGGGCCGGTTCTTCATCCTGTCTAGTCTACGATGCATCCCCAGACGCCGCCGGGCCCCACAGTGCGCCTTTGTATTTCGCAACACCGGTGAGCTACTGCCTGAACAAGTCGGCCGATCCGCAGACAAAGTGTGGCCTATTGCCACGCCATACAACGTACCTTCCCCGGAAATATCTAGCCCTTGGCTGTCTGCAGTGATGCATGCCGGTGGTCAGAAAGCGGGCCTAGCTAAACCTCAGCTCGTCATGCCTGTGCGTAGTACCGCCTGCGTTGTCGTCGTGGCTTCGGTTTTCACGTGTGTGCCAGTCCTCGGGGCGGATAACCGTATTCCAGACCTCTTCGACGCCATGGCTAGTCGCTCGGAAGAACCACGAGCGAAACTTACCATATTTGTCCCAGACGATCTCGTCACCTGAGTTGACACATTTTGCAGACAATGCGATACCTAAGAGCAGTGCCCTGTCAGTTGAGGAGATTGCGGCTTCACTTTCCTCTCTGAATGGGGCGACTTACCGCTCGTTCCAAAGCGCGAAGCCTCTGCTAGAGCTTTAGACTGTATTCCAATGCGTGAAACAACCTCAAGTGGCAATGCCGCAGTGCCGAAGGCCGCTTTCATGTCCACCGATTTCAAGATTTCCTGATATGCGGTGGGGGCCTTTGCGAGCTCAAAGGCCACGCCGTTGATCACAGCATCTACTGTATCATCCGTTCCAGTGTCCCCCATGGTGAAGGAGACGGTCAATTGTTCAATGTTCCAACACCCACGCGAGGGCAAAGGGACTGCTGGACCTTTAGCGGGCACAACGACCCCTTTGCAGAGGATCGATTTAGCTTGGTCGTTCCAGCCCAGGGCCCCGTCTAGCCTGAAATAGGCCATACCGCCCAGAGCGTCAAGTTCCCGTCCAGCGCACCGACGCCGTCTGAAGAGAGAACAGTCAGCTTCACGCCGTACTTACGAATCTGGTGACACCGTAAGATCGTCGACCAGGTAGCGGCTGGAGACTAGGTGGATCGGAGGGGGCAGAGAGTGGCAGGGGTTAATGTTTCCATACTCGTAGATCTTGCAAGAGCCTGCCGCCGCATTTACTCCAAAGGAAGATACGTTTCGTGAGAATGGCTTGGGTATGATGACTAGATAACCACGCTGTTATCGACCCGTAACTCGTGGCAATATACTGCGGGAGACAACGTGACGTCGAGTACGGGTACGTACCGCACATGTATCGTGGTGTCGGAACACTGGTACATGGTTCGCCCAAGTTCTCATCATTGCAGAAATAGGCTGCAGGGTTTTCCTGTACCATGGAGAGCAGTGAATTGCACATGTCGCCATCAGTCATTCGTGCGTCCCGCGGTTCCAGAGCCCCAGCCTCCTCGGACCGCTTCAATGGACTCTGTGCTTGCACCATACGGTTGAGGCAAGCACGGACGGTCGCGCCGGCAGAGGCCGAACGGACCAGCATGTTGTACACTGCGGGAGTGCGACGCAGCATCAAGTCGTAGAGATACGGATGCCTGCTGCGGAAGTAAAGGATGCCCTCGTTCAGTTCGAACAGCAACTGATGCTCGTTGAGTTCGGTCCAGCATATTTGCACAAATTCGGTCCATTGGTTTTGCCGCTGCTCACTGGTGTAAGTCCTGGACATGATTTCTTGCTCCAAAGCGGCAATCGAACCCATCGGACCGTCTCCGTGCGCCACGTCGCCCTGACGTTGGCGGCATCTGCGACTCCGCTCCCTGCCCCGGAGAAAGCGTAGCCGCCGCCCGTGCCTCGATCCCGGGGCCGGCTGTAATGACGTAGGAGGGGCCGCTTGAAAGGCTCCAAGTTCCTGTCTTACTAGACTCATGCAGGCTTCTGAAGGGCGGTTTGTCGTCAGTAAGCTGTCAGTCATAGGGCAGGTCAAGTGGCGGCAGTCCCTAGGGCGTGGTTACAAGGCAGCGTACCGGAATCGCCCGCCGATGGCGCCGCGCAGAGGCCAGACTGTGCATGGGCCTCTATTTCGGGAACCATGCGGTCGTTCGAGTGACCCCTTGCCTGCCCAGACCCCGCTTCGAGTTCATCCTCCAAGTCCATCAACTCCTGCACCAGACGGTCCACCTCGGCTTCGCATTCCGACGGCGGCTTCCCGGTCTCGTGGACGACAACCGGCACGGTACCCGGGCTTCCTCCAGGAACTGTCGCCACCCATTAGCGACCCTGCTGCAACTTGTACCTGCTTTCCATGTACGCACGGTCGCAATGACGACTTACCTTGCCATTGGACGCTGACGCCGCCCAGGCTTGCCCCGAGTCTGGTATCTGAGTATTGCGACCCTACGAGTCGTCTCATTGCCTCGCCGACATGAGTTTCGTCCGGAAGGCCACCCTGCAGTATCAGCCGAAGCCGTAATGGCGTATTCAAGGCAGCCCAGTCGGTTCCTAACGCTGCCGCTGTGACTGTGGAAATGTCTTCAATAGTCATGCTTTTGTTAGCAACCTCGGCTGCTCGTGCCGCCCCAGGCAGCAAAAGGTATTACCACGCCTTAGCTTGTAAGACGGGATTGCATATACGTACCGCTTTGGGCAGCCAGTATGGGAAAGCTGCGGTCGTGGTTCCATGGCGGATACCAGTGGAGCAGAGTGCGAAGGGTCTGACGTTGTGCGTGGTTCAAAGTAGGGTTAGAATCGCTCGTTAACTCGTTGATAAACTCGCCGTACGGGTTAGCTGTATCGCTCGCAAGCCGGTAGAAAACAGCAGCCTGTGCTCGTCGTTCGTGTTCCGTTGAAGATCTCCCGAACATCGGCTGCCATGGACTGGCGCCAAACTCTGTCCAAGTCGCATCGTAGCCGGGATTGGGCTGCCACACCAGGTCTTCCGCTGTATCTGCGCCGGTTGTTACAGCGAAAGCCATGACCTGCGACCAAAATATGGCTCCAATCGCCCAGTAGCGCCTTGTTTCCTCGTTGGCGCCAGGAGGCACATTCACCATATGGGGTCCCGTGGCCACTTGGTAGATCCATGTACCTTGGTGCCCCGTGCCCTGACGATGAATTTCGGCGAGGTCTGTACTAGCATTGAGGAAGTCGGGCATCCCACGAGCGTCATGATGTGCAATTCCGCCCCGCAAGTAGGCCACGGCAGGAATGAGCGTTGATGTCTGCGTTTGTCGAGCGTCTCCGTGCAATGCAATATGGTAGGCAACATCGGGACCACTCATGCCGTGATGAAACATCATCTCTCGTTCCTGGTGCCCGCCTCCCCCGTGTGCCCCAGCCTTCTCAATTGGCGGCGGCTCGGTTGCATGGCTGCTCCAGGCTGCATGCCCTAAATGTAGGCAGAACCATGCCAATGACAGCAAAACCGCTCCCGGGCTGTTTCCAAGTGCCCGCGTCTGCATCGTGACGAATGTGAAATGCTTCTTCTTGCTCGCGCCTTACTGCCATCCCGCGCGTACTTATGAGCAATCAGCCTCAAATCGAGACACCCATTAGCCATTTCCTCGCCAACTGCCAAAAACCCAAATTTTCAAATGATATCATACTACAGAGCCTCTATGCATTAAAGGGTGTGTGACGAAGAAAGGCCGCGAGTGGCCGGGGGATCCGTCGCCCAATGTATCAGCCGATGGCCCGCAGCCGGATAGCAACACGGATACGTGTCCAGGAGCAGAAAGACATTCAAATGACTTGCCGCAAGCTAAGTCGAGCATTAGCATAGTAACATATGGCGTTTCCAAGTCTCTTCAGCGGTTTGTGATGCCAAGCGGAGATGGCGTACAATGTAGGCGGGCATGAATCAAGACAACTCTCAAAGCAATATATTCTGCGACATCAAACCTAAGCGACTTCTGGCTGGGGGCTCTTACGTGCAAGTTGGCACGGGCGGCACTGGGGCGATGTAGACGTTAGTCTTCGAGGGCCCGAACGGGCGTGAAAGGCGACTGGAATCACTTTCGGACTGAGCACAAACTACTTAAGAGATTACTCAATTCCACCTTGGGTTTCAGACCGGTTACATGATGCTATTCCATCAAGTATCGTCGTCTTCATGCCACTGACGGCAAACGCCATGGATGACTTACGTTGGAGCCTGATCTGCCGGGGCAATGCGCGTTGGATGGATGTTAACACGACTCCAATGTGCCACCTGGCCTAACTCGACGTTCGCATCCGAGGGATCACATGGTACCCCCGCTGACTGGAGCGCGTGGCCAATCTCCATTAACAGACATGCGGAGGCCTGGTGCCGCGAAGGAGCTGGCGAGGAGTGCACGTTGCCAACATCCAACATTGAAACCCCATCGCAGGCCTCCGCATCCAGGTGCGAACCGTTCAACCATCAAAAGCCGAAAATGACGGAGCCCCGGCCATTCCCAGCTGTAACACGGGCGGCACGGTGACGCCAGGCATCAGACTTGGCTTTGTCCCGCCGACTCCTTACACGCCAGACGTCACACGTCACATGTTCCAAATCACATGCAAGTAGAGGATCCTTCAAATCTTCTAAATTGTCGCCTATGCGGCGTTTATGTCGCGAGCGATATGCTCACATGCTAAAGTCTCCGTAGTAAGAACTCCATCCAAGCACCTCTTTTATAATGGCCCTCAACAGGACCGCCAGAAGCACCCCATGCACCCGCGCTGATTCCCAAAAAGACAAGATACAAGAAAAAAAATCCCAGATCCCGTGCGCCAGTCGCTGTCAATCTCACGTACGATATTGCTATCCGCTGCAAAGAGGATGGGAGTCGTTGATGAAACGTCCGCCGACTGATGTGCGGCAATTAGTGATGCCGGTCGTAGGCTAAAGATGAATTAAGTCGTGTTCATGTTGTGTTGCGACGAGGCCAGCTCCTCGCTCTGTTGGTAAAAGTGTTGTCGGGTCGACGCTATCGCGCGGCCGTCAGTGCTGGTAGTTTTAACGGATGATTCGAGATATGTCGGCGTCGCTTTAAAAACTGAAAAGGCCGCTCCTCCGCTTGCCCAGCGGATAGACGATGAGGGCGCTCATGAAGAGGCCCACGCTGATTCCAATGGCCACCTGGATGACGCTGAACAGGACGTTGAAGGCCGTACCGTCCAGGCTACCCATGGTCTTGGCGCTCGTGTCCACGGTGCTGTTGCCGCCCTGTGTTCCGTTCCGAGTGATTTGGTCCGCAGATGTGATGCCGGCGAGGAGCGAGCCGCCTGCTGCGAGACCAGAGGGGACTTGCACGAAGATGGCCGGCAGCATGGCCGCCGCTGCAAGACTGTAGCCCACCTTGCGCTGGTGGCGGTGCGGCTTCTCGGGCGATCCGGGACGCGACTCGACATCGGACATGGACGGGAGGGACCACGTGTCGGCAGTCGGCCGCTTCCTGCGAGTGAATCGCGGCCTCATCTTGTACTCCCACCACTCAACAAAGTCCAGCCAGAGGTTCTCCGCGTGTCGTCCCAGTCGCGAGTAGAGGTTGGCGAGGATGCCAATCGTCAATGCTCCGAGCATGTTGGAGATTTGGCTGTTCCCCTCAAAGTACGTGCTGCAGTAGCTGTTGACGCAGAAGCCAGCCAAGGCCATGAAGGTCATGATGGGGGTCTGTTTCCATTTTGCCTGGTTGATGATGCAGAGGCAGAGCGTGAAGCCGGGCACAAACAGGAAATACCAGCCGCGGTTGAGCGGATTCTGGCAGTGTGTGGCGCTGGTAGCGTTCTTGTCCATCATTCCGTAGAGGGAGGCCCCGATAGTGATGCCATATCCGAGGAATAACGTATAGATCATGGCGTAGACCATGCGGACGCTGCCAGAGACGATGTTGTGGCTCTGGAGCTCAAGCGAGCTGCACAGCACCATGTACCCAGGCAAGATCAGGGCAATGCTGCTTTGCGCCAGTGTGCTGAAACAGAACAGCTGTCCATTATTGATGGAGCCGAAACCGCGGGCGAGGAAGGAGGTGATGACGGCGGCCGACACTTCGAAGACGTGGGCGTACAGCTCGTTGCTCGGTGCAAAGACAAGCTGCAACAGACCGACGATGCAGCCGAGAAGAAAGGCGATGGGGAGGTCGATGAATCGGCCCTCAAAGGCGAATGGTGCCACACACGCCGACGCAATGCCATACATGGGCACTCGAAACCAGGTACGAAACTTGGGTCGGCGCTTCATGACCTCGTCAAGCCGCTCCGTCGCCTCCTCCACGCCGAGCTTGTCGTGAACAACTTCCTTGTAGATGTTATGGACGTCTCTTAGCTTTCCGAGGTCGATGCCCTGGGGCTCTCGGATGACCTTGACCTCGGTGGTATGCGTGGTGCTGTCATCGAAGCTGATGATCATGCACGATGGCATGTAGAGGAACTGCCCTTCTATCTCGAGGACCCGGGATGACATGGTCATGTACTCCTCGAGTCGGTGCGTCGGGGCACCGTACAGCATGAGGGCACGACATAGCTTCAAGAGATAGCGGTGGCGCGAGATGATGCCGGCGATGTGGACGGTGACACGGATCTGCTCCTTCTTGGGCTTGTGAAGCTTCTCCTTCTTCAGCCTGTCGGCCCATTGATCATGGATCTCGCTCGCCCCGGGGGCGGCGAACATGGAAGACGACTTGATGAGCTCGGTCAGGGACGTCGTTGAGTGGCGTGCCCTGCGGTTGCTGAACAAGCCACTGCTGGTCCGTGAGCGGGTGCCCCCAGCTGTGGAAGGGGGCCTCGAAGGAGACCTGGACGAGGGAGGTGACGAGCGAGGCGACATGAGAGGAGTCGACGACTGAACGGGCGTTGTGTATCCGCTGCTGTTGTTGCTGCCGGCCCCTCGATCATGGTCGTGGTAGAGCCTGAGCAGCGAGGAGAGGATGCCGCCACGATACTTTTCGGGGCGAGGGACGTAGTCTTGTGTATAAGCCTGGGTGAGAACCGGGGTGCTCGTGCCGGACGAAGCTGGTTCACGATGGAAGAGGTCTCTGCTCCTGTCCCGGCGCGTGTGGGACCGGACAAGCGTCTCTGCGGTCGTCTGGTCGTCGACGACGCGGCCACGCCTGTGACTGTAGGGGGTGCGGCGATGCAGGTGGTCCAGATAGTCCAGTTGGTCCTGGGACGCCACGATGCCGTCATCTGCCGGCGACCTGGTGTGGTCACCAGCATTGCCGATCAGCGGCTGCTGGAATGAAGCCTCGAGCTCGTCCGAGTTACGTCTCGATCCCGGGGCAGAGGCACTCCCCACCGACAGGGCCAAGCGGTTCGCACGCTGGCGTGCGTCGTCCAGGGCGTGGAGCTGCCTCTTGCTGGTCCGTTGCTCCGCCCAGTCCGCCTTTTCGCGTTCCTCCGGAGCGTCGTAGCTTGTGTTGCGTCTCAGAGCCGGCCTGGGCGTCCTGGGGGTGGCCGCAGCGGGAGGGGAGGGCTCCAAGATGGCAGGAACGGGCTGGATCCGCTCCTGATGCTCCCTCTGCTCCTGCTCGTCCGACAGGACCTTGGTCAAGGCCATCCTGAGCTCCCGAGCGTCCGGAGCCCCGGGGGGCGTGAGGACGGCGGGGGAAAGCCGGGGAGAGGCCATGGGGGAGCGGAAGGGGTCGGCATGGTTGGGGTGAGGATCGAGGCCGTCGGCGGAATGGCCGCCGGCGCTGCCACTGCTCGAATGCCACCCTACTCGCTTCTTGGGCTTGGGGTTGGGCGTAGGCACGTCGCTCGCCGGGCCGCTGTCGTTGGTTGGTTCGGCGGCCATGGCGTAAGCGGTGGTGAAGAAGTCTGTGGTGGTGATGGTGGTTGTCGCCCTGAGACAGGTCTCAGAGGGACGTTCACACCCCAGGGCACGAGTTGGAAGTCGTGCAGGTTTCGGAGAAGACGGACATGCAGCGAGACAGTTTGGAGAGAGAAGAAGGCCAAGGGAGGCGAGCAGAGGCGACTGATATGGCGAGGAATTGCATGACTCCTCGAGTTTGGCTGTGGCGACGGAGCACAAGGATAAGAGGGCCCATCTTTCGCAGCTCCGCCGTCCGCCATGGCCACGGGGACGACGGGGCCGCAGAAAAGCATAGATAGAGCAGCAGCCAGCATCGGTGGGGAGTGTTGCGTTGCAACTGCTGTAGCAGAACTGGGCTGGCCTGGGTCGAGGAAGCAAACTCAAAGGAGGGTCCGTCAGTCGGGGCCGCTGTGGCCCGGGAGAGTCCCAGGCGGCGATGGCGAAATGTCAGATAAATCGGGCTTTTGTGGGCCGCGGCGGACGACATGCCTGCGGGTGGCCCGTCGATAGGCTGGTGGGCGCGAGGCCGTCGACTTTTTTTGTGGGAAGCAGGCCGGCGCCGCCATCTCGCCATGCCATGCAAGCCATGCCACGGCAAGCTTTTTCGGGCCCTCCTCTGCTCTCGTGTCGTGTCTGGTGGAGGCCATCTAGCTTTGCAAGCTTGAACCCTTCTTTTTTTATCGCCTCGTCCGCTCGACCCCCGACGTGCGTCCGTGGTGGCTCATGGCTCCACCGCCATGCCCGTTGTGATCGCCGCCCTCGATCGCCGTCAACCAAGGGGGAGGCTTGCGAGGCCACCACTTCGCGGCCGCAGTGGTTGCACGCGCGACGTCAGTCGGTCTGCCATGGCGGCGTCTTAACCGTTCATGCCGCCGCTCCCGGCGTGCCTTGTGCCTGGCAGGACGCAATGCCGCTGACCAGGGCCATCCTGTCCTGTCGGGGGTGAGCCGAGCCCTCCTTGACGCCCGCCGCCGATCCGGGCTTCGCTGGCGACGAAGCATGCATGGCCCTTATCAAACGCTGACTAGGCTGCGGCGCGGTGCTCTCCCGAGCACGCGTCGTAGGGGCGTGCCTGCACGGCGCTTGATGCTTGGTGGCTGACCGTGGCGGCGTCGTCGGGGCCTGTTGGGTCCCCTGGGTCGTCGTCGCCGGTGGGTCATGCAGCGTCAAGGTCGGTTGAGTGCCCGTGTTGCAATCTTCAAGTGAACGTACGTACACGTACTTGGTACCGCGCTGTATCTTGTGAGCCTATGGGCGAGGAATCCAGCGCGACAGGGACCCGGAGCGATAACGGGTACTGAGGTGCGTACCGGATGGGGGTTGGGTTAGACGGGCGTCGGTCCAGAGGTGGGCCTGCGACCGATGGCGATGCACTGCCGTGCCTGCGTGGGCAGGGAATGAAGCGCGGTCGGAATGCGCGGGCGGGAGGGACGGGGCTCCGGCAGTGTGCGCTTGCTGCGATGCCTGCCCTGCGTGTGTACGTGTACGAGTACCGCGGTGGGCGTCGAGACAGGAGTCAGAGTTACCAAGCTTGCTTTCCCGACGAAGCGCTGCTGGGGCAAAGTTTGTCGCAGCCAGTTGAAAGTTGGCAAGGCCCCGGCTGGGGTGCGAAGGTTGGAAGTTGATGCCTCGGGTTGTAGGCCCCAACCTGCATGGTTTCAATCCCAATCTGGCCGGCCAGTTGCACGGGCCTTGATCTTTCAGCGCTGCCGCTGTCGTTACTGCTGTCAGCAACCATCCAGGTTCCAGTGAACCTAAGGGCCAAGGATCTGCACGACACGCCCTGGAGAGCTCAGGCACATGGCGCGGCCCCCGTAGCCCAAAGCAATGGAAGACCCTGGGGCGGGAAGCTGGAAGCTGTCCCCGGCGTGCAAACCCTGACCCTAGGCACCTACCAACTGGCCCGGCGCCTAATAACGGCGCGGCCCCGCCGCTGCCGAGTAGCCGCCAGGTCCATCCATCCCCCTGTGGCGCCCGCTGGGCGAGCAAGCGCGGTTCCGTTCAGTTGGGTTGAGTTGGTGAGTGCCCGAGCAGTATCTAGTGGTGCCCCGCTGGGGCGTTGGGGCACGCACCGATTGACAGCCCCTGAAGAGCCCTACAAGAACTCCACTGAAAGTCACGAACTTGGCCCTGCGTCGGCTCGAACGAGAGCTCCAGCCTGCCCCATTCCGGTCTGGGGCTCTCGAGGTGCTACTCAAAACGGGCTGACTGCTGTGTCGTTCCCAAAAAGAAATCTGCTCCATCTGCGTAGCATCAACGATCTTACGACGCCCGGTGGCGGGGTCCATCCAGGGACGTTTCTGGGTTCTGCATGGGTCCCCCCCAGCATGGGTCGTGCATGATGAGCCGCGTTGGGCAGCATCTGGAAGCACCGCAGAAGACGCCACGCATCAGGGCCCGTGGCACGTGAACGGCGGACAGGGTCAGCCCGGCCGGCACTTCTGCTTCGTACCTGGCGCACCTATGCATGCACAGCCAGTCGCACGAAATACGTCCATCCCAAACCTTGGAACACCCCCGTTTTTGGTGACCGCTGAGAAGCTGGCGGAGCTTGTGCGCGCGCGCTCGGCCGGCCGTGTTCCCACCCCCGTGCAAATCATGCGGTGCAGGTGATTGCTCTGCTTGCGCTTGCGCTGCTCCATCGCTGGCAGGCCGCATCGGGTAATCCGGGATCAGACCATCGACCCGTCTCCCCATCGCTCTCCATCTGCCTGCCTCTCGCCAAGCAGCGCCGTCAGTCTTCTGGGCCGGCCTGGACGGACGTGCGTGCGGGGATCGCAAGGGCCGGCGCCGTACGCCTACCAAGCACCTAGTGGTAGTCGCGACGCCGTCCGAAGCTGTCGCCCGTATTCAAGATGGATCGTGGCCGGAGGAGCTGGGCCACGCGCGTGCGGCACCGACGGCGGCGCCGGGCAAGCAAACATGCATACATGCATGCATTAGGGACTACGCATGGATGGGCGGATGGACGCTGCGCATCGGCCGAGACGGCACAACTGCGCTCACATGTGCGACTCGAGCCGGCACAGGCGGTCCTGAAACGGCGTCGGCAAACTGCGACCGGAGGCGCAGCGGAGGCTCCGTCGTCGTACGTGCCAGGTACGGCGAGTTGTCGCAAACATTTAATTTGGACGGAATTGTTCTCGAACAATGACTGTGGGAGCGTTTAAAGTTGCGGCAGAGCCTAAGAGCGGTGGCGGTCCCTGAAGCGAAAAGAGTACCGGGGTCTTCTGCAAGCACCCGTACAAAGTAAGAGCTCGTAAGATGAATCGGGCGGGAGCTTGATTGCGCGCGTTGCTTGCTGCTTTTGCCTGCATGATCCATGCGCGTGGTTGAGGATGCAATTCGTGCGGCTGTCCTGCCCTCCTCCCCTGCCCTCTGCCGCCTCTGTGGTTGATGTGATGTACTGTACCACAGTTAGTAATCAGCCCTGTGGCTCGCCTGTGGCCCGCCTGTGGCCCGTGATGACAGTGGTGGTGCGGGCTGTGGCTGGTGGCCATGGCGCTGCTAGTTTCTCCCGTCGCCCTCGCACCACTACCACTGATTCATCCATGCCCCTCCAACACCGTCCTGGCATCACCAATGATAACGCTGGCAGCTCCCATCGACGCCGCACATCAACGTGCCGCCAACGAAATCTGTTGGTTTCCGCCGTCCGAGTTTTCCCAATCGCCATGCCGTCAAAGTCGCACAGCTCCGGCCCGTCGCTCCGGCTTTCGACGCTGCACGACATCGCACGCGGTCGGGCTACTGCCAGCCACCGCAACCCCCGCCGCGACACCGTCACGGTGTCCCTAGAGGAAATCCCCAGCGGGTGCCACCAGCTCAGCTCTTCGCGCCACCATTCAGCCATCTGAAGACCCTTTGGCTTTGGCGTTGGTCCACGATGCTCCTTTGCCGCCCGCCTGTTCCGTCGATTGGGGACCCCTCCCACCTGGTCGCCAAGACACGGGACATGCTCGCTTCACGGCCATATTGCCGTTGCATCGACAGCAACACGGAGCTCGGAGCTCGGAGCTGGTCAAGGCCGACGTGCGACTGCGAAGTGGCCTGCTGCAACATTATCCATCCTTCTGCCAAGTACAGTGCCCGCGGGAAGGCGACGGATCGACGCCTCTAAACCCGTCTCTGGTCCCGCGTGGTGTCATATGTCGCAGCTAACGCGAGCTTGCGGGCCGGCATCTTGTGTCTAGTGCCTCTCCTGTCGCAGCTGAGGACTCGCCCTCTCACCAAGGAGCGGCGTGCGCCTCGCGGCGTTGTCAGTGACGCAGCCCAACGCCTGCCGCTCGTCCTGATCCAGCGTGCTCCGGCATCGTCTGGCGCGCCCGATGTCCATTCCTCAACTGGTCTGCAGCAGGCCCAAGGGCACGCCGTGTTGGGCAACAGCGTCGCGAGTGCTGCTGATGATAATAATCAAAGGACAAGCAGCTCGTTGCGAGTGCTCGGACTGTCGCCTGCCCCGACCCCCGACGAGCCGACCAGGCGCCGTTCAATATGTGTAACGGGCGGCGCCATGCATGCTACCCCAGGTCTAGTCCCGGATGGCGTCGCGACTAGACCAAATCTCCGAGCTGGAGCTCGCACAATGGCCCGGCGTCGGTATATGTACGAGCATCCGCGTCAAGCAGGCTGTAGTAGTGCCTGGATCGATCCCGGCTGGTCATTGTTCTGGCCTCCTCCCCCTTTTTCGTAGCCAGTGACTGTCTCGCCTCTTTGTCGCGACCTCACCGCACCGCATCATAATCTTGCGCGCACAGCATCTGCCGCCATCATGGTCAAGCTGGAGGGCCCCAACACGCCTGGGCGCGTGGTTCCCATGCGCGTCATCGTCTGCGGCCTCCACCGGACGGGCACCATGAGCATGCGCCTGGCCCTCCGGCAGCTGGGCTTCCACGACTGCTACCACATGGCCACCGTCTTCGAGAACATATACGACGACCCGCAGCAGTGGGTGCGTGCCTACGAGGCCAAGTATCTTGGCAAGGGGTCCTTTGACAAGGGCGACTGGGACCGCCTGCTGGGCTACTCGCAGGCATGCTGCGACATGCCCGTCGCCCTCTTCAGCTGCGAGCTGGCCCAGCTGTACCCGGACGCAAAGGTGGTGATTCTTAACCGCGAGCCGGAGAAGTGGTACGAGAGCGTGCTCGAGACGGTCCAGGGGGCGGTCCGCCCCACGGGCTTCTTCAACGTGCTGCAGCGCATCTACATCTTCCTGCTGGACCCGGGAATGCGCAACTGGATCCGCTTCACCAAGGTCATGGCGTCGCTCGGCATGCCCTACGACCACGTCACCGAGCACGACAAGGCCATCGCGTGGTTCAACGACCGCTACGCCGAGTTCCGCGCCGGGATCCCCGCCGAGCGCCGCATCGAGTTCTCCGTCAAGGACGGGTGGGCGCCGCTGTGCGAGCACCTCGGCGTGCCGGTGCCGCAGGTTCGCGACGACAAGACGGGCCAGCTCGTCGAGGCGCCGTTCCCGCACGCCAACGACCGCGCCTCCTTTGCCGTCTCGTCCAAGCGCATGAGCTCCGAGGCCGTGCAGCGCGCCAACACGAACCTCGTCAACACGCTCGGCAGGGTCTGTCTCGTGGGCTGCCTGGGCTACGGCAGCTTCCTGGCCTGGAAGACGCGTCTGGGGGGCCGTCTGTGAAGGCAGCGGCCTGGAAGGCCACGCAACTGGGTGCAAAGAGAATTGGATGTCGCTCATTAGCACGAATCTCAATAAGAATGACGCCTGCCTCATTCACCGCCGACGGCGCGGTCGGCATTGCGGCGTGCAGGCCATGCAGAGCATGGGGTTGTGAGACACTGTGACGCCTCCACGGCTTCCCAACTTTCCGGCATCCCTGTCGGCACGCGTGCACGCGCACACGCATGGAGAACCACAGAGACGTGTTGCCTTGACCAATGTGACTGGGCGCAACTCCAGATGCAGATTTCTTGACTGCCGGCAGCATGTTGGGGGTCGTGGGGGCTGGCGGCATTGCGAAGTAGTCGTGCCGGCCGCAATGACGAGAAAGGCTTCCTGCTCCATAAGCCAAGGCCACCTTGGTCGCGCGATGCCATCTCTGAAGGGCCGCGAATCTCCCTCGCGTTTGCGTCCATACGGCGCAGAAAGCCAGACGCTGAGCGATCATATGCCGAATCGTGATGAGATGATGCAGCGGGATCGCGATGGTGGATGGCGCCGCTGCTACAGGTGGACGGTTCGCCCGTGACGTCAGTCTGGCAAGCGCCGGACCAGGCGCTCCTGCCCCCAGATGCACGTTTAGACAACCTTGGAACCACGTCTCTTCCGAGGCACCACCAGCATCACCACCACCATGACAACCCCATCAGCCTTGTCAATCAAGGACAACGGATAGAGAGTCAGCATCTGCCGTTTTTTTCTTCAAGTGTCGCGCGGGACATAGCCGGGGCGAATCAACAGCATGAAGATTCGCTCCTCGCGGATCTCCGGCTCCATTTCAGATGCCATCCTCGCCGACTACGGCTACGACGAAGATGATGATGACGGTCGCCCCGCCCATGGCAGGAAGCCGTCGCCCTCCTGTGCCAGCAGCCTGGTCCGCCCCTTCATCGCCTTCTTCTCTCTCTACCACCTGGCCCTCGCGCGCTACCGCCCCGCCGACTTCCTCACCCTCCGCCATGAGGTCTGGCACGTGGACGAGGACGAGTACGCAGCCTCATTCCAGCGCCGCGACACCACCACCAGCCACGACGACGACGCAAGGGGCCTCGACTCCCGCTCCGACTCCAACGGCGACGGCGAGCTCGTCCCCGTGGGCGACCTCGGGTACAGCGGCTCCACCTTCTTCACCACCCCCGACGGCCGCTACCTCGTCAAGTCGCTGCCGCGGCGCTTCGAGCACCGCTTCTTCACCCATGATCTGTTCGGGCCCTACGTCACCCACATGAAGCGCCACCCGGGCAGTCTGCTCGTGCGCATCACGGATATGCCCTACACCCCGCAGGCGACCCTCGGCGGCATCCTCGGCATGGCGCCCACGCACCACATCGTCATGGAGAACCTGCTGCACGGCAAGGAGGAGGCGAGCGACCCGGACAGCTGGGAGACGTATGACCTCAAGCCTGACGACTACTTTTTCCCCGAACGTGACATTGCCGACGGCCGGCTGGCCCCGCAGAGCGTCAAGGACCGCCTAGTCGACGACTTTCCCGGAGGCGGCGTGCGCGTCGACGCCGCCATGAAGCGCCAGCTGCTCAACACCCTCGACGCCGACACGAGGTTGCTGGCCGACGCTAACGCCGTCGACTACTCGCTCTTTCTCGTGCGCTGCCCCGGCCCGGCGGCGACAAGGCCCTCGACGGCCGCGCCTGTCTCACCATCGCCCGCCGCCTCCGAGGACGCCTGGCGCGCGGGCGTACCATCGTCAGACGGGCGCTGGGCGTACCGCGCCATCGTGCTCGACTTCTTCTGGGCCAAGCACAAGTTTCACGCGCAGGCCATGACGGGCCTCGTCTCCGCCTTCAACCTCGTCGCCAACAAGGGGCCCATGAGCATCACGGCCCGCCCGGACGAGTACCGGACCCGCTTCCTCTCCATGGTCGACAATCTCGTTTCGGCAGCGGGCGAGGGGGGCGACGGATCCGCCGGCGGAGGCAGCGGAGGGCCCTCATCATCGCGATGACCGGTGGAGAGCGGGAAGAGGGGCATGGGAGGGTCGGCGCGCGCTGCAGAGGCAGAGTCATTATTTAACCAGGGGATGTCTATGCGCCTGGCACGATGGGCGGGGAGTCGGCTCATGCTTGGGCAGCATTTGTGATACCAGACGCACGATTGGGCATCTGCCGTGCGCGCTCAACTGTTCTGTGCTACTACTGTACTACGAGATACGCTACGTGAATCCTAATGATCAGATAGCTCGTCCCGCCGTCCATGCCGGTAGTTGGGTAGTTGCTTTTCACAGCTCACCGGCCCGTTATCAATCACGATGCGTGCACTGGCGCGGATCCGGTCCCGCCCCGGCGCTGCCGCTGCCGCCGTGTAAGTGCAAGCATGGGCCGCGCGACTCCACCGCACGTCACCTTTACGAACGTCGCATGTCTCAAGTCTTGTTGGACCGTGCATCCTGCGCAGATAGGTACGTACGTAGGTGCTAATTACTACGTATGCAGGAGCAGGAGCAGGAGCAGGACAAACCGGCTGCAAGGCACAAGGAACCCATCGCGTTGAGGATCGTGAAGGGGGGGAGTGCATGGAGTGGAGTGCGAGTGTCTCTGGCTGACACATACACACACTCTCTCTGTCATCGCGCGATGGATGGATGGATGGGCGTTCGTCGCGGACCCGTACCTATGCCGCGTCACGCGGCCGAGCAGAGATTTTCCCTTCTTTTCTTTCTTCCTTTCATGTCAAGGCTTGGCTGGACTTGTGTGTGCTTGGATCTATAACACCGATACGAAGGGCGCTAGATGGCGCATGCCTTGGAGGGGACATGTTACGTACTGCGTCCATCGGAGAGACATTGCCAAACCGAGGTCTTTCTGCTCATCGACCGACCGACCGGCCCCTGCGGCTGGGTCTCGCGGCCATTTTAGTTAGCTCAGCCGCTTCTTGGGCACGACCCATCCTAGCCAGATGAGAGCTTTTGCAAAACATGCCGTGAGCAAGAGTGAGGCTTAAATCAGGGCCTGCCTGTTTGGGCCGCCTGGCAGCTCCGCTCCTCGAGGAGGGGGGCCACCACCGGCTGCCAAGCATAGTCGGCACCGGCGAGTCCGCAAGTCCTAAGTTAGGTGGTGTATTGCAAAGAATTCGGTACTAGTTCCTACACAAGTGATGTCAAAAGAGGACTAGATTAGCCAGGCAGGAAAGGGGCAGGCTTGATATCATTGATGACGGGATAGCTGGCAGCACAGAGGAGAGGAGAGGAGGAGGGGGCGTGCGCGTGAGTGCGATCTGAGACGTTGAAGAAGAGACCCCGATCTGTGCTCACCAAGAGCACCAGACAATGTCTCACAAGCTCTCCCCAAGCTCCCCGAAGCTCTCTCCCACTCTCTCCTCCCCCGCACCACAGCACCAGAGCTCCAAGTCCCAAACCCCAACCCTCAAACCCAAGTCCCAAGTCCAAGACACAAAAGCTCTCCCCCCCACCACACCCCTCCAAATCCCGCCCTCCACGGGACCTTCCATTGGTGGTGCGGGTAAGACAAACAGCTACGAGAGCTTTCCGAGCTTCCGCCTCGCGCCACGCCCTGGAATGCAAACTTCAAGCAGAGAAAAAAAAAAAAAAGACGAGTCTCAATAAATGACATGAAGAAACGAAGAGGACGACAGAGAGAAAAGAAGAAAAAAAAGTTCCCGGCACGCCACCCCTGAGCTACGTGTTCATCTCAATAAGGCAGGCCGGCAGTTGACGAAGCCCTCCCGATTAGGCCAAAGAGGGCAGACGGCATGACTGATAGAGTTCAAGGAAGGAAGGCGCGCGCGGATGCTGCCGTGCGCTTTGGCACGCAGGGGCGGCAACTTAGAGGGCTCGGCAGTTGGTTTTGACATTTTTTTTTTCTTCGGCGTCGGTGCCTGGCTGGACCGGCTGTGCCTAGGAGAGGGAAAGCGTTGCGCTGCTGTGGGTGCAAGGGGGGAGGCGCGAATGTTGCGCTGTGCCTTGTCGACTTACACGCGCGCGCCGTTGGCAAAATCCCACCCTGTGGCTGGACGAGACGACCACCACCACCATTGACACCCACCACCACCAACAGCACCTACCAAAGCTACCTTATCCTCGAACATATCTGCAATTCTTCCACGGCGCCTCCATCGACGCGCACTCCCCCTCCTTCATCTCCCATCCGATCCCGTCTCCTTCCCCATTCCCCCCCCCCCCTCGCCGTCCAATCCGAAGCTCCGGCTTTGCTGCTGCTTCAACACCCCTTCCCTCCCCTCCGTCTCAGCGTGCGAACCACAAACACTCAACAACATCTCATCTCGCACACCTCTCCAGCAAGTTACTCCAAGACACTCTGCGTGCCAGCCATCGGTGGCACGTAGCATCCACCATCATCATCCCAACGAAATAGGGACAGGCAGCATGGCACCATCCCCATCCCTCTTCTTTTTCTTGTCACCGGGTTTAAACAAGAAAAGTGACGAGTCAGGGGACCTTTTTTCTCGCGGGTGGGGAGCTTGGGTTTGAGTGAGGGCGGGCTTGACGGAGGGGTTTGGGTGAAGGGCTTGAGGACATAGAGGAGGGAGGTGCACGGCCGTCTGGTCTGGTCGGTCCTACCCGTTGAGCGGACGCACCCGGCCCGGACGGAGCGGACGGGGATAATGCCCGGTGCGGTAAGTGAGGAAACGTGCCATGGCCGGCGCGCACCGTGAAGGGGCGAGCGAGTGGTGTGCTCGTAGAGAGTTCTGGTGGTGGTGACGGTGACGCTGCTGGTGGTGGTGGTGGTGGTGCAGCAGTGATGGCAAAGAGTCATCAAGGGGGGAGAAGCCACGTGCGGTAGACGTACGGCAGCTCTGTCACACCAAGCGATGTAAGTCATGGTAAGGCCGAGTGACGCCATGCTTGAAGATCGCGGATGGTGACAGTCATGAGTAGTTCCAGTGACGCCATGCTTGAGGATCACGGGTAGCGACCTGACGGGGCGAAGCCGATTCCTCGATATGGAGGTCGATCCCGCGATAGTCAGCGATGCAATTCGTCAAAGAACGGGATCGGGCAGCGGCACAGGCGCGCTTTCTCAGAGAGCCAGAGACAGGTCTAGCATGGATACCGTCTTTCGCCACGTCGCACAGCAGGGCAGTGTATGTCACTGCCCCTGACCTTGTATCCATAAGCGAGAATACGTACACTCAAATACCGTCATTTAAAGTAGGGGGATCAAGGAATATCGCCAGAGCAGGTCTCGGGGATCATCAAATATTATGGGTATTTATTGAGAAATCTCGATATGCAGCAATGGCCCGTGCAACATCATCGCAACCTCATGCTAGTCCAACACTCGAAGCATCTCGTACGCCTTGTGTCCGATGGCCTTCCTCACCGTCGCAAGGGGATCCACCTTGGCCTTCTTCTTCGGCGCCTCAGCAGGCTTCTCGTCCCCGGGCATGGCAACCACAACCTCATCCTCGTCGGCCTCCTCGTCTTCCTCAGCCGCTTCCTCTTCCTCTTCCTCGGGGTCCTCAAATGACCCGCCCTCCATAAACACCTTGAGCATGCCCTGCGAGTACCCGCTCACCAGGCTGGTGCCCTTGTCCGTGACCGTGACGGGCTTGGGCGCCGTCGTGTCGCCGCGACCGCCGCGACCGTAGCCCGCCCGTCCGCCGGCGAGGTTCCAAAAGACCAGCTCCGGCATCTCGTACCCCGCCTCTGCAAACATGCCCTTGATGCGCTCATACGAGGTGCTCCATCTGGACTTGCGCTTCGACTGCTCGGCCTCGTCAAACTGCATGTCGCTAAAGACAAACACCCGCTTCACCATCTCCTCGGGCTTCAGCTTGTTCTCGAGCGCCATCGGGAGGATCAGCCCCTCGAATACCTTGACGAAGTTGGTGTTCATGCCCCATTGTGAACTTTCCAGGCGGGCAACCTTCTCCGTCAAGGACAGGGACAGGTCGATCTGCTGCACTTCTGGATTATGGCTGAAGGTGATAAACGCCCCTCCAAAGGGCTTCTCCGTGACCTCGGCAACGAGCAGGGACAGGCCGATGGCAGAGTCCATGGGGGTCGTGCCATCCGCAAACGTCGGGCTCCCCATGCTGCCAGACACGTCGCACACGGCTATGCTAGACGACAGGGTGCCCGAGTCTTTGATACGCTGGACCAGCGTGTTCCACTGCCCGCTTACGACCTGCGCCTTCATCTCGCCCAGCTTATACTCAGTCAGGGCGCGCGGGAGCATGGTCTTCTTCTGCTCCGCTGTCAGGACGCGGTATTTCGCCTGCTTGACAAGAGTCGATGGCAGCATCGTGGCGCCGGAAATCGTCGACTTCCCTCGCGTGACGCGGTCGAGATACTCTTCAAAGTGCTCGAGGTCCTTCTCTATGAAGACCTTCGTGTAGGCGTTCATGGCCAGGGACGGCACTCGGTCGTACTTGATCTTGTCAAAGGTTCCATCGGTAATTTTGCGCTCGACAATGTCCAGGTGCGCGCGGAGGGCAGACACGTCTCGCCGGTAGCGCTCCCGAGCATGCTTGAGGTACGTTTCGCGGTCATCGGTCGCCGCGAGCACGTCGTCGAGCGACTCGCGTGGGTACATGATTTCCGCGATAGAGCTGATGACAAACGTGTGTCTGTCGTGAAAGCGGTCTTGCGAGGGAGCCCACTTGCCGCATAGCGAAATCGACTTCTTGGCCTTGGAGTTGTTGCTGCGTAGCGCAGCCAGGTCTGCCTGGAGCTGCTCGGCGAAGAGTCGAGCCACTGTGAGGTAAAGCGCCCGATATTTGGACTTGGTGCTGAACCGCTCCACGACTGCATCGTGCCGTTGCCGACGTTCCTCGTGGCGCTGTTCACGTTGCTCGCATTGAATCTCCTGTGGAGTCTTCTTCGCCTCCTCCTGCTTCTTCTCTTCTGTAGCTGTTTCAGTCGCGTCCTGGCGGCCCCCGCGAGCAGCTCCCCCGCGTCCTCTGGTTCTCCGTTGCCGTCGGCCCCTCGATGGCTTGGAGTATCCCAGTCTCCGCCGCTTCATGCTTCGTACAATGGCCTCGTTCTCCACGTTGAGCACATCGCGCGGGTTCGCCAGGACATTCAGCTTCCCATTTGCGGCCAGCGCCAGAATATTGAGCAGGTCCTTCCAGTACCCGTGCGACACCCCATACTTGACGTCGAACTGTGTCCTCTCATCGTCCTCCGCGGGGGCATCCACCAAGACGACATCGTCCTCGCCGTCTTTTGGGACCTTCTTCTCGATGACGGGGCGGCTGAGCCACCGCAGGTTGGCCAGGAGCGTCAGCGGGTGGTTCCGGTACAGCCAGCCGGCAGCGCGGTAAAAGGTCCGCCGAGAGCTCTTGCCGAGGTGAATGGACCGGGCGTTGAAGATGATTTTGAGCGTCGAGAGCGGGTCGGCTGCCCACGAAGCCTCGAGCAGCTCGCGCAGCCTGGGGCCGGAGACGACCTCTTCAAGCTCGGCAAAGAGGTCAACCAGGGCGTTGTTGGTGGAGCGGAACGCGACGTCGGCATTTTCAGTCAACATCTTGTTCTCCATGTCCGGGGGCTGGCCATGGCGGGTGAGGCCGGCCATGAAGCGGCTTTCCGGCTCGTCCTTGGTATCGGACTTTTCGTCGTTTACGCCCATGGCGTCCATGTCTCTTTGGAGGTCTGCCGTGGTTGACTCGGTGGCATTGACTAGGGTAAAGGCATCGTCGTCGCCTGTCACCGGCTGCGCCTCTTGTGTTGCCGCATCATCCCGCCGCCGCAGTTCATTGGCAAGGAAGCCGTCAAAGTCGGCCCGAGACTTGGTCAGAGCCTCGTGTGTGGGAAAGTCGACGGGATACGTCGATCTCAAGAACCAGGCGCGCTGGTCGCCTTCGTTGGAAGTAGCCATGATGACAAGGTTCTCTGCAATGCCTGACAGAGATTTTGTCAACGACTATGTCGACCAAGCCCGGGCAAGTTGGGAATAAAGAGAATGGAGAGCATCGTGTGGACGCGGCAAGGAGCTGATTTTATGTGTCCAGCTCCGGCTGATCCATGACTGTTCGCCCGTATAACGGGCCTGCCAGCCAGCCAACTGCGATGGCATCCCCCAGGACTGTGCCGCAAAGGGTGACTCAGGCCGATGGCGGTTGAGAGCCTCGGGGGTGCCTCGATGCGTACAGGTGTTGTTCCGTCCCCAATGGGTCACCCTGCACAATATTGTGTTGGCGGCGGGTGGCTCAGCGCTGCCTAGGAACCAAGCCGAGAACGCCTTGCGTGGCACCTATGCGGGGCAGGGTGCATGGGGTGCTGGTTGCGCTGACTGGCCAGGCGCACAGGTTGGCGATGAGGCTGAGAGATGGGCCCTGATGCCTGATGGCCGGTCGCAACACTCCATCGGCCAAGCATCGTGATGGCTTTGACGGCAGGGACTCGGATGAAGGTGAGAGGAAGGCGACGAGCGAAGTTCCGGCTGACTCACCGGCGAGTTGGGTCAAGGTCAGTGGGAGGTACGTACTGGTAGTGGACTTCCAACATGCTTCCTCTGCCACCAATCGGCCACCTACCTACTCTACAGCATCAGCCAACACACCACGCACAACAAAAAGAGTATGCAGATTTGGAACATGGTGAATCCATTTGGCTGTATTATGCTGTACTATATGCGCCTTGCTGTGTACTCCGTAACGTCGTTAGACTCGTCTGCCGTCTCTCTCGGCCCCTTCTCCGCCAGGTCTAGGGTAGCTCTAGATGCGAGTCGCGCGCCCTTATCTCGAGATCCGTCTCCAATGGCCAACTGCCAATCCCAGCACGGCAGTTATCTCAGATGCGCCTTATCATGACCCATGCACGCCGCGCCGACATCTCCTCGGCGTCCTTATCATAACCTGTAGCTCATCGTCTCTAGAAGCTGCTCTTCTTCCTGCGTCAAAAACATGTGCTCCGGCACAATCACCTGGCCCGGCTTGATCACCACCTCTCCCGCGTGCTGGTGCGACCGGCTCACTCTCTTAAACATGACGCGGTTCCCTTCCGAGTCGTCGTCGTCGACGTCCATGTCGTCCTGGTCCTGCTGGGTGCTGCTGCCCTCGCCCTCGCCGTCGCTCACGGCCGTGCGGTGGCTGGCGTCCCCGGCGGCCGCCCCCTTTTCCGCGCCGGCGGCCACGTTCATCTCCTCGTCCGACTTGCGGCGCACCAACGCGGGCTTCGACGGCCGCAGGGCCTCAGGCGTCCACCAGTACATGGGGAAGCGGCGCTCGACGTTGTTGACGAGCAGGGCGACGCCCAGCATAAGAGCGCAGCCGAGCATCATGACGGGGATGAGGAACCAGCCGATGCGGATGAGGTTGGCGTCGACCACGGCCAGCAGCGCCGTCGCGCCGGCGGGCGGATGCACCGTCTTGGTCAGGGCCATGAGGGCCGTGGCCGAGGCGCACGACAGCGCGCCGCCCACCCACTGGATGTCGGCGAAGCGGTCGCTGAGCTGGAACAGCTTGCCGACGCTGACGCCGATGACGGCGGCGATGAGCTGGCCGACGATGGCGTTGCGAGGCTGCGCGAGGGGAGCCTCGATCGAATAGAACTCGAGCACTGCAGCGGCACCCTACAGCACCATTGTCGCACGACGTTAGTCAGGTCCGTACTCGGGCTGGCGATCACCACATCCCCCATCGCGGCTGCAGGTGTGTGCGCGTGCGCTCCCACCCGACGCCGCGGGCCAGCCAACAGCGACGCTGGCACCCCCTCCCTCCTCCCACAACAATCACAGAAAGGTAGGGTAGATCTGGCTGCAAGGGACAGGAACGGAACGTACAAATGACCCCACGATCATGGGCACGCCTTTGTGCTCAAACGACGGCACGTGCCGCGACACGCCCTCGATGAGGAGGATGGCGCCAAAGACACCGATGAAGGCCCAGAAGATGGGCACCAGGTTGCCCATCTCGCGCGGCTTGCCCTTGCGGTAGCCGAACCAGTAGGCGACGGGGTAGGGTAGGTGTCGCCATGGCGGCGACGGCACCAGCGGGTTGAGGTACCGGTCAATGTCGAAGTTCCACGTGCGGTAGCCCATGGTGCGGCGCCGCGGGGTGTCGGACCCGTCGCCAACAGGAACAAGCGAAGCGAAGCGAAGCAAAGCAAAGGTCGAAATCCAGCGAGAGAGAGAGAGCGCGCGCGCAGAGTCGACAGACAGACGGACGGACCGGGCGCGATCGGTGGTGGTGGTGCGCGGCGGTTGCTTCCGACTCAGCAAGACTCAGCCGTCGCAGTGACCTCACATGCGTCTCTCGAGAGGTTCACGAAGCCCATCGACGACGGCGCGGGTCGTATATAAGGGACGGACGGGATGGAGCAAAGGCGAAGAGGAGAAGGAGAGAATGAAGACTCCCGTCTGGAGGGGGATCAACGGGGGTAAATCCGCGGAAAAGCCCAAAGGGACCCAGGAAGGCTTCATCCGAAGCGAGCCTGTACGACGGCAACGGCGCCCGGGAGCGAGAGTTCCAGCAGGCAGGTTGGTTCGCGCACGCATTGGTAAGAGAAACGCCGAAAGTGGCAAAGGGGGGGCCATTTGGTGGATGCCGGCCGCCCGGGGGAAGCATGGGAACATGGGCCTCTCTGAGGCAAAGCGCCCATTGAACCTAACTAACAGCCTCCAGCTGCTGCCCAACCGACTTACCGACATAGTACAGCACGGCCACAGCGCGGTTGCGAGTCAAAATGGAACCTTGGAACTCGCCTAGCGGGGCCCCTTCCAGCGCCCTACCGCCTACACGCGGGACCCATCCCACGTCAAGATGGATCTCTGACAGCACCCGGACCCGCCGTCGCGGCGCCGCCCATGGCCCCAAGCCCGCCCGGGAATGCCTTCAAGGCCCTCAAATCCCTTCCCTAGGTTTGCCGCACCTCACGCACAGTGGGCCGCACCCGCACCCTCGTCCGTCTCTCAGCCCTCCCGCCTCGCCGTCGCCGTCCCTCACTCCACTGCCACTGTCCCCCCCCGGCGATGTTTCGGAAATCGGCATGAGTGGCTGCAATTCTTGTCTTGTCGCTCTGGCGCTCTCTCTCTATTTGCGTCGCCCCTGTCCAACGGCCGCCTCGGAACACACGGTCGGTCCCCGTTTATCATACAGCACAGTACTGTACCAATATTGAGATGCGCCGTGCGAAGGGCGGGACGACGGGGAGGACAGAGTCAATGGCGCCCTGTGCGGGAGCCGCGCAGCGAAGCTGCTTGCTGCTGCCGTCCAACAATACGGAAGAATGGGCGCGTCACAATATCTGCAATCTGCACGCGCGCCCTTCCTTGGCCTTTGCCGCACCCCCACGGCTGCGGTCGCTTACTGTGGTGGTGCTTGGGACATCGTCATCTCCATTCACCGGATTCATTCATCAATCAATCATCAAAGGCGCAAGCCGACCAGGGCGCTTGCATCATCGTCACACCACCGGCACCACCGCATTGGCGTCACTTCAGTTTTTCTTCCTCCCAGCCGGCCGGCCGTCGTGCGGAGTCGCCCGACGCCAAAAAGAGGGGGTCACTCCCCCTCCCCATCGCGGTGGCGTCTTCGGCAACGCAAGCCACCGGACGCTGCCACTGGTCGCTAGCCCTGTGTTCACTTTTAGCTGCATGGGCGCGCCGCTGGCTGGCAGTTGAATCTGGGGAAGGGTGGCCCGCGTTGGACGGTTGGGCGGCTTGGGGACGCAACGATTCAACTGATACAGTACGAAGCATTGACAAGCCAGCATCGCAGGCCAGCACGCTTGTCCGTCTGTCGAGCGCGAGATCGACTGCTTCTCCATTCGAAAATCCGGACACGTCCATCTCCTCGGTTTGCGGCACCGCCATGGAGCGGCCGATGCGACCATGAGCCCTCAACTGGGTTGCCGCCGCTCGGCACGATGCGCATGAAGCGCCGCTCACTAACACGGCGACGGCTTCGACCGCGTCTACCATCCCGCGGAAACGTCCGTGTCGCCGACCAACGCGCCAATGGCCAGTGTGTCTCGGCCAATGCGTGTAATCACCCGTGCTTCCTTCTGCCTCTGGATATATTCGCCCTGGCCGCTTAAACGTAGTGGATGCATCCGTCCCCCCCTCCTCTCCAGTCTTCCAACCGGCCATACACGTAACAGTCCGGACGACACTGGCTGCAGAGCAACAACGCCCAATGCTCTCATGGATACTGACTCCCTGCCATTGAGAATCGCAGTCCAGAAAACAGTGTAGTACAAGTACATCGTTTTCTGCGAGACAAAGTATCCAGCCCTGGCAACAATTGCGTAGATGCGTTGCCGAGCGCGACGGGCTCAGCAGGCACAGTCACGTAAATACAACACATTTCGTCCATTCTCACCACCTCCCTTCGCTCTCCAGTGGCCATGTTTCACGCTCATACACCATCGCCGTCCTCGCGCCTCCCATGGACGCTCAGATGCCGGAATCAGGCCGCGCTTCAACCACCACGTCCGTACGAAGATATCCTAGATCTACTACTGTACCATGTTGAGAATACTTAAAGATGTAGTCGAGCGACTGTGTGTGCTGCAACGGGTTGCGGTCTGGTTGTCGTGTCCGTCGCGTGGCCGTCCCCGTTTGGCTTCACTCCTGGCGTGCTCCAGCGGCACCCCGTCGCCCGCACACATCAACATGACAAAACCTCCCCACCACGAGAACGCGGCGAGCATTCCCACGGCCTCGCTCTCTCGTCTCAAGTCTCTCGCTTTCTCGCTGCCTGGCCTCGTGAGGTATTTCTGCGTCGCCCTGTCAACAAAACCTCTACGCTGCCTGCCTCCCGCACACCGCCGCGCCCGTATTCCGCTTGCTCGACGGGCCCTCGTGCAGTGATGCACTACCAGAAGCTCTTCTCTCTTCACTGAGCTTCATTTGCAATCTATTGCTAGACCACGAGCTCTTTAGCTCTCCATCGACTGGGCAACTTGGCTCGACCGCACCGCCAGGTTGTAGTCCTGGTCAACAAACCCCAATCTGAGAGGTCGCACGCGTACACAGCCTATCAGGGCGCTTGCAGAGCGGAAAGAGTTCAGCGGGAGAATCACAGCTCTACAGCTCCCGTCATAAACACCAAAGAAAGCAACAATCCCTCTCACGACTGCCCAACCTCTACTCTCACCATCAACACTCCCCCCTTCAACGTCCATCATGGCGCTGCCTCCGCATCTACGAGCCCACATTCAACGTCGTCAGCTCGGAATCGACAACATGGACGCTGAAATGGACGTTGGAAGTCTCGTCAACCGCCTGAACGAGAACGAATCCCAAGTGCGAGCCCTCACTGTAAGTCCCTCCGCTAGCACCAAGCTCGACCCCGTCTCCCTCCTCTTCCACCTCAGTCCACCGAGGCACGCCCCTGGGATGCCTTGCAGTCAAGAACACAATCTTGACCAGAGTCGACTACAGGAGCAGATCGACCGCTCCGGCCGTCGAATCGGTCGTGGTAACGGCGGCGACAAGCAACAGGCCTGGAAGGATCTCGCTTCCTCGCTCAATGCCATGAAGCTCACGGCTACGGCTGCGCTGGACCTCCTCGAGCAGCGGATGGAGCCTGAGCCCGAGACCCTACTGGCCGACTACACCACTGCCAGACTGGAACGTCGCCGTGTAAAGGCTTCGACTCAGCATCAAGGCGGCTCTCCTTCTCGCAAAGCCGCCGGCCGAGCGACTTCTTCGTCTTATCCCCCGCACTGGAAGCCCGATCCCCAGTTTACTCGCTCCGGCTTCAACGCAGCCGACGACCCCTTCGTGGACGGAAACACCTCGCCAGCGCTACCCACCCTATGTGGCAGCCCATCCCCTCCCGCCTACTTGGACGATGACAGCATGGCGAGCACCTTGGCCCTGACGCCGACCTCCGGCCCTGAGGTTCACCACATCGAGAACGCGTCTGAGAGCTTCCTGAACCTGTCGTATCATCCGGAAATAACTCAGCTGACCTGGCCCAGAGTCGCCTACATCGTCGAGTCCTCGCCCGCGTCCTCGGACCTCACCACGGACTCGCAGGCGTTGACGCGCGGCAGCCGCCGTGTCCTCCTCGGCAACTTGCCCCCCGACGCCACGGCCGCGCAAGTTCTCCGCAGCGTCCGCTGCTACGGCGGCGTCATCAGTGCCGTCATTCTCCCTAGCACTTCGTCCCCTGTGGCGGGACTGACCGAGATGGCCACGGCCATGATTGAGTTTGTGTACTCGACGTCTGCGGCAGGCTTTGTCGAGGTCTTCAACAAGAACAGCCATCAGGTCACGTTCAAGGACGCTCACGGACGGCCTTACGCGGTCCGCGCTTGGCTCGCCCCCTCGCACTCGTACCCCATCCGTCCGGCGGACCGGCAGCTTCTCGAACGGGGCGCCACGCGGGCGGTCAAGATCGCGCCCGTGGCGGAGGACACGGTCTGGCTGGTGCTTAGCTTGCTGCCGGCGGCGTAGGTCGTCACCGAAGCACAGTACTGCCTGGCAGACAAGGCCGTCACCATCGAGTTTGCGTCCATCTTCGAGGCCGAGCGCGCGCGAGCTCTGCTGCAGGCCCGACGCTCGTGGATCGGCGACGAGGACCCCAGCGCGTGGCTGACCATCTGCTTCGTGCCCGACTCTTGTCAGGGAGAGGTGCTCGCGCGAGGACTGAACAGCGCGGGTCCCGTGGAGCACGTCTACCCCGACCACATCTCCCGCATGTGGAACTGCCACCCCTACAACCAGCGCGTCCTCAACTTCAACCCCTCCGCCGACAACGCCGGCGCCGCGCCCGCCACGACCCCCCGTCGAAGCAAGCCCCTGGACAAGGCCACCATCGCCGGCTTCCTCGACCTCGAGCCCGAAGAGCTCTCCCCGTTCCTCGAGTCGCGCGCTAACTGGAAGGGCGACATCACGTACGGCATCATCGGCAGCACGGCCAAGCTCATCCGCCGCGCCTGGGGCTGGCGCCTGACCGCCGAGGACGACGACAAGATCCTCATGGCGCACACGCTGCACGACCCGGAGTGGGCGGACATCTGGGACGACCACTTCGAGGCCCGCGGCGAGCCCAACCTGCGCACGTGGGAGCGCTACGGCGCGCTGGCGAGGCACCGCCGCGAGAGGGCCGCGCAGATGGGCGTCGAGGAGTGGCGCGTCGTGCCCTGCGCGGGCGGCGAGTGCGAATGGGCCTGCGGCACGATGAAGACGGCCAAGGTCGTGACGGACTACCTCAAGAAGGCGAGGGCGTTCAGGCGGGCTCCGTTTGGAGAGTCGGACGACGAGGAGTAGAGAAGGGGTGTGTGATGCGGCTGGCAGAGCGGCGATGCGGACGATTTGGGGCTTGCGAAGTTGCAATGTTTCTTGGTGGATGGCTGCGATGTGAACGCGCACTGGCTTCAGGGGATGATGAACTTGGGGGACACAGATTGATTGGCAAGTTGCTTTGCTGGCATAGAGAATGGCGATGGGATGCCCAGAGAGATTGCAGAAAATCAACAGGCGACGAGGTGCCTGCTATTTATAACCTTGTATCGCCTGTGATATGATGGGTATCCGCATGCTTCGAGTCATCAGACCAAGTGTACCAGCACGCCAGTGTCCAGTCCCATCCCAGGTTCTCACCAACGTAGCAATGCAACTAGGTTAACGCCCTTCTAGAATCCTCACAAGTAAAGCCTGCCTCCTGGCGATGCCCAGCTTGGGACCCCCCAAAGCTGCTCCAGTCTCCAAAAGCAGTGTCGCACAACCCTCAAAATAAGAATGTTCCCAATGGACCCCCTGCTCCTTTCCATGATGCTGCTGGTTTCGGGTCGTCGGCTCCTTCTTTCACCACAAGCAGCTCTTCGTCGGCGTCATCGCCGCCCTCCATCCGAGACGGCTCTCTGCCGCTCGGTGTGCTGTCCCCATATGAGCTCGGCCATCCCAAATCCTCCACCTCATCGCCCCCTGTGAACGCGTCGCTGACAGACCGGTACTGCTTGCCCGTCATCAGCTTCGGCTTCGGGAGCGGCCGCGGCTTGGTAGTCTTGGGCACCGGCGCAGGTTTCTTCTCGCTGCCAGGCTTGACGCGTGCCGCAGCTTGCCTCCGCCTTTTATCCTGCTTAAGGTAGTTGCGGACGAGGCTGGCTGGCAGATTGTCTTCGGGCTCCCAGGTCGGGTTCTGGTCCGGCGGCCAATCGCCCTCCCACAGCACCTTGAAGTAACGTACCAGGCCGCGGCCCTCGACCTCATAGAGCTCCATGCCCTGAATGTACCGCACGACCCAGGCCGTCTCCCCGCTCTCGTCCACGACTGGCTTCGAATCCGACGCCGGCGTCTTTGCGGGCTTCCTGCTTGACGAAGTACTCGGCCGCGGCCTCGGTCTCTTTGCGGGGTTCGGTTCTGGCCTGGTCTTGGGGGTTGTGGTTGTTGTTCCTTCTCCCTTGACAGGGATGACGGCTTTTTGTGAACTATATGTTCCGTTCATGGAGTTGAACGAGACAAATCCCCCGTTCGCGGGAGTTGCTGGATTCGGATTCCGTGTCCCAGGTAGACTGGTTAACGGCGGTGTCTCATATGGCGATTGCGTTCCCGAACTCGTCCCAAAAAGCAGATCTGACCGTCCAGGAGCCGACTTGCCTGATGTGACCCGGCTGCGGTCAGTCTCATCGAAGACACCCGTTGGCCGCTCCCAGTCCGCGTTTTCGGCTGTCTCGTAGTCCAGCTCCATGGCGTCCTGATATGCTTCTCCAGACTCTTCGCCAGTTTCCCAACCGATCTCTCGTGCCAGTTGCCGCGACGGACTCATGTCTTCATCATCCGACAGGCCTTCGAAGTCCTCCAATCTGTTCTTCTTGGGCGTGGACAGGCTCATGGCACCCGCCTTATGTCGCGCCTGGGCGTCCGTCTCAGGCTGCTCGGCGACGGCGCCGGCCTCGATGGCGGTATGTGCCGGCGGCCGTCCCCTCTTCTTGCCCGCCTTCTTCCGTTCCTCGACCGGCTGCTCCAGCTCCTTCTGCTTCTCCTCGACCAGCTTCTTGCGGTCCTCCTCCAGCTGCATCTCCAGGTTCCACTCCCATTCCTCAAGCGCGCGGGGGGACACGTAGTCGAGGATCTTCATGGCTGGCACGAGCAGCGTCGCAGCCGGGAGGTCCCGCCATCCGACAATGTACGTCATTCGCTTCGGGAGCGGCTTTCCGTTGGACGCCAGCCCGGGAGAGGGCAGCAGGATGCGCTCGACGATGTAGGCGGTCGAGTCGGCGGGCGGGAGCAGGCAGATGCGCTGCAACGGGGGGCCGCTGCCGGGGACATAGTCGCGCGGCTTCGAGGCCAGCGGGATTACTATGCGGTTCTTGGGCTTCGGTTTCCTGTCGCGCAGCCTCGCCTCCGTCCGTATCGGTGGCGGTCCGAGCTCCATGTCGAGATCATGGAGGCGTTGCCGGGACGAGGCGCGGGTCGCGATCTAGCGTTGATGTCGCGACGTCTCCGGGCCAGCACCGCGCCAAGGCTCTCAGCAGCTCATGGCATCAACAACGGCGCCGCGTTCGACGGTGGGCATGCATTCGAGTTGCTCAAGTCGCGTCGCAGAAAATCGCGGGGGCACTGGCACAGAGGATGAAGTCGTCGAGGGGCCCGAGGGGGGCTGGTCCTCTTCGTTTAAGCTCAGCGCCAGATATTAGGTAAGCTATTAACAAATTAGCTCAGCGGCAAGGCTCTAAGTAGTAGCTATAATATAAGCGTCTATCTATATAAAGAGCTATATTATTAATTAAATTATTTTTATAATAATACTTTAATAAAATAAATATTTTATATTTAATTAAGAAATCTAGCTATATAGAGAGGATAAAAGTTATTTAGTATTTATTTAGCATTAGAGGTAGAAATTCGAGGCCTAATAGAGTGGCCGAAATATTGCGTGAAAAAACAGGGCGGTCTGGTCCTTCGGCTGGCGGTGATGCCTGGGGCCGCAAGCCACCAGCCGGGCTCCAGCGGATTCGTGCCTGGCGCGCTGCAGCTCGCTCACCGGGCGCGCACTGCCGCTGCGGCTGTCCAGCGCTAGCGGGGACTCGTCTCCCCCCACAGGCGGCGTCGTTCTTCTTCCCCGGGCGGACGGGCGGGCGGGTCACAAGAGCAGGGAAGCCCAGCCAGCGCAGCCAACCAACCCGGACCTTGGCCTTGACAATCCTTTTGCACGCCCAAGCTTCCCGCAAAACCTCCCCGTCAAACCTCCATCCACAACCGGCCCTGAACCTGCAACCCGCAACCCGCGCGACCTCGACGCACGACGCTCGACGAACAGCGCAGCAGCGAATCCGACCCGCGGCCGGTCCGTAGACGCGCCCATTCAATTGATCCCCGTCGCACCGGAACAAGCGACAAGACGGAAGCTTCGTCCGCCATGTCCGTGTCGCTCAAGGCCATGGCCTCGCGCTGGCCCAGCTCCGCCCACGGCTTCGCCCGCTGCTGCCCCAAAGCCGCTCCCGCCTCGACGACGAAGACGACGACGACCACGAAAACCGCTTCCTTCTCGACCGCCGCGCGGCCTGTCTGCCTCGCGCAGGCGTCGCTGAGGCCCCAGCAACATGCCGTCGTGGTGCGCTCCGCACAGGGCTTACCCATTGCGTGCAGCGGCCGGATGGCCACGCCCGCCCGCCGCCCGTCCAGCATCGTCTCGTCCGCCGCCCGATCCTTCTCGTCCTCCTCCCCCGCGCAAGCAGCGGCCGCCTCTGCATCCTCCTCCTCCGCCGCGTCTTCCTCCTCCGCGACGCCGTCCAAGCTCGACTGGAACTCCTTCTTCAAGCTGCGCCTCAAGCGCCGCCGCATCCAGCTCGTCTTCTCCGTCGGCACGGGCCTGCTCGGCGGGGCGGCGGGCGCCATCCTCCTATCCACGGGCATGGCCGAGCCGCTCGTCATGCAGATCCCCCTCGACCCCTTCGTCACGCTCGGCCTCATGACGCTCGCCTGCGCCGGCATGGGCTGGCTCGTCGGCCCCAGCATCGGCAACCAGGTGTTTTACCTGCTCAACCACCGCTACAAGGCCCAGATGATCCAGAAGGAGGTTGAGTTTTTCGCCCGCGTCAAGAAGAACCGGGTCGATCCCTCCAACTCGAGCGCCGGCAACCCAGGTACTACGCCCTCCATCGAGCCTCGCCGGTTTTGGATCCGGATTGTTGCTGACCCTTTGCAGTGCCCGACTTTTACGGCGAGAAAATCCAGAGCGTGTCCGGATATAGGCAGTGGCTGAAGGACCAGCGGGCGTTTAACAAGAAGAAGACGGCCAACTTTGTGTAGAAAAACAATGGAAGGCCATGTACGGAATGGTTGGTAGTTGAATCGAATGGTGGAAAGCGAAGCTCCCCACGGGCACGACGCCCACACTCTCATTGTAGCATATAGGATCCCCAGAATCATGTACAACGGCCAACTCCCCTTGTCGAGACGACTCGAATTTCATTCTTCATTTCCAAAATTTTTCCATTTCTTTTTGATGCACGTGGCTTTCATGGCAACTGCTATACGAACGGCATCGTGCTGTCAAAGGCATCCTTCCACGCCTTGAGCCCTCCCGCAATGTCCCCGATGAACGTCTCGCCCTCCTTATCCTTTTCCAGACCGTGCTGATCCTTGAACTTGCGCGCCGCAATCTGCGAGTCGTTGCCCACGCGGCACACAAAGTATACGGGCACACCCTCGCGCGCCACGTCGTCAAGCTCCGGCATGGGCTCCCCACGGTTGAAGCGGCTGATGGGCACGTTGACGGCGCCGGGGATGCTGCCGAGGCTGAACTGCTCCGCGGGCCGAACGTCGACGAGGAGATGCTGCCGCTGTTGGGTGTGCTGGTCCTGGTGTTGATGCTGCTGCTGCTGTTGCGCGGCGCGTATCTGGCGGTATTCATCCACCGAGACGCGCTCGTGAGGCGCGAGCAGCGACACGGGCTGCGCCACGCCGCAGAACTGCACGTAATCGGCTGACGTTTCGAGGAACTCAAGGCTCAACCCGGGCTTGTCCGAGCAGGCAAAGCAGTCGGCCCGCCGGCCTTTCATGCGTACAGACCGAAATGACGGCCCATCGCCGCCCATGGCACTGAAGATGAGCAGCCTATGCTCCGCAGGTTTGTCAGGCCGCTGCTTCGCCTCTGCCGCCTTGACTCCTCCCACAGCCGCAGCAGCAGCAGCGGAGTGCTCCTCCTCCTCCACCTCCTCCTCGAGCCCGCCAGCGCAAATGATCCGAATCGCCTCCAGGGCCTGCAGTACGCCCATGACGCCCACCACGGGCCCCACGATGCCGCCCTCGCCGCAGCCCACGACGCTCTCGGGCGGGGGCGGGCGCGGGAACACGCAGCGGTAGCAGGGCCCGCGGCCGGGCGGGCTGTTGAGGGCGACGAGCTGGCCCGACGTCTGGAAGGCCGACGCGGAGACGAGCGGGCGGCGGAGCAGCACGCACGCGTCCGACACGAGGTACCGCGACGTCGGGTGGTCGGTGCAGTCGAGCACGAGGTCGTACTGCGAGACGATGGACCGGGCATTGCGCGGCGTGAGGGCCTCCTCGTGGCTGCGGTATGTGATGGTTGGGTTGAGCCTGTTGCGCGTCGCGCGCGCTGTGTTAGCTGAGAGTGTCCCTTCATCTGTGCCTTGTCATAGGAATAGGGAGGGAGGAGCAGGAGAGAGACGGAGAGGCTCACTCGCGCAGGTAGGTAATGGCGCTCAGCACCTTGCTCATGCCAACACGCGACGTAGCATGCGCGACTTGACGATGCAGGTTCGACACCTCAACCACATCCGCATCAACAAGGCCCAACGTGCCGACGCCCGCCCCCGCAAGGTACGCCGCGGCGGGACACCCCAAGCCGCCCGCGCCCACGATCAGGATCCTGCTCTTCTTGAGTCTAAGCTGTGCTGTTGCGTGCAATCTCACCTGTCAGCGTCATCTCATCTCCGTGATGGGCAGTCCCCGTAACAACAACGTTGTCGAGATAGAGCCCATGAGAATGTAACTGAGAGGAGCGCACCTTGCAAGCCAAAGCCCGGCACAATCATCTGCCTTCCATACCGCTCATAGTCATGCTCCTCAAGCGGCCATCGCCAGGCCGTCTCGCCGCCGCCGTCGTCGTCTCGCTCGTGCTGCTGCTTCTGGGCCCTCTCCTCGGATTCCGCCACGGCGAGCCGCGACTTGAGCTCCGCGAGCTCCGTCTCGCGCCTGGCAATCTCCCTGCGCAGGTGGTCGATCTTGTGCATGTTGCCGCACATGTCCGTCTCGGCGGCTTCGCAAGGCGGTGGTGGTTCAGCCATGCCGGAGGGACACAGACAACCTGCAAGATATGAGAAGACAAGAATAAAAAGAAAGAAAGAGAGCGGGAGGAGAGGAGGAGGAAGAGGAAGATGAAAAGTGTGTTAGAGTGTAGTGCTGCTGCTGCTCGAATGGATGTGACCTGAGGTTTGGCCCTTTGCCCCTCCACAACCAGCCGGTCGGTAGGCGCCGTGCCCCACCAGGCACCTACGTGCACTGACATCCCGTGGATCGATGGAGCCGCTCACCGAGGTGAGCCCCTCCCTCACCGTGAAACTTTCGACGACAGCCATCAAGCCAAGCCATTTTCGCACCCGACCGCAAAAGGTACACCAACAACCGCATCACCAGGCCCACGACCAGCAGCTTCCCTACCTACAAGTCCCTTCAATCGCCAGCAATCGACTTCATTGTACTGTGCCATTAGCGACTCTGAGCACACATTGCGCCGCATCGCGTCGCGGAGCCTCCCGCCATCATGGTACGTTCTCCTCCCCGTCCCATCCCATCACGACCACCACGGAAACTGACCAGTATTCCCATCACCAGGCCCCCCGACCGCCCAGCTCCTCCGCCCCCAAGCCCTCCGCCCGCGCCCTCCGCCAGGCCCGCGTCGACGGCACCATCCACCCCCTCCTCCCCTCCAAGCTCTTCCGCCCCGACGCCGCCGTCTCCGACTCCTTCCTCTCCACCAAGCGCGACCGCCGCACCATCCGCCGCTCCGTGTTCGTCTCCCGCGTCGCCGACTCCTCCTCCTCTGCCCGCGCCTCCTCTGGCGGCACCACAACCTCCTCAGGCCGCATCTCGCGCCGCAAGAGCCAAAAGAGCCGCGAGGCCAAGAACCGCCTCGGCAACCTCTCCGCCCTGGCCAGCGCCCTCGACGACCTCGAAGGCGAGGGCTACGGCGGCGGCGCGTCAGGTGACGATGCGGACGGCGGTAGGGACGCGGGCGAGGCCGCCAAGGCGGGGCGCATTCGTCACCGCAGCATGAAGATGACCAAGGGCGCGCTCAAGCGCAAGGAGAGGATCGTGCGCGGCGAGATGCAGCGCTTTGGCGTCAGCATGGCCAAGCTTGCAGAGACGGGCGCCGGCGCTGCCGCTTCGACGTCGGCGGCTACCCCGTCAGCTGGCCTGTCTGGCGTCAAGGAGGCCGGCAAATCGAGGGCCAAGGCTGGCGACGTCGCCATGACAGAGGGCGCGAAGGAACAGCCGCAACAACCCACAGAGACGGGCAACAGGTGGGCGGCCTTGCGAGGCTACATCTCCTCCACCATGGAGCAGAACCCCGCGTTCAAGAAGTAGGCATGCTAGATGTTGATTTGATACCCGAGGAAGAGGATGGACACTACGTGGATTTACTGGGCCATGGCACGACGAGGCTGTTCCCATGGCCTCACTGGCTTGCATCTACATACTAGGAGTCGGCGGCGTTTGGTACGGAAAAGAGATCTGCTCTGTAATTCACATTCACATAGCTACTTGGTGCATCGTGATCAATCGATCGTATTATCGTTCTTCACGAAGCTGTGCTGAATCTTGGCTCATCATGCGTATCATCATCGTCCCAACGCCGTGCTCTCGCGCGCGCCGCAACACTAATGCATCAGGCCGTTCAAGGCACCGAGACCTCTCCCAGCCTATCTCCAACCCACCCCGACTCTCACCGATGCCGCCAGCGCCTCTCCACTGATTTCGCTTCATGCCCACATGTAGTACGACGAACGCCTCGCACCAGCAAGCGCACAAAAGCAAAACGACAAACGCAAAACGTGACAAAAGCCGGTAAAGCACCGTGCAAGGGAGTAGGAAAGAACTTGAATCCACCACGTATCGGGCTCGTGCCCAGTTCTCGTTCGTAGGGTAAGCCGTCGTAGCGGAACTCATCGCATGCCATCGGCCATGTTGGCCTCAGCCGAGTACTAGACGAAAGCTCAGAGCTGGCGGCCTAGTAAGTCGAACGCCTCGCGCGCTTCTGGACCTGACCGTCCAGGTCATCCGAGTCCGCGGAGCGCTTAGCGGAAGGCTTGCCGGGCGAAGAAGCCGGGCCTTGGTCGCAAAGCGGCTGCTGAGTCGCAGAGCCTGAAGCCTTGGCGGTTGTAGCAGTCTTGGCCGTCACCTTGCCGTTGGCCCTGGTGGCGCCCTTTCGCTGGGCGGTAGCCTTTGCGGGAGCCTTTCCGTGGGCCTGATCGGCTGCGGTCTCGTTGGCTGCTTCCTGTTCTGCCTCAGCCGTCTGAGCAGAAGCTGCGGCCTTTTTGGTGATAGTCTTCTTTGCAACCGTCTGCTTGGTGGCCGCCGGCCTTGCCTCGGTTGTCTTGGTAGCAGCTGTGGGTTTCTTGGTGGTCGCTTTCTTAGCGACAGTCTTCTTGGGAGCAGCCTGCTTGGCCGTGGTCGGCTTGGTCTCAGCATCCTGAGCAGTAGTCGTGGACTTCTTAGCCACCGTTTTCTTAGGAGCAGCCTTCTCGACTGGAGCCTTCTTGGCGGTTCTGGCCCTGGTGGCTCGTGGCGACACCCCTGGCGTGGACAGCCTAGACGACTGTCTGGTCGATGATCGAGTCGTGACGCATCTACCCGCGAGCCAAGCCATGAGACGCGCCTCGCGCGCCTCCTCTCGAACCCTGTGCCAGGTGGCGCGGTCAATGCGGCCGATGCTCCAGTAGCCCTCAGTACCGTTGTCACTATGGAGCCTCACCATGCCCATTCGATTGCGCCTCGACTGGTTCAAGAGGTCGAACTTGATCCACTTGCGCTTGGTCGGGGAGATGCGCTTCTTCAGTTGGGCCTGCTCGAGCTTGGACTTGCGCTTCTGCATCTTCTCCTCCCGGCGCTCGTTCTTAATGTTCTTCAACAACTGGTCGAAATTGGTGACTGGACCATACTCGATCGCTTTCTATTCGATCCGAGGTGGCGTCTTGTTGTTGGTAAAGGGGCTCGCGCTGCGGCTGGACGTGGTTAGAATCAGAAGCCTGCCAGAATGCCGGAGACCAGGCCGGGGAAGCTTACGATCGCCGGCGCTCGCCTTCCTTGCGAAGGTTTTCAATGATTCGCAGCATCTCCTTGCGACCGCCGCTGCTATCGACCATCTTGCCGGACATGCTCATGGAAACCTTTTCGCGGGCGTTGGCGCTGAGAAGGCGCTTAACCAGCAGGTGGCGCATGAGGAGGCAGACGAAGACGCCGCAGTCGCTGCCGTTCTCCTGCTGGGGGGTGTCGTCGAGGTTGATGAAGCGGAAGCGACGGTTCATGATCTCGCCAAACTTGCGAGTGGCGAGATGAGCCTCCTGCACGTTCACACCACCCATCGAGTCGTAGTGGAAGGCGAGGCCGTCGAGGACGGAGATGAGCAGAAGCGACCAGTGGCTGCCGCCCTCTGGAAGGCTCGGGTTGGTGTTGTCATTGATGGGCATGAAGACGTGCGTGACCTTGTTGAAGTCGGGCAGCGCCGCCTTGACCGACTTGGTATCGTGCTCCTTCATAAGGAGAAAGGACATGCTAGGCCGGAGCAGGACAATGTGTGCCTGGGGGTAGCGAGAAAGGGTCTCGCGCTCGAGGTACTCCTCCCAAAAGGCGATGTTGTTGTCGGTGAGCCAGTCGTTTTTGAGCATCTTAACATCTTCAACGGTCAGGCACACGTCGTAGTAACTAAGGTACTGCTTCTCCGGGGACAGCTGTCGGAGAATCGCAAATGTTAGCCGATCCATGGCAGAACGCATTGATTTGGGACGAGACAGGGGAGCCACTGGCGCCAGGGGGATGAATATATGCGCAAGCGCGCGGGTTTTGCGAGCGCGTGCGAGGCAGGCCTGGCCAAAAGCTCGGGCCGGGAATGGGGTCCGGCGCGGCATAGAAGAAATAAAACGGGTGCAAGGCGGGTCAACCTACCGATTCGCCAAAATGGCGCGCCATGCGCTGTCTGAAGGGCATTTTCCCGGTGCTTTCGCTAGCTGCGTCGGCGTCGGAAGTGGTGGCGGTGGTAGTTGTCGTGGTGGCCGAATCGAGGCCGCCGGCTGAGTGGTGGTGATCGAGAGCACCAGCCGCTTCGTAGTCGTGAGCTTGGGCTCTGGTGGGGTTTTCGGTGGCCGAGGACGGCGCCGGGCCAGCAGCAGGAAAGATGAGCGAGTCGTCCGAGCCCGAGCTGGAGGGCGAGCCTGAGCCTGAGCCTGAGCCTGAGCTTTCGGGACGGCGCCTTTTACGGATGAAGGACAGACCGTGAAAGCGGTGGCTGCCGTCGTCGTCGGTACTGCGAGGCAGAGCGTGAGAAAAAGCGACGGGCAAAACTGAGAGGTGCCGGGGGGGCAGGGACCCTTCTCTGGGCCAGGCGGTGCAGAAAAGCGGGGTGGGAATCTGGAACTGGGTCTTGAGGCGTACGTAAACTCTGTGCGTGCTTTGGCAGCGTTGGCTTTTGCTTGGCCTTTTTGCTTGGGAGGTCCCCGTTCCACTTGGGGGCGCGCGCGTGGACGACGCCGGATGTGGGGAGGGGCTTGTTGGCTTGACAGAAGCGAGGCGCGAGGAGGAAGAGGGGCCCGCGCCGAGCAGCCGCAGCCGAGTGGTGACGATGATGATGCTTCTGACGATGCCGCGTCGCTGGGAGCTTTGCTAGCCGCGATCGCTGCTGCCGGAAGTAACGCTACCGTCGTAGGTAGGGTAGGGAAGTGATGTTCGCAAAAAGAACGTTGTGTACGAGCAGATGAAAAGGCAAAGATGCCGTTGCGAGCGTGAGGATGCAAAGAGGTTGCGTGGGGGAGCGACGATGCGGATGGATGAAGGATGCCTGTGTGCGGGGGATGAAAGGTGCAAGAAAACGTGTGCGGGCTGAGATGAAGAGTCGGGCGGGAAGGGCGGAGGCAGCTGGTGTTGAAGGGCGGCGGGCGGGCAGGCGGGCGGGCACAATGACGGTTGACACGATGGGCGATTGTGAGGGCGCGCGCCACAATAGACAATAGCGAGCGGCTCACTGAGAATGGCCTGGCCCAACGAATTCATCCCCGCCGTTTGGAGAGTTCCAGTGACAGCCTGCTGAGGCGCCTCAAGCTGCCCCGTTGAAGCTGCTCAGGCGACGTAAAAGACCCCTTCCCTCGCCTGAAGCGGCCATCGCTGGCTCGAGCTGGATGCCACTGGGCACTCGCACTGCACACTCTCGTCACAAGCCAGCGCCAGCATTCCAGCCCAGCAGGCAGGGCCTCCAGCGGCTCCCCGTTTGAGGCGGGCAGGGATTGGGCCCCGCCCCGCAGCACCTTGGCCACCGGCCTGTCGTGGGTGGCGTCCCGCGATGACGCTGCCCGCGCTGCTCAGCCCCCCGCGCGGTGCCTGCTGACAATGACAATCGGGGCCCTTGCCCCCAGGCTCCAGGGCAGGCCCCAGGGCATCCCAGGACCCTGCGGCAGCAGCCGAGAGCCTCGCTCCACGACTGGGGCATGAACCACGTCACCACTTGGTCAAGGAGACGGGGTTAAGGGCACACTCGACTGCCAAAATTCAAGAGAATGAGGTAAAGGCACCATAGGACTTAATTCTTGATACACATAGACAAGAGGGAAGAGGGCCATGCGGTGTATGCAACCCCTCGTAGCACGTACCTCGGCACCCCTAGGAAACGGCCCATGGTGGTGAAGTTCTGCGGAGAGGGTGGTGAGGTGGTCGCTGGCACGGAATCGTCGGCAATGATGCTGCTGCTGCTGCACGGGTCACCTGCCGCCCATCAGGCGCGCGGATGTCCGGAACGGAATGTATGGAATGTAGCCGTCGACGTAGGGCTCTTGTGTACGTGCTCTGTCTGCGGCGAGTCGAAGAGCGCAATGTGCGAGTATACGCACAGTTCACGATGCGGTTCATGAGCTTCCCGTATGTTCGATCGGTCGTTCGTTCGATTCAGGTCATCCATCAACGTCACCTTCCAACCGCAGCCGCAGCGCGCCCGCCGTGATATTTATTCCCAGATTGAACTGGCTGGCTTGCTACGTGCTACCCTCAAACAAGAAAAATCAAGATTCCATCGCCCGCCCCGATCACAATGACAGCATGGGTGCTGGCCCTGCATGCGCGCACGCAAATGGGCAAGATTGGCTGGCTGGCTGCCTGCTACTGCTCTGGAGGGGTGGCGCGAGCATCACGATCTGCCTCAAGTCTGGCGGGCAGTCTGGGATGGCTGCTGCTCGCTCGCTCGCCCAATCGCCGCAAGCACCGCGAAACCAGCGACTGATGAACCAGCAGTCTGTACTCGTTCGGCCCATGGCTGGGGCGAGTTCCAGCGACGACGGCCAGCCCACTACGTACCTAGTCAGCCAGTCATTCGGCAGCGCCCCGTTCCGATCGGGTCTCGCTCTGGTGGTTTGATCAACCGCCGCCTTGTACGTTTTACGGCTTCCAAGGGCCAAGCCACAGACGGGAGGCACGTCACCGGCCGCAGTACATAACCGTTATGGACGGGAGCCCCCTCTCCTCGATGCCAGCAGCAACGTCCAGTCCCTAGCGTCACAATTACAGACTCGCTCGCATTAGGTACTATTCATTCCTAGGTACAGTACTGTACAGCCTTTTCGTACGTCATGTGATAAGGGTAACCGTCAAGTCGCTGCCTCGCACGCCCGTCCGCTGCCCGAAGCAGCAGCACCTCCTGTCTCTTATACACATCTAGATGTGTATAAGAGACAGCATTAAGGGTAGGTGAGTACATCATACGACTGTTGGTACACGCTTCGCTCTTGCGCCTCGATCCCGTCACTTTGCCTTCTCCGCCGCGGTCCTCTGGCGCGCCATGTCGGCCGGCCTGCGCACGACGCCCTCGTGTTCGCCCCGTCCGTTGGCGCTGCCGTTGGCGTTGCCGCCGTTCTTGCCGCCGTTGCCTTTGCCGTCGTGCCGTTCGCCCTCGCCCTCACCGGTGCCGCCGTCTTCGTCGTCGCTGCGGTCGTCCTCCACCGCCCTGCCCTTGAGCGCCCGCACCGCCACCCGCACGATGAGCACGAACCACATCATCAGCAGCACCTGCAGGAACAGCAGGCAGTAGAGGAAGGCGAACCGCACGCCGTCGTACCAGCAGACGATGCCCTCGGCCCGGTAGAAGGGCTCCACCAGGTGGGACCAGTCGTCCGGTACGGCCAGCGGACCACGCAGCCCGTCCATGCCGCCCGCGTAGCAAGCCGGCGGTATGCCGCGCGGCATGTCTGCGTAGATGCTCCAGCAGATGCGCATGAAGATGACGTGCCGCGCCACGAACCACCAGAGCATGAAGACGACAAACGTCACGTCGCACGCCGTGCGGCGCTCCAGGTACTTGAGGCACTTGGCGAGCTGCCCGCGCGCCGCCGTTTCCCATCACGTCAGCGGGCTCTCTTGGACTCGACTTATTAGGGGGCAAAAGGTAGACGACTCACCGGCAGGAACAACTCGACCGTGTCCATGAGCACCATGATGAGGTTGCCCACCTTGGTCTGATGGTACGCGTACGACCCGCCCACGAGCATGACGGTGACGACGTGATGCCATACCATCTGCCAGTGGTCCGATCGCCGCTTCTCGATGTTGACGACGACAATCTGCTGGATCCAAAACGCCAGCTGCGCGAGGAAGTAGGCCTTCATCGGCCCGCCCAGCTCGCGGTCCGGCCAGTCGGTCCAGAGCGCCGTCATGCTCATGTAGTAGGGCGACGCGCGGTAGAGCCACTGCGGCGGTGGCCGGTCAGCGAGGATACGGTGACATGGCCGTCAATTGGGCAAAGGAGAGCGAGACGTACAAACCCAACCGGCCCAGAGACGCCGCAGAAGATGACGAGCCAGGCCTGCTCCGCGAAGCGGGTGACCACCTTGCTCTTGGAGATGCCCCATCGCCTGCCCAGCGGCTCGAGCAGGTAGTCAATGGCGCCGGCGCGGAGCCCCGTCAGGAGGACGACGCAGAAGGCGACGAAGCACAGGTCCCCGGTGGACGTGGCATACTTGCCGGTGCTCGGGTTGTGTCCAGACAGCGAGAAGAACTGGGACGTGTACGGCCTGGATCTGGGCAGGCAGACGTGAGATAAGCACAGCAGCGACAACAAGTTGAAGGCGATGCCTGCGTGCCGACAGTCAGCGGTGTGTTGGGGACTCGGCCAAAGGTCCTTCTTACGGGTCTGGTTCTCCAGAAACCAGGTCGCGAGGCCCTCGGGCTTCATGGCGGCGCCGCTACTGAATCTGCGCGCACGGCCCTTTGCGACCAGGACGCGGGCCGCCTCGGCCAGGGGCTGCGAGACGATGCCCGTGAACTCGTCCATGGTGGTGCGCTGTCTGGCCGTCTGTCGCTCTGCGAGTCGAGGCCCGTGTCCGAGTCGAATGTCCGACGGATTGAAGGGGGAGGGAATGGAGAGTCCCGGGTTAAAAAGGGAAAGCAGAGAGTCGAGCCCGGGCAGCTCACTCGCAAAAGGATATTTGTCGACGGCGCCGAGTTCCAGGTTGTGTGCGCAGGATTGTTGCGTGCGTGCTGTGCGCGAGGCTTGCAGCAGCGCTGCTGCAGTGCTGCGGTGCGCTGATGCTGCGGCCGCTACTACCTTAACCTGGGCTGCCCAAGCGGCTCGTCCGTCCGGGTACTGTATGTACCTTCTGTAGCAGCGCCAACAAAAAGCAATGCAATGCAGCTCGGGCGCGCGCGAGACGACGGGACACGATTCGATGCAGCGCAGAATAAAAAGAGGGCACGCACGCCTGACGCAAGAAACGCGGTGAGTCCCCCAGCCCAGGTCGCATGAATCGAAATTGAGAGATGGGGCAACACGGAGGAGCGTCGCCTAATGGGGACGGACGGGTGTTTGTCGGCTCGCCGGCAGTGAATCCAGGGGCTGATGTGCAGTTCGTTTGCCCCGGCACCGTGTGTGTGTGTGTGGGTGTGGTGCCGTGCGGTGTCGCTGCCGCTGTCGGTGTGTGTCCCTGGGTGGTGGTGGTGCGTTGTGGTGGTGATACTTTCGGGGGCTTGCACTGCCTGTCGGGGTGGAACCCCTCCGGGAGGGCTACCGTACGACGATTGCCAGTACTAGGTAAGGTACGAGTACGAGGGCCCCGTGGCCATGTATCCGTATCCGTACCTCAACCGGCTGGGTAGCCTTGCGCAGACGGGACGAAGCGGGAGACGTAGGTTGGCTTCTGCAGCGAAACGAGGACAGGCGGTGATGGCGGGTAAAGGTGTCTTGTCTTGTCTTGTCTCGCAACGCCGTGCGTTTTCTTTAGGGCTGTTGCGCGCGGGCGGAATTGAGGAGGAGTAGCATCTCGCAGGGTTTCCAAGAGGGACTGGATGAGTTGCAGATGAGTGGAGGCCAAGGTACGGCGATGCGCTCTTTAAGTAAAGTAGATGCCAGATGCATCTGCGATACTGCAGAGCATCCAGCGGCGGCCGGGATAAATCACAGAATGCCACGGCGCAACGGCAGGCGCCCCAGGGCCGAGTCGCACAGGACCTGCAGCTTGCTTGCTCCATGTCGAGCATCGACTCCCTCCCTGCCTGAAGAGTCCCCTCTGGAGGGGGAATCGATGCGAGGCGGCAGCTTCCTCACCCCCAGTTTCTTTGTTGTCGCCAGACGCGCCCAGGCTAGCAATTTGCAGTTGATGGGGCCGTGGTGCGGCTCGTTCTCCAGTCACTGCCCGGAGCCATTAACACGGATTGCCACTGCATGAGCGTCTACCATCATCCCGCCCCGTTCTTCGGCACTACACCTACGCATCTACTATCATGCTTTACCGCCATAGCTGGCTGAACAGAGATGTGCTTTCTTATTGAGAAAAATTTCCCGCCCAGTCCAAACCGGCAGCACCAAACCTTTCGTCAAGTGGACGAGCTACACCTTGCCCTGAGCTGTGGGCGGCTGCCGATGGGCCAACTCACTGACAGCCGATCACCAACTTGGTGTCGCGGCCGCAAAGTCACGCCCCAGAGCTATACGAAACCAATTCTCCCCGCGTCGCAGCAAACCAGCCTGTTCAAACAGTTTGCAGTCCATTGCAGCGACACGGCAAGCAGACACTGCCATTGTGTTTGCTGTGGGTTCCTTTTGCAGCGGCCAGCACGTACCCGACCCTTGAGTTCTGCCATCCCGCCCTGCATCTGCGACTGCGCACTCCCCTACTCTCAACATTTCTCACAATGCGCTCAGTAGAGGAGTTGAGGACGCCCCCATGCACTTACAAGGCGAAATTGACGGCGGCAGCTCGGTGTGGCATCCAGGTCGGTCAGCTAAGATTGACTCTCGTCGCGAACCTCGCATGGAAGGAAGGCCTCGGACCGTACACTAAGAAAGACGGCCTCTAGGGACGCGACAGATGCAGGCACGGGGTCCCGCGCCGCCCACGCAAGCAACAGTGCCGCCGCGCGGGTGGGAGCCCGCGGCCGACGACTTTGCAGAGCGTGAGGCTAGCTAGATAGATCAACAATTCAATATCATCGTGACGGCCTCAACCGAGCCCGGCCAATGGCGCCCCGAAGCCGGCCTGTGAGCCTAGGCAGTTTCCAGCCGACTGCCTGCCTCCTGAAGGGCAATTCGACTCCCGCGAGCAACTGCGCGCATCAATCAACGCGTGGGCCGCGCCACGAGGCTGTGCCTTCACAACAGTGACAACAGAGACATCGAGGAAACGCACAGTCACATATGCCTGTGACCGTGCAGGCAGGCCCGGGGCACATACAAGCAAAGGCAGCAAGGTTGTTCCCCGGCGGCGCCGGCAGAGGAGCTCACGAGCGGTGGGATGCCAGTTCTCCATCAACGCGAAAGAAAGCCTCGACAAGATGCGCTGGTATATCGAGCATCGCCCGGGCAGTCAATATGCAGTGCATAACCACGAGCCGAGTCATCATATAGCAGCACATCCAACCCATTATGCCCTATCCTCAACGGACGAGACTACAATTGGGAAGCTGGCCAACGCAGGGGTGGCGCCAATGGATATCCGCACCTGTCTACGCCAGAACTCTACAGACACACTATCTTGGGAGAAGGCAGCACATCCCCTCACAGGGAATCAATTACAGCGGCAGGCATGAACGCAAGGTCGCACAATGCAATACAAGTACATGTTAGCATGTTTTGCCTAAGATGATGCTTCCAGGCACTTGTGCCGCCATCGCTTGACATCAGGTTTACATCAACTCGCCTGCCATCCACGTTACGTCATGACGCAGGCGTGCCATTCCAACCGCCTTTCTCCCCCTCCGATGCCACCATCACCATTAGAAACGTCCTAAACACGTCCCTCACAACACCTCCTTTGCAGTGACGACATCCTGGACCTGCGATCCAATCTTCCGCCGCGTCGCCCGCCCCTCATGAGCAGCTCAAGCTGGGAGCTCCAGCCCCCATACCAAACCGGCGACTCTTCACGCTCCGCAGCCAAACTCCGCGGTGCCTGCCACTGCGGCCGCGTCGTCTACCGCCTCACCCGCGACTCACCCCTCGACTCAAAGTACTGCCATTGCCACGACTGCCAGGTCCTCCACGGCGCGCCCTTCCAGTGGGCCGCCATCTTCCACAAGGCCGACGTCGCCTTTGACAAGGGCGCCGCCGGCCTGCGCTTCTACAACTCACCCTCCAAATGCGCACAGCACGTCCTGCCCTGCAAGGTCGCATGCGACCACTGCGGGAGCCTCATCATGGATGAGGGGCGCAACATGGTGTTGCTCTTCCCCACCCTGCTGCGCTTCGAGACGGAGGAGCAGCGTCGCAAGTTCGACGTCCAGTGAGTCGGCGCCGCTGTGCAAGGAAAGTCATCAGGTCAGAAGAATGGCAGCTGACTCGATAGCAGGTGCCACATCTTCTACCCGCAGCGTGTCGTTGACATTCCTGATGGAAAGCCTAAGTGGGCAGGTCTAGATCACAAGTCTGGGCTGTTAAAAGACGACTAGAAGATTCCCAGACGGCGCCTCCCCGTATCGATCATATGCACCAACCAACGGACTCGGTGGCACGATGAGGTAAACTTGGCTATCGGGTAGATCTATTTCATCCATGTAAGCTCATATAACTTGATAAGTAGTTAACCGTCGGTATAAGATAGGTTGTAAACAGTCCTGCATCACCGCGAAACCCACTCAAGGCGCCACAGCTGCGTCAGAATCATCTTGGCCCAAGTTCCCCAGCTTTGACGTCGCATGATCAATTTGCTTCTTCCTCTTGGCAACCGTTTCCTCTAGGTCTCGCATTGTCCTTTCTCGCGCCTGTCTCTTGCCCTTGATCAAGGTCTTGGCGTCTCCAATCAAGCTGCGAAACAGGCCAAAGTCCTCTTCGGCGCGCGAGAATGCAGCGTCGCGTTCTCGTGATTGCCGGCTCTCAATTCTGTCAACGCAATTCAGGATCTTTTCTTGATATGTCTTTGCAACATCAAAACCCTCGACTTCCTTTGAGCTTATGGTATCCATCATCATCTATATTGACAGTCAGCGAGACTATTGAGAGGTGTGAAAAGGCAGAACTTACATCGACGACCGAATGCAGCTCCTGAGCGACCTGATCCTTCGCCGTGACAGGAGCCGGCTTTGGCGCCGGCTCTATACTCCCATCCATCGCCTCGCTCTCGTCTGTTCCTGTGTCGCTGCCCTCTTGTTCGCTGGGCGTTTTCAGGTCCCGCAAGCTGGCAAGAATCTGCGCCTGCACCTCTTCCGAGATGCGTGTCCGAGACGTGTCATCTGGGGCGGTTTGTAGTTGCGGTGCTACCCCCCGTTGCACAACGGGTTCAGCGAGCTCCTCGGTGTCAATATTTGGCTTTTCATCGTCAAAATCCTGGCCTAAATCGACTTTGCGCAGGCGTGCACTGCGACGAGCAAAGGAGAGCCTGGGCACAGAAAGATCGAACCGATCTGATCGTTGTAGAGTCCGACGATGCTGGAGAACCTCATCGGCCAGTGAGGTCTGGGTGCCGTGTATGCTTGATATCGACCCCTGTGACGGTTCAAGCGGAGCTGGGATAGGACTTCCATGTACGCTCACACTGAAAGTGCGCGTCGGGGCTTTGCATTCATGCTTTCTGTGGTGGACCTGCGAGTTCGCCTTGCCCCGAGTGAGATGACCTGAGTCCGTTCTGCTGGTTTGCGCCTCTTGCTGGGATTCCTGCTTTGTGCTGCTAAAGTTGGTGTTGCCACCTCGAGCGTTCAATGCCGGGGGTTTGGCGGGTTGCGAGCTGCCAGTCAGATTCGGCTGTGGTTGATCGACTTTCACTGTCCCGCCGCTCTGCTGCACACGGGGTCGCTTGGTCGAATTCGATGGCGCCCGGGATTCCTTCACGACCGCAACCGTTGCACTGGCAATCGACTTGGCCAACGGTTTCTTAGCGACCGGTTCTTCTCGGAAGTCATCCGCTGGATGTGCACGAGGGCTGTGAGGCGGCGAGGATGGAGCATAAGACTCGTCGGAGTCAGGTTCACTTGATAGAACCACAGGATCGTTTGCGATAGCTGGCGGGTGGGGTTCAGCTTTCCTTAATATGCCATGGCCACTTGACTGGGATGCTATAGGCATCTCCTGATTTGTAGGCGCTGAACTCGCACCCGTTGAGACTTCCACCGTGGAAGCCGCTTGTACCTTCTTGCGAGTAGCCCTGGCGCGCTTTTTGGGCTGCGAACTACTCGTAGGCGGCTCTTGTCGCTTCCTGGCCTGTGTGGCTGGAGAGCTTGACAGTTGCACGGACTCGCGTAGCGCGTTGACAATGGGCATGCGAGCCTTGGATTTCATTGCCGCAGAATGAGGAGGCCCCTTGAAGTCGTGGCTCGCTGCGTCGAATTCTAGCGGTGGCTTGGCCCGCTGCTTGCGCTTGTTGCTGTATCTCTTCGAGGCTGCGCCTTGTACCGAGCCCGATGAAGGGATGACAGCCGAGGAACCCGGTACTTCTGTTATAGGAACACTCTTCTTACCCTTTTCAAGGCGTTTGGCAGCTTTGTTCGCGATGTTTCGGGTGATGATAAGGCCGCTGTCATGGTTTTCCGTCGAGGGCGCCGCCTCATCGGAGAGATGCTTGTCATCCTGGCCAGCAGGGTCGTTGGCTACCGAGCTTGATTCCCCTGGGAGCTGAGGCTGATCGACATCTGGACGGTCGCACTTTGCACTGACGTCTTCGCGCGGCGTTGCATCATATATGTTGTCTTCTGGCAGACGTGATGGAGTCTCGGCGGAAGACGGGGCACGACCTGATGCTACAGGGGCGACACTTTGCGCGACAGGCCCTTTCTAGTGACTGCTGCCCTTCTCAAAGAAGTCAAATACCTGCTCAACCGCGTCGCGGGCAATGAGAGGCGAGCTTCGGCGTGCTGTGGTTGCGGTTTCAGAGAAGTCGACGTTCTTCTGCGAGGTAGCTGCTCCGTCAAGCTGCTTATCTGGCGACGGGAAGAGAGGCAACGGAGCAGTCTCTGGTAGATTGGTCCTGGCAGACTTGGCGCTAGACAGCGGTGGGAGTGATTCATCGTCGAATCGCCAAAGGGCACCGGGAGTGTCGCCAGGGCGGAGCGGAGAGCTTCTTCTGGCAACAGACCCCGTGTCGGACCACGCGAAGGTGGCACTGCAGCCGACGCCAACGTCGGCTGTCGCGGTGGCAGAGATGTCTCCGGCGTCAGCCAGCTGCGGGCCTTGGCGGTCAATGTCGGTCATCAAGTCGGCGATGTCTTCGATAAGCTGAGTCTCCGAGCCGGCAGCATGGCTGGAGACTGGCCTTGGTGACTCGTGGCAGCGACTGGTTGGGGTTGTCTCCAGCTCGCCGAATTGACTGGCCTGTCTCGGCCGACCACGGCTTGAAGTTCGGCTGAGTGGCCGCGATTTAGGCGGCATGGTGCGTGGCTAGCAGGTGTAGAGGGTAGTCAAGTCCCGGATATCATTTGCGAGAGAATGGGGGTGAGCGTGAGGCAACCCGTTAATACGCCGCGACAGGAAACGGGACCTCGCCGGTGGTGCGAAGCGAAACTTGGCGCTTCTCGTCCAGGCTGTGGCGGCCTGAGGCTCGCTGCTTTGCCGTCGACTTCCACGAAACGTTTGGAAGGCACGCAGGCGCGAGGCGCGCTGTGCTGGGGAAGGAGCGATCATGCTCGTCCTTCGCATGGGCCAGTCACGAGTTCACGACGCACAACTCACCAGTACCGCCAAGCAGCGCGGCACAGTTTGACTTTACACTTTCCAACAAATCAATCTGCCCCATCCGTAGGTCCTCGAGTATCATCAGCTTATTGCATCCTTGCCTCCTTCATTCTACCACGTTTGCGGGTTGCAAGCGTCGACGGCTAATCACAACATCGGCCCCGGCGCCTGGACCAGGAACTCGGGAAGGTGGCATGCGGCGCTTGCTGCTCGGCGCTGACCCACCGGGGCCGCGACATCCGCATCTGCCTTCGGTCTCGTCGTATGCGGCTTGATGTGCGGCCTTGCTCGATCGCTGACGTTGGGAAGGACAGGTTTCGTGTCAACGTCAGCCCCTGTCAAAAGGATTTCGGGGCATCTCTCGCCCGGAACGCACGGTCGCGTCGATTGTCGGCCAGTTTGGCCACCTTGCTGCGGGCCGTGGCCAAGTGCTGGCATGGCGGCGAACATGGCTCGCCGGGCGGTTTAACGGGCTCAGGCTCCGGGACAAAGACGGCACAAAACGGACGGAGACAACGGCGGATGGCCCGCATCGCGTATGGGGCGCACGCCGTGATTACTTCGCACCGGCATTGGATGTCGGGGCCCCGGCGAGGCACGGATTTCGCGGCAAGGAGACGGCCTTCCCTTGGTCAGCGCCTCAGCACGACGAGCCAGCCGCGCTAGTGTTTTGCTACCGGAGTTAGTACTATTACCTGTTAGAGCTCCAGCTGACGTACACAGGCGCGCGCGCGCTCCGCACACACTCCGCAGGCCGCCAGGAATGACTGCTGGTCCGATGGCCGAGGATCCGCAGATAAAAGCGTCGGCGGCGCTCTCTTTCGGGCTGTCGCTCGCAGCTACACGTCTGTCGTGATTGACATAGCCTGGCCTGCGACCTCCAACGCACTGCTCTCGACAGCCCGGCTCTCATCAATCGCAAGCCTGATTAGACCACCATCTTTGTTGTCGCGCTGATCCGCGACGGGACCGTAACACAGCCATGCCGCACAAGACGTCGTTGGATGGCGGCCCCTCGGTGGCTTCCGCCGCCCTGGATAAGGCTGAACTCACAAACTCGCATCCGCGCCACGGCACATATCCTTCCATCTCGTCAATACCCATCACGTCGCATGAGCGTCTTGTCAAGGCCACGGAGGATACGGCACCAGGGGTAGACGACGAATCGCCAGACACCGTCCTGTACCTTGCGTACGGATCCAACCTGTCGGCCGAAACTTTCCTGGGCATGCGCAAGATCCGCCCGCTTTCGCAGGTCAATGTCTCAGTGCCCATCTTGCGACTGACGCTCGATCTGCCCGGCGTGCCGTATCGGGAGCCGTGCTTTGCCAACGTCGGCTTCAGAGAGCTTCCAGAAAAGCCAACGATTCCCGACCCGACCAAGCCAAAGCTACCGCCGCTGGATCCTTCAGACCCAGGATACGAGTGGGATGGTCATCTGATGGGTGTCGTCTACGAAGTCACCAAGAAGGACTGGCGCACAATCATGCGCACAGAAGGCGCGGGCTCGAGCTACAAGGAAATCGTTGTGCCCTGCATCCCCATCAAGCCCAAGATCGCCGTGCCAGAGACGCCGGGGTTTCCAAGCCTGCCGAAGCCATTCTTCGCGCGGACGCTCTACGCGTCCTACATGCCCGACGGCGGTCATGATGATCCCCGGAAGTGCACATGGTGGTACCGCTTGACGCACGGCCGCCAGCGTCCGAACCCGGGGTACGCCCAAGCCAGCGCCCGCTACTTGAAGCTGCTTAAGGACGGTGCAAGGGAGCACGAGCTGCCGGACGTATACCAGAAGTACTTGGCGTCGTTGGAGCCGTACATGCTTACCCACCGACGGCAGAAGATTGGACAGGTGCTGTTCCTGGGCGCATGGGCGCCGCTGCTCATCATCTTCTTGACCATGACGGGCCTGATGGCGGACGAGACGGGCAAGCTCCCGGGATGGCTCGCTGGCGGCGTGACCGCCATGTTCAATCTCATGTGGATCAGCTACGACTCCGTGTATAGCAAGATATTTGGCGATGGCGAGAGGACCGAGGCCGAGCGGGATGCGACGGGTTCGCCGGACGAAGAGAAGACGTCTCTGCTGGCCAACGGCCACGGACGGTAGCGGCAGGCCGCACTCGACAAGGCGGGCTGGTGCGCGTCGTTTCGCGATAGTCGTGGGTATGTATGTAGCAACAAGATGTGCGTGGTGCGACAATGAGAGCAGCGATACTAGATAATAAAGCAAAGATGAGGCTGCGATCGAAAAGAAGGGGAGAATGCAAGTGGCACGTAGAATCACGCAATTGCGACATGGCCATGGGCAACATCGAAGTGGTCGGCGCTCGTTGTCGCGCCTCGGCGTTTCCAGGTGACGGAGCCAACACAAGCCATGCCTTTTGACGGGCGCGTGCGCGCAAAAGTCTGGCGGCGTCCCTCGGTACGGAGATTTAGAGGCGGCTCGGCGGCGGGTGGCGCAGATGCGAGATGGACGCAGGGACGAGATAACGAACCGTCCCATGCGAGAAATAAATGTTGCGTCACTCGGGCTCGCCGCAGCCTCGATTCTCGCCGCAGGGACGTGCTGGCATGTGATGGTGGCGGGACCCTCACAGGGCGGGCTGCGACCCGGCGCATGGATGGGCGGGCGGCTGCCAGGGGCAGGGACGGCGCGGGATGCAGGGGGAGGGGAGCGAGGCCCGGAGGGTATCGTCCCGATGAGAGCCGCTGCCGTGCTCGCCCAGGGGTGCAATGCCAGATCTGCCAGTGCTGAATGGACCTTCATGACTGGAGGCGTGGCGGGGGGCGCCGCTTCATGATCAATGAAAGGCCGGGTGAGGTGTGGAAGGGTTCCTGGATTCGAGGAAGGGAGGTTGCCTGGCTGGCATGTGACAGCCAACAAATCTCAGCGACAGCCTGACTGACAGACGCAGACACCGGGACGGGATGGGATGGCATCCATGGAAACCTCGCATCTCGGCGTGCCGCCTCCACCCTCCAGCGCTCGGTCATGGCCGCGGTGGGGGCGCTTCAGCCACCGAGGGAGCCCAGCCCCAGGTCCCAACCACAGGCGATCCGTTGGGCGCGTTAACCATGACAGGCAGGCGGTGAGGGGGTTCCAGGCGAGGGGTCGTGTGCCAGCGGCGCCCCAGCCGCCCACCATGCTGCCTTCCACTGCCCCGAGGCTGTGATTCTGCCGGGGCAAGCAGTCGCTGGCTGGCGGGCCCCGCTGTGCCCGTGCCGCGTTGGAGTGAGGTGGAGGGGCAGTGGAGGGCACATGGGGCTGCAGCTCCAGCTCCCCCAGCCGGCGGCCATCGTGGACGCCGCCGCCGGTCGGACTTTTTCCTCGCGGTCCAGTTCCAGTTCCAGGTGGCGGCCACCAACACCCAATTGCCGGCGTGAGATACTGAGGTATATGAGCCGCGAGCTTCCCCTCCCCGCCGCCGCCACCAGCTCCCCTTGCCTTCTGTCCCGTATGCTTCAATTGCTACTGTGCGCTCGCCGCCCGCCTCTCCGCTGCGCCCAGCCCCTGCGAGCCTTCGTTCTCCAGTACTCGACGTCATTACCGTCCTCGTCCTCGTCCTCGTCGTCTTCCCGAGCAGCAACAGCAGCAGCAACCGCCGCCAAGATGACTGGCCCCGCGCACCTCGGCGGCCACGCAAAGAAGCACAAGGTCACCATCGTGGGCTCCGGTAACTGGTCAGTCCGACTGAGGCACGCGAGGAATGAACCATGGCCACTGACTCTGCTTCTCTCCTAGGGGATCGACCATTTCCAAAATCATCGCCGAGAACACGCGGTTAAACAAGGATGTCTTTGAGGAGCAGGTCCAGATGTGGGTGTATGAGGAGGACGTAGCCATCCCGGCCAGCTCAAAGCACTTCAAGGGCGACGACACACCCCAGAAGCTCACCTCCATCATCAACTCGTGCCACGAGAACGTCAAGTACCTCCCCGGCATCACCCTGCCCTCCAACATCGTCGCCAACCCGTCCCTCGTCGACGCCGTCCGCGACTCCACCATTCTCGTCTTCAACTTGCCGCACCAGTTCATCGGCAAGGTCTGCGACCAGATCCGCGGCCAGATCCTGCCCTTTGCCCGCGGCATCAGCTGCATCAAGGGCGTCAACGTCTCCGACGACGGCGTCAGCCTCTTCAGCGAGTGGATCGGTGACGGGCTCGACATCTACGTCGGTGCCCTGAGCGGCGCCAACATCGCCAACGAGATCGCCGCCGAGAAGTGGTCCGAGACCACCATCGCCTACGATCCCCCGGCCATGGACAGCCGCGCGCCCTCACCCCGCTCCGGCAGCCCCCAGCCCCTCTTCACCGTCACCGAGGTGCCCGACTCGGTTCACCGCGACGCCCGCGGCCGCACGTCTAAGACGAAGCTGACCGGTGTGCCTCCCGAATACCCGCCCCTGGACCATGACTGCTTCCGTGCCCTCTTCCACCGTCCTTACTTCCACGTTCAGATGGTCTCGGACGTGGCCGGCGTGTCGCTCGGCGGTGCGCTCAAGAACATTGTCGCGCTGGCGGCTGGCTTCGTCGACGGCCGCGGCTGGGGTGACAATGCCAAGGCTGCTATCATGCGCATTGGCCTCATGGAGATGGTGCGGTTCGGCAAGGAGTTTTTCGGCGAGACTGTGCAGAGCGCGACCTTTACTGAGTCCTCTGCCGGCGTGGCTGATCTGATCACTTCGTGCTCTGGCGGCCGTAACTTCCGCTGCGCCAAGAAGGCCGTCGAGAAGGGCATCACGGTCGACCAAGTGGAGCAGGAGGACCTCAACGGCCAGAAGCTCCAGGGAACGACGACGGCATACGAGGTCAACAGCTTCCTCAAGGCACGAGGCCTGGAGAAGGACTACCCGCTCTTCACTGCCGTCAACGACATTCTTCGGGGCACCAGAAAGGTCGACGACATTCCCGAGCTGGTGGCTGCTGTCGATGACGAGTAGGGCGCGGGCGCGGGGCGAGCGAGGCGAGCATGAGAGCAAATCGAAAGATATCCTGGGATACACGGTCAGAGCTGGCGTTGGGCCGCGGGCACTCCGGCACCATAGAGCGGATTAGGAATGGACAGTGCAGAGCGGTGCGTTACATGCATATATATAATCTCTCTATCACGAAATTTATGTACATTGGTATCATGGTTCAGCGGCACCTTGAACTTCCGACCATATCAGGCCACCTGGTACGACGAAAGCGAGTACTCGAGAAAATAGTTCAAGTCTCCTTGGTACTCTGTCAGCGGCCGCGGCGCATTACCTCCAATGTCCTCTGACGAACAGAACGGCGGCTGGGTGACTCCAGAAAAACGGTCGTCCAGCCAGTCGAGCCAGATCTGCCGCGTGGCATACATCACCGGCACATGGCCGACGCCTTTGGCCCGCACATAGTGCAAGCCGCGATTGCCATAATTTTGACAAGTCACGTTGACGTATTTCGTCGTCAACTCCTCAGGGATAGCCGGGTCAGTGTCTCCCTGGAGGACGAGCATGGGGCCAGCAAAGTCCTTGCCACCGGCGATGCTCATGTTCTGGAACTCCTGCACGTATGGGTTGGTAAACAGCTGGGGATTGATCAGCTGCCGCGTCGGGTCCGCGGTGAAGATGCCCTGCAGGAGTGTCGTGAACACCGAGTTGCAGCCCTGCACCTCCTCGAGGAGCGTCAGCGTCGCGATGCCCTCTGGCGTAAGGACGTCTGAGAGCGACATTTCGCCCGGCGGGAACGCAGACACCATGGACCGGGCGCTGAGAAGGAACCCCAGGGCCTGCGCCGGGTTGGCCTCGACGATCTCGAGGGCGCTGGTAGTAGGCGACGCCGCGACGACGCCGAGGTATCCCGGAACTTGCGCCTGCAACTGCTGCTGCGCTGCGGCCCACGCGGCACCACCGCCCTGCGAGTGTCCCACAACAACGAACTCGCGCGTCAGGACATCCGGGAAGGCAGCTTGGGCTGCCTGTGCGGCGTACAGGAGGTCGTTTCCCGCGGCAGGAGAGGCGGCAAACTGATGCGTTATGTTGACGGCGTGTATGCCATCAGACTCATTGCGCGGGTACCACGGCACGCCGAGACCGGCGTAGTCCGTCGCAACGACGGCGTAGCCAGCCAGCGCGAGCTCATACGGCGCCGAGAACTGGTACCACAAGTTGCGGATATGCGAGGGCGCGCACTCTGCGAACGCGCCGCTATTGCCATGGCCCCAGCTCACGAGGGGGATCTTGCCACCGAGCTTGCCGGCAAGTTTGCGCCGCGGATGATACGGCCACAGGACGTACGCCGAGACGGGCACAAGCACGCCATCGAGCCGGCGGGACTGGTAGACGAGGCGAGAGAGGGCGAGCGTCGGAGCGATGGTATAGCCGCTCGTGTTTGTGAAGGCCTCGAGCTTGAGAAGCGAGCCGGGCGGTGCAGAGGAGGCGTTGGCGGGGAGGTCGGTGTAGAAGGGGTCGTCAAAGACGGAGCCTGAGGGAGCCCAGTTGGAGCGCTCGAAGGAGGCGGCGACGGCGACGTTGGAGGCCGTGGGGAAGCTGATGTTCGCGGCGGAGACTTGCGCGAATGTGAGGGCGAAGGAGGAGTTGAAGGTGTTGGTTTGGGGAGCGAGGAGGAGCTGCGCGGAGGAGAGGACCGGGAGGAGGAGGAGGAGCGGTGGTGCCGCGTATGCGGCGAGGGGACGCATGACTATGAGCAAAGGGAGAAGTGACGCTGCTCGCTTCGATGAGAGTGTGGATGAGGAGAGGGGTAGTGAAGTGAGATGCAATGAGAGGTTGGTGAGTCCTATGTATGACAGCGTTGCATTGCAGATACCTACATGTGGCACTGCATGAAAGCAAGATCTGGAGCGTCCCGTACCACAGCGGGTTCGCAACGAACAATGGCTTCTTTGTACCTCATACCAATCACGCCCAACTTATACATAGAATCGCAGCACACGGATCCAGGGCCCATCATCCGCGTGCTCTCCCTCCCCCCCACCGGCACCCTGTCGACACCCTTGCCGATTGCCCCCATGTGGCTGCGTGATGTTCACGCGGCAACAGTCTGGGAGCCGCAGGGAGACGGGCATCTGACCAGGCAGCACGATAGCTACCCTCTCCCAGGAACGGACACGATACGAGCCGCGCGTGCTCATCGACGGCGAAATGAAGCAACAAGCCGTGGCGTTGCGGTCCCGCTGCGGCTGGGCGGAGGGAGGGACGTGTCCGAGGTGGACAGGCCGGGGGAGTGAGTCTACGCCCGTGATGTTGTTCTTTGACGCGAGGGGGGGCTGGGGGAGGGCCACGTTGGTGGCGGTTCTTTTGGGGTTCTATACCTTGCACTTATGTGACGAACGAAGCGGCATGGCGTTCAAGTATTGCAAAGGTGCGCATATTAGATGAGGTGCCAGCGTGCCGTTCATGCAGGCGTATCTATGCGACCAAGCTATCACGGCCTGTTCCGCGATGAGTGCGTGCGTGCGGTTGGGCAATGCCCCGAAGCAAGATCATCATGCCCTTTCACTTGCGCCGTACCTGCGGCTGAATCTTCATGCCACGCATCAGGCACTGCACTACAGAAGTAAAGAAAAGCCAGTGCTCAATCACGCGGGACGTGGCCAAGAGTGGGATTCCTCGTATGCAGCCTTGTGTCGGATCACCTCCGGGGACGTGCTCAAGCCACTTGTAGCACATATAGGGTGACGAGCGGGAACTATTGCAGCACTTGGTCGTAGTTCTCCACATGGCTTATACTGTATATGCAGAAGATTTAGGGCGCGGTTGAGCGTGGAGGATTCGGGATGCGTCCTTGGGATGAGCGCCGTGGTCAGAGGCGTTGTTGCCCGCTTGAGTCCCGAGTCGTGCTGTACAGGGAGTAACTCGCCTCACATCTTATGTGGCCTGCCGTCGTCACCATCATGCACATACTATATCTACTTAGCTAGCTCTTCGAAAACTTCTCATTTCCTAACTCTCGAATATTGCAATCTCTTCCCAACTATCTGACACCATCAATTGTTCCGCAATCTCCTGGCAGAACGTGTTGCACGACGCGGACAGGAAGCAACCCCGCACGAATTAGTTGCAACACTTCAGATCAATAAAAAGAGACACAGTCTCACAGCAAACAATGCATAAGGTTTAACAAGAAAATAGTTTGAAGTTGCATTTGTTACACTTTATACACACTTTCACTTTCCCGCGTCTTAAGCGTACCGTGAGAGCCCGTCTGTATGAGCGGACAGTGGGCGTTACAGGAAATGCGGAATACAAATCCGGGCTTGGGCGGGGCAACGGCCGACCGAAAATCGGCCCCGGTGCTGCAAAACGGCCGGCCGGGCATCCGAATGGCTCAATGGCTCCATTGAAGGCACCCCCACCACATGCAGCCCGCGATTCATCAGCGGCCGTTGGGCGGTAAAAGACAGGGGGGAAAAAGGCGACTCTCAAATGCAGGATTTTTATTCCCGGCTGCAGCCAGCAGGAGGCGGCGAAGAAAGCTGCCAGCGTTTGCTGAGGATGTGGTGGTGGTGACTGGAGGTGGCGGCGAGCCACACGGGCGGCCCGCGAGCCACGGTCCAAAGCGAGACAATTTCCTCAACCCCCTGCTTGATCAATGTTACACGAAGGATCGGATACTAACTCGTCTTCTCCGACTTCGCGAACTTCATGACATCAAATCCTCTTCAACGATCCCGGATCCGAGCGAGGCCGCCGTCGTAAGAGCGACGATGCTCGGCGCAACCCATCGGTCTCCGATGGATGGATGGGGAGAGGGAGCAGGCGAGTACTAACTACTAACGTTACTATTACAGCGGGCCCCATTGCCGCACCGTCTGGGGCCTTGTTTGCCTGACTGTCGTCGGGCCGGTTCTGGGTAAATGCCTGCCCGCCGATTACGACGTCCTTGGTCATGGTGCGGATTTGTGGAATCGCCCTTTGGCTCGGAAACCAGAGCAAGCAAGCAAACCAGGGCCCAAGCCCAGCCAGCCCAGGCAATCGGGAATAAGTGCCGATCGCATCACCCAGCGGGCCAGGAAGAAAAATCCCCAATTTTACCCTCTCTAGTGCACCCTGCATCCCATCCCGCACACACTGCCCTCGCCGATTGCGGTGCCGGCGACGGTGGTGCAGGGACGGAAGGAAAACCTCTTATTAATACTGCGTATGACGCTCCTTCCGGATGGTGTTGCGTTGGTGTATGGGGGAGTAGTGCTCGCGTGCTCCAGTCTTTGTGAACCCCAACCCACGATGCAAGTGGCGGACCGCAACAGACTCTACGACTTGTGAAATTGAGCTTCATCCTCGCGCGCTCTGTTGATCACGCCGGGATCGCCTTCATCTGCCGGTGCCCCCGCGGCACCGCCATGCAACCCTCGGGCACCAATCCCCCATCGACGCCGCTGCCGCCGCCATCATGACGGAGCTCACCAAGGCCGAAAAGGCCCTCCACGACCAGTCCAACCTCCTCCCGCGGCGGCAGCTCGTCTCCTGCCTGGGCATCATGTCCCTCGCGCTGCTCATCTCCTTCATCGACCAGAACGGCATCTCCACGGCGCTGCCCACCATCGCCGCAGACCTCGACGCCCGCGCCACCATCTCCTGGGCCGGCACCGCCTCGCTCCTCGCCAACACCACCTTTCAGATGCTCTACGGCCGCGCCTCCGACATCTTTGGCCGCAAGGCCGTCTTCATCTCCGCCATCCTGCTGCTGGCTCTGGCCGACCTGCTGTGCGGCCTGAGCGCCAACGCCGCCATGTTTTACGTCTTCCGCGGCGTGGCGGGCATCGGCGGCGGCGGCATCACCAACCTCGCCATGATCATCGTCTCGGACGTCGTTACCCTCGAGCAGCGCGGCAAGTACCAGGGCATCATCGGCAGCATGGTCGGCCTCGGCAGCGTGACGGGGCCCTTCCTCGCCGCTGCCTTTGTCGCTCGCTCCACCTGGCGCGGGTTCTTCTGGTTGCTTGCACCGCTCGGCGCTATCAACGGCTTACTCGCCTACCGCTACCTGCCTTCCAAGGAGCCCGAGGCTACCTTTCGGGAGAGCGTCCGCAAGGTCGACTGGATGGGCGTCCTCACGTCCTCGGTGGGAACGATTTTTCTGCTCATTCCCATCTCTGGCGGTGGCGCGTACTTTCCCTGGGCGTCACCCATGGTCATCGCCATGCTCGCAATTGGTAGCGTATCGCTCATCCTGTTCGTGTTGGTCGAGTGGAAGCTCGCCAAACTCCCTATGATGCCAGGTTAGTTTCTGCCGCCGGTCCCTTTCGCGATGCGCACTCACTTGCTGAAACTCGCGCCAGTGACCGTATATCGCAACCCGGTCGTCGTCGTGCTCCTTTTGCAGAGCTTCCTTCTGGGGCTGGTGTACCAGAGCATGGTGTACTACTTACCCTTGTACCTGCAAAACGCACACCAATTCTCCATAATCATATCCGCCTCCCTTCTCATCCCCATGTTTGTCACCCAGGCGACTGTATCGACGCTCACGGGCTTGTGGATCAGTCGGTACAAGCGATACGGCATTGTCATTCAGGTCGGATTCGCCATGTGGACGCTGTAAGTTCTTCTCTACTTATGCCGCTGCCGTCGATTGCAACTGCTGACAACGCGCAGAGGCACCGGCCTGACTCTCTTGTACAAGCGGACGACCGACCCCGGCGTCATTGTCGTGCCCCTCATCGTCATGGGCATCGGTGTCGGGTGTGTCTTCCAGCCGACTCTCGTTGCGTTGCAGGCCCACTCGGCCAAGTCGCGTCGCGCCGTCATCATTTCCAACCGCAACTTCAACCGTTGTGCTGGCGGCGCGTGCGGTTTGGCCATATCGGCAGCTGTTCTGCAGGCCCGATTGCGTGCGACCCTACCTCCAGAGTACAAGTACCTGGCCGATTCGACGTATGCATTGCCCGACTTCAACGGAGGCGTGCCACCCGAGGTGCTGGACGCGTACATGGCAGCGAGTCACGCCGTCTTCATCGTAATGGTGCCGCTGATCGGGCTGTGCTTCCTCGGGACCATCTTCGTCGAGGACAGGGGCCTGGCACCCAAGGACGAGCCGCAGGCCGAGACTCTGGAACAGAGCGATGCTGACGGTGGAGAGGCAGGCAGGAGCGAGCTCGAGACGAGCGGGGACAGGGTGCAGGTGCAACCTCACCAAAGGAATGACGATAATGTGACACGAAAAGATGCGGAAAAGGTGTAGATTGTTAGGAGAGTACGTAGACTTGGCGAATGACTTTATGCATTTAATGACACAATGAACACGCTTATCTGGGCGAAATACCTGTGGCACAAGGTCTCACACCCAGTATTTCCTACATGCATATCGTGCTCAGCCCGCAACTGATAGCAGCAGCTACGGCAGGTCGTCGACGACTCCACGCTCGGGCATCGAGAAGTGCGAGGTCCGAGCCAGGATATTGTCCATGACGATGGCATCTGGAGACCACCGCCCGGCGGAGATAAATCCTTCTGGTCCCGAAGTCGACGCTAAGCCCTGTTTCGTATTCTGCGATCTTCCCGTTGGGCGGCTCGGCGGCGACGGACCCGCTCGATGGCGCCGGAGCTGCTGCGGAGGTTGGATTACCGGATTGGGAAGGTTTTGTCTCCGGACCCCGATGGCCGCCGCCGGGCTTAGCGGTCGTGATGGCGTTGACGGCAACAACATTGAACGTTGGGCCACCGCAGGGACGGGCCTCAACGGTACTCCTGGTTGTGGGATTGTGGACTTAGAGTATATAAGTCTCGTCTTTGTCCGCTCAGTTCGAATCATGTTCCTCATCGACTCACGCACTCATACAGACATCTCTTGCCTCTTTTCAGTCTCAAATAGCCCCCGACTCCGACACATACAACTTTCTGCTGGCGATATAGTACCTTTCCTTGAACATACAGATTTATTTACCTGAGCAAGGAGCCTGACATCAATATGGCCCAAAAGTATGCCAAAGACCAGCTTGCGGGCTTCACGAACCGCATCACCCGCGTCGCCATCGTCGGTGCCAGCGGACAAGTCGGCAGCTACCTCACCGCCGCACTTCTCTCCACAGGCCAGCACACCGTCACGGCCATCACACGTTCCGACAGCAAGTCCTCGCCTCCGCCCGCGGGCGTCACTGTCGCCAAGGTTGACTACGACAACGAGCAGTCCCTCGTGGACGCTCTCCGCGGACAGCAGTTCCTCATCATCTCCATGTCTGTTACTGCGCCTCGGGACTCGCAAAGCAAGATCATCAAGGCCGCTGCAAAGGCAGGCGTCGCCTGGGTCATGCCCAACTGCTACGGCACTGACATCGCCAACGCGAAGCTGAAGGAGGAGAACCTCACCGGCCCCGCCGTCCTGGGCGGCATCGAGGCCATCGAGAAGGAGGGCGTCAGCTCTTGGATCGCCATGTGCTGCTCCTTCTGGTACGAGTTCTCCCTGTCAATGGGCCCTGGCTGGTACGGCTTCGACTTTGCCAACATAAAGGTCACATTTACGGACGATGGCAAGACGCGCATCAACACGAGCACCTGGGAGCAGTGCGGCCGCGCCATCAAGGCCCTCCTCAGCCTCAAGGAGCTGCCTGAGGACGAGAATGACAAGACCCCCACACTATCGACCTGGCGCAACAAGCCGCTCTACATCTCGAGCTTCCTGGTCTCCCAGCGAGACATGCTGGACAGCTTGAACCGCGTGATGGGCACGACCGACGCCGACTGGGAGATTGAGCACGAGGAGCACGCCGCTCGCTATGCGCGCGGAATGGAAATGTTCAAGAAGGGCTCTCACCTTGGCTTCGGCATCTGCCTCTACACGCGGACCTTTTACCCCAATGGTGACGGCAACTTTGAAGCCAAGCATGGTCTTGCAAACGATGCCTTGGGTTTGCCTAAGGAGGACCTGGACGAGGCGACCAAGCGAGCCGTTGCCATTGTCAAGGGTGGCTTTGAGCGAAAGGCGGTTGACGTCAACATTTACAAATAGAGGGACATCGACGATTTAACGACAATAGTGTAGCATTAATTGAGGCTTTTGACCCGAATAAGCCATTTCTTTCTATTTGACTGCGGCGATATCGTGAGTGGAGTGTTAAATGTTTCCGTTTCCTCTTGAGAAAACAGCCCTGAAGTGCGGCGAGCTTCCTTTACTCATGGACGGTAAACTTGCTCTTCTTGCGCAGCGTCGCCCCGTTTCTGTAAAGATACCAGAATCCCAGCACCAGAGGGACGCTCAAACCGCCCAACAAGCTGCATCCCTTTCCCACTCCCAGATTGACGTACAGCGGTCTCCCGAAAAGGATCGCCCCAGCAGCGAAGGAGCTTCTCAGTGCATCGTTGGCCGCGAACAAACTGGCTGCGTACTCGGGATAGCTCAATGGGAGATGTATGAAGATGCCCAGTCCGACGACAAAGGAGCATCCGCAGAACACGACCACGCCGAGCGTAGGCACAGGCCATGGGACCGACTCGCGGGCCGCCCACCCGAAGAGGAACATGCCCACCGGCACGCCCAGCACGCCCGCAAGACCCGGTCGTAGGAACGTCTCTTGGACGTCGAATGTGCCGAGGCGCTGGAAGCGGCGCTGCGTGAAAACCCGGTACCAGGTGCAATACCACATCGCGCCGATAATGCACGCGATGAGGACGCAAACGAAGACGGCGCCTGTTTGCCCGACATTGAAGCCGTACATCTTTGGATACACGAGCGGGAAAACTTCAAAGAAAGAGTAGTAGATGCCGTAGGTGAGGGAAGTCTGGTCCGATTAGTGCATGGTTCGCGAAGCAACTGGTGTGCGTCTCGGACTTGACGCGGCAGTCAACTGGACAGGGGGGGGGGGCTTACATAGATGTTCGTGAAAGCGATAGCAGGATCCTTGATGGTGATCTCAAATGGCTTGATCAATGCAAGCCGCACCAATTCGCCGCGAGTGATGCTCTTTGAGCGCAGAGCATGGACGGTCACGAAGCGCTCGGAGCCCGTCTCTTGGCGGAGGCGTTTCGCTTTGTAGAAGAGGAGTGTAGGCGTGGACGTCTCTGGAAGGAAAACGACGAGCAGAACGAGAATCAGGCCCGCCAGCCAGACAATCTCCCACATGGACCAGCGCCAACTTTCGAGCAGCAACGTCAGCGTGGCCAGGTACTTCACATTGGCGTGACGAGGCGGAGAACTCACCCTTTGACGGGTACGGCAAAGCCAGAGATGAGCGGGCCGAGCGCGGGGCCGCAGTACATTGCGCCCGACCATGCTGCAAGGTTGTATGGTATGTATATGACGGAGAACTGTACATCAATTGTCAGCGTCGGAAGTTGGTGGACTTTTTATGTAGGGCAAGTCTACCATGTCGCTCAGTGAAGCTGCGCCCGTCGCCAAGCACGGACTGCCGAAGAAGCCCTGAAGGAAGCGCAGCACAAGGAACCCGGCGAAGTTCTCACATACAGCCGCCCCGACCGAGAGGACAATGAAGACGGCAAAAGTGCTGATGTATATGGGATTGCGGCCGATCGATGGAATCTCGCTCAATGGAGAGAACAGTAGTGGTCCGATGCCATCTGGCGACAACGTCGGCACGTCAGCATCGAGTTTGTGTCTTCGTTTAAATCGGCGGCACGTACATCCAAGGACATAGAGGGCCAGACCCAGAGAGGCAACGGCCTCGGACACGCCGAACTCTTCAATTACCTGCCTGCAAGTAATCAGTATCTTTTCTACTTTTTGGGATGAATGGCGACACACTCTGTGCTCGGAACGTAGATCGACGATCCGCAGTATACGGTAAAGGTGTAGATGCTACCACGTCATTAGTCTCGTCTCCATGTAGAGGTGGAAGCCTGCCCAACTTGCCATATCAGAGCTGATACAGCCACCTTTCTCGTTGTCGACCAATTCTGGGGATTCTCCGGGTCGACTTCCGAGTCCCTACATGCTCCGTCAGCAATGAGGCGCAAAGTGTAGGAAACGGACCCGACCGAAGCGTACCATTCGACAGACACAAATTCTCGCTCATCTCCCTCTTTGCTTTCGGAGGATGTACCATTCTCGCTCGGAGAGAAGCCTTGCTTTGCACTGGGAAATGCCAGAGCTCTGCCTCCCGTTATGAGACGGGCCAGCGTGCCTAGCGCTGTAGTCCGGAAAAGATGCGCCATGGTGGAACGTCGTCAAGTGTTCCGCAACGCGCAGGGCAAAAGATCACTTAAAATCATTAAACTGCAGACCCTGGAAATAAATACACAAGTTCTTCTCGGATTTGTTCCATTCTCCGAGACGACAGCTTTTTGGCCGAGGTCATGGGGCATCAGGCAATTCGGGATAGACCAGCCATCACCACGGTCGGACGCGAGTGTCGGGCCCCCACCCTTAGGCTATTCGGTGCGTACAGGCGCGAAGACAGTTGATGGAGCGGAAGACGCACTTTATGTCGATAACAAGTGATTGGGCATCGCAGTGCGAAGAGACGTTTACTGTGCCTGATGGAGAGGCATCTCCGCCAGACGTTCAATCGCCAGCATACATGTACGTCCAGTCCCCTTGTAAGCACTCGGATGTAAGCACTCGGGCACGCGACGGCGAACTGTACGAAACCAGGTGAAAGAATAAGAAGTGACCATGGATCCCTATGAGATCGGAACTCCTTGGCTCAGAACCAAATGCTCTCGGCCATCATGTTCCTCTTCTTCACGACCAGTAACGCGTCGTAAGGGGGAATTGTCGTTCAAAATGAAGTCGACCAGCTTCTCCAGGCCCTGCAAGTCGCCCGCAACCGTACCTCCCATCGAACGATCAACCCACTTGTCCGTCGAGCCACCTTCCAAGTCGATGACAACGGCGTTGTCATCAGCATCAATGAGGACGTTATCTGCCTTTACGTCGCCCCAAGCGACACCTAGGTCGTGGAGGTCGGTGACCGTATTGCGGATCTGCGACGCCCACTTCTCCCTCAAGGGCATTGGGGTGGCCGGCGTTGCAGCAGCATCAAGCGTTCCTTGGACGCCTTCGGCCTTGGTCTGGATCAAGTCGTACAACAGCCCCGACATTCGTCCATTCTTATCCGCGACGATGCCAAAGAGCCGCGAGGTGCGGAGCTGCTGAGTCGACAGGCCCGACGCCTGAATGGCGTAGTACTTCTCGACTTCTTCCCTACACGCGTATGGTCGGTCGCATTTTTTGTAGAAGCCAGCCTTGCCGTCCACGAATATCTTCTGCGGAATAATGTTGTGGATGTCGTCCATTCCACTGCCTGGCAACTCGACTTCGACTTCTGCAGGGTCAAACAGCGGGAAAAGAGATCGGAACTCGCGTATGTCGAAGCCCTCCCTTCCGCCTGGCCAGTCGTTCTCTCGCGCCGTGACGGCGCCTGGCACGTCCTTTTCGTCAATGACCTGATAGTCGCATTTGAAGTGACCGCGCGCGGCGATGTCTGCGAGGGTCACCTTCCCAGTGTGGACCTTTGGCGGCGCCAGTCTCTCAAAGTCAGGCCGAAAGACATTGGCGGCATCGTCACAATAGTCGTTTTCCTCTTGCGCTTGGCTATCCGTACGGATGCTGGCTGTCAAGCCTCTGAGGAATCTGCGAAATCGATCCAGGGCGACTGGTGAGTTGACAAAACAATCGGGTGACAGTCCGATTGAGAAAATGTATCCGTTGAAGCGAATGCTCACGTTGACCCGATCCTCTTCTACACCGATCTCTGTAACTGTGTACTGTCTCCCAGTCATCTTGTATATTTGCGAGAATGTCTTGTGCTTCGAAGATTTGGATACGTATGTAAGGGAGAGGTGAAGACTGAGGGCCTCCAGTGGCGCGAAGTCTGGTTATTTTGCCGTGCTCGGGCGCGCAACCCAAACGTGGCGAATCTATGCAGTTTGTGATGCTTGTAGTGCCGACCCGGTGTACTGACATTGCGTGACGCAGTCAAACAGTATTAATTGGCAAAGGCGGTTTGGAAATGTGGAGGAGAGGAGCTGAATGACGAAGTGCGTGGAGCGCGACCGTCGAGAAACGTGGAGCAACCGCCCGGTTATCTCGGGCGGCATTCCGGCCGCTGAATCAGGTACGGCCAGCATGGTGGCGAATCCCCTACGGCCGCTGTGCAGTCAGAGCAAAATACGCGTCTCTCGGACCGTGGCAGTTGCGGGAATGGCGCTTTCGTCTCGAACACGACGCTTTCAATGAAGAGGCGACGGATGCAGTGCCACGTTCAGCTTGCGCCTTCTAGAGCTTGAAGCCATTCTCGATCAAAGAAGTTGGCAAAGACCATGTCCTGTTCAACGAGTAGGTCCGAAGCAGCGGGCACGGGAGGCGATGTCGGATGCCCTCGCATCATGATTTGAGCAATCGTGCGTAGCTCTCGCAGAATCTTTTTGGCCCTCGGCCAAACATCTTCGTAGTGCTTCAGCGTTCCCAAGCACACTCGGATGCGAGACCGCGCCACCTCGGCTTCCTCTGGAGTGAAGGCCGACTTGCACGCGACGAGATGTGCAATCGTGCAGCAGGCGATCATGCAGATGAGGAAGGGTGACAGCTGCGCAGTCCCAATGGGCAGTAGGATCAAACACTGGTTCTGCTTTCGGACAGCCTGAACGAGCTTGTGAGAATGCGCCTTGTGGTTGAACGCGCTGCCTGTCGTAGTGGTCGAGGCAAGGGGTGGCGGAGGCGAGCCGCAGCTCGACAGGCCTTCAGCGGGATCGTATCCGAGGCCTGACAGTGGCCTGTGGATATAGGCCAGAGATCTACATATCAAATAATTAGTACTAGAGATCAGGGGCTATGGATACAAAACTGTTCCTTACGTATACATCATCATGTGAGCCTGGAACATGAGCTGGTCCAGCATGGCAGGTTGTACAGCAAGCTCCCGTTTCTCGGTCGGGAGCAAGACGAACCAGCCAACAATGGCAGCCTCCAGGTCGTCGCATAGGATCTCCGCCTTGTAAATGCTCTCATACTGTGTTGATGCCCGCAGCGACGCGACAAAAATGCGAGTCGCGTCGATAAGGTAGGCAAATGATGAGAACTTGGGGCTCTCCAGCGCGTACTCCCGGTTCTTGAAGTCATCGAAAGACGCAGTCCTTCGGGATATGTCCTTGTGGAAACCAAGTCAGTAAGGAGACGAGATTTGTCCTACACCTGGGGCATACCATTGAAGCGTATTCGCTGTCGTCACATGGGAGGTCGACATCGTGGACCGAGTCAAACATCAACATCTTAAAGTCGTAGCGAATGACGGCGAAATTGAGGTCGGTCACATAAAGCATCCACCACGTCCGCCTCCAGCTTTCAGCAAGCGCGGGATCGGAATCTGCAACAGCCTCTGCGAACGCCTTCGTATGCATGCCAATATGCTTGGCTTGTGAGATTGTCGTGGCCAGCAACGCGTCAGACGCGGCACGTTCAGCACACATGCTCTTCACCAGGGCGAACAGCAGCGTCGCCTGGACAACAAAGCCGTCCACCACAGCATGATCTTGTACTTCCGGTACGATATTCTTATGCGTCGCACTCTCCCCGTATGACGAACCGATGTGCCGCATGATTCGGACTAGCGATTGCAGACTGGGAGGGCCCGTCGTCAACTTCGCTAGCAGGGCAACCTTCGGTAAGATAAAAGGGTGACCGCAGTGGAAGTATTCGTAGTACAGATCCAGCGAGGCATCGCCCATGATACCGTCGGCTTCGGTGACCGAGGCAAGTGATGTCGGAGGACAGACGGAAGCAGGTGAGTCGCCCTCTCCCGTGAAGAGAGAACTACTCGTGTAGGCTGGCGTAAGTACTCGTGCAGCAATCGTCGAAGCGACTTGTCGCGTTCTGCTCCGGGCCCTGGCCCTATATCGTCCAGTCCGTCGTGATTCCGGGTACGAGCACCCCTTCGAGAGGGTCTTGCATCGTGAGCAGTCGGGCTGTGCGCCGTCGCATTTGAGATGTTGCGTTCTGCAAGGCAGGCATGCCAGTGAGGCTCGCGTGGCAGAGCGGCGGTCCATTGCATTGGCCATCGCTCACAATGAAGCCATTGTCGATTTATGTTGAGTCAGTGGCTGCACAGTCGGACTCGCCGGTCTCCGAGGCGTTCCTCGGAGCAACAGTTACAACGCAAAACACGGTTATGTAAGCCTTTCCAGCACCTATAAATTGGGCACCATTGACCAGGCGGTGGAAACGCCGTGGCCGCCGCAGATCGTCTTCAATCTTGCAATAGGTATGCTGCGAGTCAGAGGGTTCCGTTCCCTACTTCTTGCGGTATTGGAGCTGGCAGTGAAGGTGTCTATCGCGGCGACTTGCTTGGTGACGTTTTAAGCCAGCTTGTTGTGGCAGCTTCGAATGACATGCTTGATGTGTGCTTTAAGGGTCCAACACGAGCCACCCTGGGGAAATTGTAAACCCTCCTTTCGTAACGCAACAGCCAAATTGATTGCCAAAGGACCAATGTCCCAGGTTCTGTCAATAAACGCGAATTATAAAGCTTTCTTTCTTGCTTGTCGAATCTGTCGATTCGCAACGTTCTTACACTTGCTACGAGAGATGTACAGGGTAGGGCGCCCAGTCGGCTACTCATTGATGCGATTCACGGCTTTCCGCATGATTCGTAAGGGAACACGGGCATGGATGCCGATATGAACCTGTGCATAAGGAATTAACGTGGAGTCTAGCGAAAATGGCCCCAATTGTCATCATTTCTCCTCATAGTCACCAGTTGTGAGCTCCTCTTGTAAAGCCAACTCATCAAACTGCTCGGCAATAGCCCTCGTTCTTGCCTCATCCGGATTTGCTGCGGCTCGATCGAAATCTATAATGATTGAGGAGGATGCAAGCTTTGGTGTGCCGTGATGCGCCCCGCGACGTCGCAGCTCGGCCATGAGCGACTTTGCCTCGTTGCTGGTCATCGTGCCATCCCGCATGGCCCGCGCCAGGAAGCCTTTGACAATGTCCCAGAAGAAGTAGTAACTCTCGTAGAGATCTAGCCATGCGCTGATGCAGAGTAAGAAGAACAGGCGCCCATGCGTGGTTCGAGAAAATCGGGCGGCCAACATTGCGTCGGCCAGTTGAACAAGGGGTGGATTGACAAAGATGCTCCACGTCGCGGAGACACACGAACGTTGATAGATGAACATGAGTCGGCCAAGCTGATTGAGCGATGCGTTGAATACATTGGCCAGACAGCTGTCTTCCGATGAGAATGATCGCAGTCTGTGCTTGGAGAACGATGACTGTTCTCTCACGAAGGGGTGAAACAGCTGCATGACCACGCTGTGGAAGTTCATGCTGTGACAGTGTAAGCAGTGGCATTTTGCAACAAGTTTCGCAACACTTACTGGAAGATGAGGACATGTGCAGGACTATATTCGCCTCGAGCCATGCCCATTGCCAAAGTGTCTGTCCAAGCCAAGAGCCTCTGGTATTTTGCCTCAGCAAACGCAAGAGGCACACGTTGCGAGAGAGACCGCTTGTCATGCTTGAAATAGACCACAGCGACCTCTTGAACTATTGTCCAAAACCTGCACATGGTAGAGAAGGTGGACCCCATGTATGCGGGTGCTGGGCGGAAGTCTTCATGACTCTCTGAGCTGTCAAGCTGCCGATCGATGGTACTGGATCGCTCGGCCGGGACCGGTAGATTTGGCGGGTGCGCAATCGGCGGATCGCGGAAATAAAGCCCATGTACACTGGAAAGCTATTCAGCGCATGAAGAGATGAGCACGGCGCGGTATATTCTAACCTGAGCCAGTTGTACGTTCCCCAAGCGACGTGGGACGCTGCGCTGATCCATTCGGGTGATTTGCTGGCGATGTATCGAAGCTTCGGGCTTGTTGGCGGAGTGTTGATGAGACCTATCCGCTCTGCCATTTGCCGACCGGCATTCAAAAAGTCATATCCAAGGTCGTTCTGGCCGTTTACTTGGCAGCCAAGAGCCATCAGTTCAGCTGCAGCAATTGTCGTGATGGGATCGGTTATGCGCTCTGCTGCAGCGAGTGTTCCAGCGAGGTCAGGGTTCTGCTCGGCGAGCCACAAAGTCCTAGCCTCGTCCAGAAACTCGGGGACGAAGGATGAGGAACGAACGTCCGATCGCGTGTACGCTTGCTGTGCCAATATGTAAGAGTGAGACCCGAAGATATCAAGGATGCACTTACGCATGAGAGGTACAACACCGCAGTTACCAGCATTGCGGAGCAGTAAGTGAGGCGATGCTCAACGAGGTCATCCAAGAAGAGATCTGCATCAAACATGCCCATTATGGGGTGATCATTTTCCAAGTAAAATGATATGAGGGCCGCGGCAAGGTCATTGGAAATAGCAACCCTGGTCCAGAAGCCAATCCGTAAACGGCTGAGTCGTGGGTCGCAGTACTTCGGTGGCGGTGCTGGCCCGAGGATGCTCATCGTGGACGTGACGGAAATCTGGTCCTGTCCGTGGACTATAAACTTCTCATCCACCGGCAAGGGAGCTGCCGAGTTGACTGTGAGAACCGAAACCGGTGAGTTGGCCTGTCCCACTCGCCATGAACGGGCCTTGAACAACGTTGACTCGACCAGGTTTTTGAGAGGGTCAGCATCCAAGGGCTCAAGCTTGGGATATATCAGTACATGTCGAGCGGCTAGCTCGTGCTCAAGACTTGACCCCGTCGACGGGGCCATCCCCCGAGCTGCAAGAATATCCGATGGCCTCCGGCGATTGTGCATGCTGCCGTTCATATTTGAGAGTACGCCCGGCGAATTGGAGGTGGCTCGTAGCCGTTGAAACAGGCCGAATGCTTGGTCATCTGGCAAGGTCTTCAGCTGATCGAGTAGCTTGACGTGATCACTGAGCTGCGTCTTGAGGTCGTCACGCTCTTGTTGCAAGGCGTTGACTTCGCCACTCGAATGATGTTTGTCTTCCCTGTAGACGCATGCTGTTCCTCGCTTCAAACATGGCGCACATGTAGGCTTTTCGCCAGTGCACTGCATTATGCATATCAGCATATGGCCAGAAAGAAAGAGCATGGATCCCTGGCGGGGGCTCACAGCGACTTTTTTGACCCGGCATGCGTCGCAAGCTATGCGCAAGTTCCTAGGCTTCTTTGACAGCGGCGATGTTTGGAAAAATTGCTGGTCCGAATTGTCTTCTGCAGGCAGCAGAGAACGGTACTCTCTCCGCTTCATCGGGGCTCTGCTGAGGGTTTCTGCCTGGGCGCTCTGTGCAAAAGTTCTTGACACAAGCCTGTCAACAAGACTACCCGAGGTTGAGACAAGCCGACGACGTCGTGGGTCAGATTATCCGGCCATTACGTCTGCATGTGGTGAATAGAGTGATGGGGACGTATGTGTGCTCGTATGTGTGCTCGGGTTCTCTCCATCAATATGGTGATCCCATTTGGTAGCCAGTGTGCGGTAAGGCTACGTGTAAACGGGGCCGTTGTTCATGTTCAAGGGAAGTGTTGGCGCGGCGCATCGTGCATTTTGGGGTTCGTTGCTGCGCAGGGTCCTGAGCTAATGAACTAGCCCGGATTCTAGGCCCCCAATTCAGCAGCACCCGCTATTTAACCGTTGTCAGTCCGCGGGGTTTGGAGCGTGCTTGGAAATGGTTACTCTGCTAGCCGCATGGGCTCAGTGGGCTGACTCCTGAAAAAAAAAAAAAAAAGCAAACATTAAGCGTCTCTTCTTCGCGTACGGGTTGTGTTTCGAACTTTCCATCGCAAGTCGAGGAGCTCAAATGTTCAATCCAGTGTTTGGGAGCGACTGGGTCTACCACAGCCCTACTGAAATCCCAAGTCGCAACCAGTTGGTGCTCTATGACGCGATCAATTGTCGCACTCTGTCTCACACGACTATGGCAGCTACGCCCCATTTGCCCCAAGAAATATCTCAGTAGCTAAATACACAAATGCTTTCCTAATTGATCGATTGCTATTTCTCTGTTGTTCCAAAAGATTGTCCCTCTACATGCCAAAGGTCCAGTCTCCCTGTTTTCATCTGTGGGGGCCATGAGGTTCCGGGGGAACCTACTTCGAGTATCGCGCTTACCATGTGCATTAACGCGGCTCACTGGGCTGCAGTAATGACATGGGGCTGAGCGGGCCGGGACGGCACGATCTTGCGGGTGCCTTCCGATGATAAAGAACGATCATTCCCAGCTCCCAGGATGCTGGTCGTCCATGCTGCCTAGACTTCGTCGTCATCTCTTTCAGCTCTTTTTGACGCGATGGCTACTCAGCGACAGCCGTTGGGGTCTCAAGAGTTGTTGACCGCCTCTTTACATTCTGCGAATTCGCAGGATACACAGCTCTGGACGAACGAATCTAGCCATGACGGAACGGCTGAGTATGACGATCCCCCGAGACCTTTTGCCCCGTCCCCGGTGTCGAGGAATGAACGGGAAGGACATGCCTACCAACCGGTTCCAAGTACGATCGAGCCCTCCACCATCCAACGCGACGACCATCTATACCCTCCAGAAGCGTCTCCTGAGCCCACCAAGGAGCAGGAGCTCGCTCAGTGTCCAACAGGAGGACACCATCCAAGATATGGGTGGGCTGCGGAAATCGCGTGTGTCGTTTTTAGCATTTTGTGCATCATCGCCATCATCATCATTCTCTCGCGCACTGACGGTCGGTTACTCTCGTCATGGACGATAGCCATCTTGCCAAACGCCGTCATCGCGATCTTATCTACCGCTGCCAAGGCTGCAATGATTTTCCCCGTGGCGGAGAGCATCAGTCAGCTCAAGTGGCTTAAATTGACGCGGACAGGGTCCGGGTAAGCTTGGTGAGGCTCCAAACGGACTGTTGACATGAGCTAAACGCGGCCCGCCCACTAGTCTCCAGGACCTACAATGGTTCGATAATGCTAGCCGCGGGCCTTGGGGTTCGCTGAAGCTTTTTTGGCATGCTAGGGGCTCGCCCTTTCCAGCCTACCTCGGATGTCTCGTCATGACCGCCGCGATCGCAATAGATCCTTTTACCCAGCAAATTCTCAGCTTCGAACAAAGGGCCACGGTGGTCGATGGGCCCCAGTCTTCGGTAACTAGATCCCAGGTCTATGACAACGGCGGCAAAGGGGTCAGCGGTGCTGGTGCAGTTCTACGTGAGTGATTGCTGCATGGTCGGGAGAAGAGAGGTCTCTCAATACATGCTGATACTTCGTTCTCAGAGCCTACACGGGACGGCCTGTTCCAAGCCGCGGCAGTATCCGGCGTTTATGACCTCGTCTCCCAGCCGCCATTCAAGTGCCCTGGGTCCAACTGCACGTATATAGACTTTACGTCTCTTGGAATATGCAGCAAGTGCAGCGATGTCACCGCGAAAACCACCAAAAGCTGTGATAGTGTCGAGGGAGGATAGCAAATTCAAGCATGCAACTTCACGACGCCCGGAGGGTTCAGCCCGCAGGCTAGTGCCGGCAGTGACGCTCACAACGGCTTCGGCTACACGCTCTTGAACGTAAGCGTCAAAGTACCCGATCCGAACCAACCACAACATCTCGTCTCAATGGCTATGATCCGCTTCGCGGACGACGCGCGCGCGACGGAAACAAAGTGGCAGGACACGCTGACAGCGTATGAGTGCAACTACGACGCATGCGCGAAGGCTTACTTGGGGTGGAGAGTCGCCAATGGGGCGGTAGTGCCAGGCACGATCCAGGAGTCGCAGCTTAACCTAACCGGTGTAGGGCCGGTGATTCCGTTCACGACCCTTGAAAGAGGGTTTCCGGGAAACACAACCTATGAGATCAACCTCTTTGATCTGCGGGTCATGGTCGAGGCCCTTTCCGAAGTCTACAATCCTGGGAGCCCTGGCAGCGACAGCTTCGCCGCAGCCCTCTACAACAGTCCGAACTTGACGCGGACGGTGGAGAATATTGCAACAGGCATGTCTTATCGGATGCTCTCGGGTCCAAACGCTACGGCCGTGACCGGCGAGGTGTTCGCGGTGCAGACCTATATGCGTACCCACTGGGCCTGGCTATCGCTGGCGGCGACGCTCGAAGTATTGACGATCCTTTTTCTGCTCGTTGTGATTTTCGCTACTAGCAGGGCGCGGCAACAAGCGTGGAAGTCGTCGCTAGCACCATTATTGTACGAGAGTGCGATACTAGATAAACAATAACACCGGGCTGCCTGGTGAGCCATGGTACTCGAGGGAAGACGGCGGTGGCGTGCCACAGGCACAAGACAGTCCCAAGATATGAGACAATTTTGAACCGCAAAATTTATGAGGGCCACAGCATGGTGCGGCTACGACGAGCCCTGTAACACTCGCCAGGAGCGCTATAAAGTCGGTAAGTCCTGGGCACAAATACCTCACCACCGACCCCTCTTCGCTTTTTGGCGGGACTGTTCCAGTGGTGTGCCCCCGTGGGCTCCAAGTGCCGCTAACAGACGCCCATCCATAGCGGGTTACAGCGGATTTGCGCCCGGTCGGACTTGAACCCGTAGCGATACCCTACTGCTGCCCGTCAGCTCGGTGGCCTCAGGTTGCCTGCCAGACCGCTATTGCTGTACCCTCTTTCAGTGGCCAGGCCAGCCGGCTTCTGGGCAGCATGGCACTGCGCGCCAGCCTTAGGGGTGCCCCAAGGCGCCCCGAGAACAGAAATATATCCACCTTGTGTAAGCTGTAGACAGAGGCACCCAGTATGAAGCGGTGACCGGCTACTCCAATAACGCATATAGTGCTCAGGTAGAGAAATTAGACAGTGAGGCATTCGCACGACTGGCTGGTCGAAGATAGGTCCTGTTCATTCTCAAGCCGGATGTCCGTCAAGGTTGTTATGCACAACGTACTGCTTTTGCGACAGGCGGGTACCCGTTGAGAGTGAGCCACACCGCCGTTGACTGTTGACTGATGAACAAAATGGAGCCCCAGTCGCAGCCTTCATGGCGTCTACGCTGATGCACATGTGGTAACATGTGATCATTGAACATGAAGCAGATATAGTCAGCGGCCTCTGCCGAATGTACACCAGCCTCGACGGGCGTGTTCATCACCCTTTAAGGTTTTCAGCGGACTGGCTGAGTTCACGCCTCCTAGGATCGCGCCACTTCGTATTATCTGGGATAGGACCAATGCTTAGCCCCTCGTACATGATCTGTGCCAGCCGTCGCCTCGCGGCTGTGCTCTTTCGGCATACAGCCATATCAAATGCATCGTTTTCGTATAAAGGGAAGGCAACAGCCCATCGAGTGATTGCAGGCTGAAACCGACCGACGCCACTTCTTCCAGTCAATAAAAAAATCATCATGGCGAAACTTCATGCTGTGGCTATTTGCCTTCTATTTTTGCCTGGCACGCTTGCCTGGGGAAGTAAGTAGAGTTGGTGACGGTGCATTTTGTGGCATTAAGGCAGCAACCGTGATGTCCTGACGTTGCAGTACAGGCTTGGGCCACATGTCGACCGCTTACCTTGCACATCACTTCCTTTCCAACTCGACCCAGGCATACCTCAAGGAGCTGTTGAATATCCACGAGAATGACGATGGCTATCTGGCCAATGCTGCTCTATGGGCTGACACCATAAAGCGCACCAAGGAGTGGCATTTCACCGAAACCTTTCATTTTATCGATGCTCACGACAGCCCGCCCTCGTCGTGTAATGTCAATTTTATGCGCGACTGCAAAGAAACGGGATGCGTCATTAGCGCTCTGACCAACTATACAAAGCAGTCTTTAGACCCTTCACTACCGGCACTGCGTCGTGCTCAGGCGGCAAAGTTCATTATTCACTTCCTCGGCGACCTCCACCAGCCGCTCCACAATGAGGATGTCGCTCGGGGAGGGAATGGACTTCGGGTAAAGTGGGATGGTGAAGATACGAACTTGCACTCTGTTTGGGATTCGGCCATTGCTGAGAAGCTGGTCGGAGGAGTGCATGGGAAACCAGATCCTGCGGCACAGGCCTGGGCAAATCGACTCGCAGTCGAGATTACTCAAGGCCGGTTCAAGGGCGAGAAGGAAGCATGGTTAGAGAAGTTCGACATCAAACAGCCCAACGCGTCCGCCATGGCGTGGTCAAAGGAAGCCAACGCCCTCATATGCACGCATGGTAAGGTCACAGACTCGTCACGACCGAAGATTACGCTTACTTGAAGGAAACAGTCTTGCCCCAGGGTCCTCAGGCAATTGTTGGGAAGGAGTTGAGTGACACATACTTTAGTAAGGTTGGCTCCGTTGTCGTGGAGCAAGTTGCGCGGGCTGGATTACGGATTGCGGCTTGGCTGAATGGCATTGCCGATGAACATGAGGCGAGAAAAAAGTCTGGCGTGGCTGGGGAGTTGTAGGTCATCAAGATGACATGATCGTGTTGCACCACTTCTTCCGGCAACAAAACATGGGCACGCTCATCGCGTTGGCCATATGAATCAAGTTTCAATCTGTGGTATAATCGCTGGATTCGGATGAGATGAGGTACGTGTAGCAGGAAAGCGTGCCACTGACCTAGTGACATCGAGGAATCGGCGAAACGTGAGAGCATTGTCCTCGTGACGATGCGAGGCGGCTTCGCCGCGAACACGGGGTACACCCTGAAAAGGTTAACAAGCGCGCTGGTCGCGATGGCGTTTGGACGCAGACATTGGAATGTATCTTGCGCACGTAAAGCTTGTCGTCGACTATGCCAGAACGAGTGGCTCGGAGCGCTTTTCCGGCCGAGGCTGGTGGTGCAGGTTAGACGCCTCAACTCGTCCCGTGAACAACGTCGCATTCGACGCGCAGACTGAATCGCGAGCTGAATTGTTCCAGAAGGGTCCGGCTGAACGAGCAAAGATTCAGCTCAAATCTCTGCCACAACGCTGTTTCACGGGTGAGTACTTGAAACGAGGGTGAAGTGCTTCGGCAATGCGAACCAGACGGGCGACGACAACTTCACGATTGCGTTATCAGAGCCTCCATTCTTGAATGGCCACGACTCCCGCAATGGAAGCATCGACACAAAAACAGGCAAGCTACAAGCGCATCATTCTCTGCGTGGACGGCACTTGGCTGGCGTCCGATGTTGGAAACAAATCAGCTCCTTCAAATGTTGCGAGAATAGCTCGCGCAATCGCGCCGAGTGGTGTTGACGATGCAGGAAATGTCGTGAAACAAATCGTGTCCTATCATGCTGGACTTGGGAGCGGAGACCTTCCATTGCAGAAGGCTCTATACGGTACCACGTCCTTCCATTCTAGGCCGGATGTCTGTGTTCAATTCTGATTCATGGCAGGGGGCGTCGGCTGGGGCCTTGACGACGACGTGTGTCAAACATATGACTTCGTCTCTAACAACTATGAGCCCGGCGACGAGTTGTTCTTCTTCGGCTTCTCACGTGGCGCTTTCACTGTGCGCTCTGCAGCGAACCTTGTTTGTGAGGTCGGGATACTCTCTGCAGTACACATGTCGCATTTTGCGGACATGTGGGCTGCCTATCGGAGTAATACGGCCGGCAAGAGCTTCAGGAATTCGACATGGTATCTTGAAAACAAAGAAAAGCTAGGACTGCAGGATGTCAGGGTCAAGGTTGTAGGCGTCTGGGATACCGTCGGGGCTTTGGTATGGTCCGAATTCACGAGAACAGTGACTACTCTACTAATCATACCCAGGGTGTCCCGGAGTGGCCTGTCGCAAGCTGGGCGGCGAAGGTTGGTCTTCCGGTCAACAAGCAATACGCCTTCCACAACACCACCGTTTCAAAGAGTGAGTGCCGCCTCAAGAATGAGCGAGAATTTAACTAGATGTCCAGGCAGCTGATCGCTGTATAAGACATGGATTATGCCTTCCAGGCTCTCGCTATCGATGAGACGCGTTTGACCTTTCCACCCACCATCTGGCACAAGAATTCGGAGGGCCCTGCAAAGGAACTTCAACAATGCTGGTTTCCTGGGGTACATAGAGATATTGGCGGCACAGGGGGAGAGGATGCGCATGTATCACTGGGATTTGCGGAGCTTGGATATAACACTTTTGCATGGATGGTAAGCACTTCCCACGACTGTTGAATCCGTACTGAAGCCTTACTGCTTTAGGTGGACAATCTCTCGCAGATGATCTCATTTGAGGAGTCCGCAATCAACACTATCACCGAAGAGCATAGGCGAGCTCTTGAAGCCATTGGACCCACGAACAACTGGGGCTGCGGGCCGATGGGAGACAACTACATCGGCCTCAGGGGAGCCTTCTTTAAGGCCCTAGGAACGAAGAATCGAACACCTGGACAATACCAGCCTGCGGCAGAGAACAATTCCAATGGTGATACCAACGAGTACTTCCATCCTATCACTAGGATACGGCACGATAGTCTCAACTATGAACCAGAGTCTCTACGGGGACTCAGTCTCCAAAAGCCCACCGCGGGTGCAGGGTGGAGATGGGCGAGGAATGATCAACAATTTGTACCGGAATATATAATGCGTCCCGAGAAAACCATGAGTCTGCGGTACGAAGAAAGTGGAACGACGAAATATCGCCTTACGGGGAGTTTGTCTAGAATCATGTGTCCGAAGAATGTC